TCTCAAAGCTTAGGTAATATTTTTGACTAAAATATTGATTTATCCGTTTTTTAAATCGAGACATTTAACAATATTACTTCTCAGTTTTATTTTTATTTTTGTTAAAAAAAAGTTCTTTCATTGGTAGAAATACATGGGTAGAGTTACCAAAATATTTAATAATTTTTATATATTGGGAAAATAGTCTAAATTGTGTTTGAAATTGTGCAAAGCATCAACAGCATTTTTTGGAACATTATTATCCATAGTTAACATTTTATTTCATAGTTTGCATTCAGCTAATAATGCATCTTGGAATACTTTAACATCCTCAATATAAATCTGCCAAATATTTAATTTTATCTTAAGATTTGAAATAGATTCGGGAGGATTCTGCGACAATAATATTTACAGATTTGTAAGTGCTACCTGATTAATCAAGAACCTTTCATTCATTTGAATTGTAAAAGTATGCAAGAGGGGGAAAAAGAAATATATTTTATAGTATTTTTTGACTGACACTATTATTATTAAAACAATGGGCTTGTCTTGCTGTGAGTCGAGTAAATCTTTAATTTCACAGGTCTGCTTTTGACTCAACAATGACATAATTTATGAAATTCTTCATCTACATTTGCCCTAATTTCTTTAAGCTTCAATATAATACTTTCAGCTATTCTCATAGTCTCAATCAAATCGATGTTATTTTTTTGCAATTATACTTAGTTTTGCAGTGAAAAGTTTAAAATGATTTGGTGGAAAATTTAAAAATGGCAGATAAATATAAGACCAGAACAAATTTGAAATCGATATTAATTCATAGAATAAATTAGTACCATATTTATTTTTGGAGTGAATGTGATAAATAAAGGTAAATTGAAATATATACTTGATAATCGGTAGAAATGATTATGATAAATATAAGTTAATAAAGATAAAACGCTAATATTTTTTAAAATATTTTATGTTAATTTTAAGGTCATATCAATAATTAGATTACGGGATGTTGAGTGGACGAGTATTCATAAGTTTTGCTGCACCGGATAGCTATGGGTTAGGAAGGGGGAGTACGTTTGACCATTGTTGAAGATGGAGGAATTACAAAAATAGGTGTACCTAAAAATAAATGAGGCGACACATGTCAATATAGAATCTATCCTTTATAGTTGAGCCTTAAGTATTGGTGAGGTAGATAATTTAAAATAAAAAGTACTCAGCGAACAACACATGTCAATAGATAATCTTTCCTTTATTTTGCATAAGCCAAAGTATAGTACGTTATTATGCAATAGTAATGGTCCAATTAAATCAAACTTACAAATTATTAAGAGATTAAATCGAAAATAATTATCAACCAATTAATCACAAATGTTTGATTCTTGGAACATCAACTTTGGCGTTGGATAATTCTGTTTTATATATTTAAAAAAATACGTGGTCTCCCTCGCTATATCTTTTTCATTTAAAAATGCAAACAATTTTTTTTTATTTTAAAATTTGCAGATTTTATCATTTTATTTAAGTATAAAAAAAATATTAGATTAGATAAAATTTTAATAAAAAAACATATTCTAATAAAACTATATTTCTTTAAATATTAGTCTCAAAGGTATTCATTTCCCGAAGATATAAGTAAAATATTTTTATGTTCCATTTATCAAACATTGGTAAATAACTATATCTATATTTCTATTTATTATTTTTTAGATTTTTTATAGCCAGCCTGAAATATTTAAAAAGTGTAGAAAATATGGTTATACAAAATATAAACTGTAATTTAATTAAACTTGTTTATCACTTTCAATTTTTATATGGATAGTTAATTATGCGATAATAAAAGAGGTGAGCAGTTAAAAATTATAATTTTATTAGGTTGCGAACACAACAACCGGCATCTGAATTTTTTCCTTGGTCGGGCAAGAGGAGTTGTACCCCTCTCCCCTTCTGAGTACGCGCCTGCTATCAGAAAACTGCAGCTTCCATCCATTTCAAGAAAAATTTTGTGTTCTTTGATGGTAATCCTGGCCTTCCTCTAAATTTAATTAAGAATTATGGATAGTTAGGTTAATTAGAATACATTCACGGTATCGATTTTTATAGTTTTAGTTTTAGGATACTAGGCGAGCGGTTACCACCTTTTTCATTTAATATTATTTATTGATTTTTAATTATTTTTTTTTTACAATCACATCATCAAATATCTTCAAAAATATTATTTTTTATTTATAGATTTAATATTGTTTTTCACTCTTGGTCTTGCTCTTAAAAATGAACCTTATCCTACAGGCCCAATTGAATGATAGACCCATTTTGACAATGAGATGGGCCCCGGAAGTAAAAAAATGCACATGTTGTAATAACAAATGTTACGATTTACAATTTTAATGATTGTCCAACACATTCATTTTATTTATAAAATTTTTAAACATAATTTGGTGTAACGAAATCCTGTATAGGCCGAATTTATATGATAATAATAGCAAAACTTAATGTTTGGTTACATAAATAAAATCACAATTAAATTCAACTGTTTGATTATTATCCTATTATGAATATATATAAAATTATTTTAAAAAAAATCCACATTCACAAATTTAATTTTATAAATTTAAATATTGATAAGTTTTAGTTTGATTTTTCTTATTGTTTGTAGTTATATTTAAGTTATCTCATGTCATGTTCAGTAATCGAGTTGTAAATTATTTTAGCACAAAAATATTTTTGAAAAAAACTTTGTTTAGTATATAACGAGCGAGATCGATATTTGAGAATTCTCACATAAATTTTATATATAATAAAATATATTGATTTTATTTTTTGGACCTCTTCTATTACTTTGAATTGCATGCACTCAATAATTACGATTCGTAATCATTCAGCATGTTTCCGGTGGAACTTGTTATTATTTTTTACTTTATCTCCACATATTATATTATTAATAAAAAAAATTTAATCCATTTTTGCCTTTTGAAAATATTACTCGAATATGACGAATATCATGTATTAGTAATATTACACCTCATCAAGCAAATTTTTTTATAATAAACGCAAAACTACCAAATAAATATTGTACCTCTTTATTTACACAAAAAATTTACAAAATATAACCCAACTTTCGCGCTCTCGCTCTCTAACTGTTTCACAGAGAAGAGATGATGACTGGTAAAGCCCTCAGCCTGAATAATAATTAAGATAATCAACAGCAAAGCAAATATTGAATTGTGAAAATCTTTTAACCCCCTCCTTGTTTTGGAGAGAAGATTATTCATTAGACTTTATGGCTTTGATGTCTTTCGTTTTATTAATTCAATATTCATAATAAAATGCATTATCAAAGATTTTAGATATGATATATCAAGAAAAATGGTACAATAAGTAGAAAACAATAATAGAAAATAAAACTGAACGACAGTAAATTCTAATGTAAATCGTCCTAATTTGTGAATTTTTAAAACATTAAATCAAATATAATATTTCAATCAGAGAAGTATAGATTTAGATTAAAGAATATCATGCATTTTTTTCCTATTTTAATAGTTAATTTTTCTTGAGACCCGGTCAGGAAATTATTGTAACAATATATTGATAAGTTATGAGCTAAATTTTTGTCAAATGAAAAGTCGATTGTTAAAAAATCGCACTATTAATTATCATGATCAAAATACACTATCTAAGTAAAAAATATTTTTTAAACAAATATACAAATTATAAACATAAACAATGTTTATAAAATAGTTATACTAAACCCGATTTAATACAATAAATTCATAATAATAATGTTATTATGATATGATAAAAAAGTTTCCTTAAAACATATATGAAATAAATTTTAAACATAAATTTGATTATTTATATTTATAGACAAATTATATAATTAGTTAATATAATAATTTTTTAATCCACTCCATAATCACAAAAATAAATTTGTTCCTTTTTTGGAATAAAATTCAATTCTTTTAATTATTACAAAATTATATAAGTAGATTTCAAAATTAAAATTTTAAGCATTTTATTAGTTATTACAAAAAATGCTACTTCCAATGTTTATTTGTTACACCCATCCAAAATTATAAGCTTTTATTTGAATTAGTTGGGAAAGATTAGAAGTTCAAGTCTTGAATTAAAGATACCTGATGATTATATTATTGTTGGCAGACCATAAGACCTTACGCCATTTTTTTGACATAAATTATTAGGTTCATTTATTTTAGATAATATTATTTTTCATACTTGTATATTGCTTTTTTATTACTAGCTCATAAATTACCTTAATTTGTATCCTTGAATTTTATGACGGAATTTTTTTAACGCATTATTATTATAAACATAAAAACCTCTAAACTATTATAATTATGGCTCGTTAATATGGTAATTTAATAAATTGATAATTTAAAATGCTAATATTTAAAAATGCCATTCTTAAATAAAATTAGTATTTTTGCTACATCGACTATTAAATTTCAAATATGCAAATCCCATTATTACTCTTTAATTAATTTTATTCATTTTTTTCTCTTATCATTTATATTTATCAGAGTATACTTATTTTTTAAGCTGGTTATTTATAGAACTTATTCTTGATTGTATTGCTTTAAAAGTTTTAAATTACTACCAATTAGAATCCTGCAGGTAAAAGCGGTCGGCCACGCCGGTAAAATCATTATAAGTTCCTCCCCATACGAAAATAAATGGTACATTAACATTAAAAAGTTATGTTGAATATTTATATTTATAACATTAAAATACAAATTAAATAAATATTTCGGGTGTGAGATTTTTTCCCTGAATGCTTTTTAAAAACAGGCTAGATCTAAAAAAAAATTTGTAACCGGGCTACGAAGGGAAGTTGCTTATGAGTCGCACCTTTTTCAACAAGCCTTTATTATTTCGAACATAATTTTCTTCAAAATAAGTTTTTATATTTAGATATAAATTATATTCTATTTATGCTTAAAGTCAAACTAGACAAATTGCTCTTTTTCTTTTATCCTATACCATATTTAAATTTATTTATTTAATAGATGAAAGGGAGAATGTACAAAAAAAGACATTTTCAAAATGGGTAAACTCACACCTGATTAGAGTTGGAGGTAGAGTTCAAGATTTATATATTGATCTTAGGGATGGAAAGCTTTTGATTAAACTTTTAGAAGTTTTATCCGGAGAAAGATTGGTAAATAAATTTTTATGTACATCTCATTTAATAATGTTCTAATTTAAGCCAAGACCTACCAAAGGTAAAATGCGAATTCATTGCCTTGAAAACGTTGATAAAGCATTGACCTTTCTGAAAGAACAATACGTTCATTTAGAAAATATGGGTTCTCACGATATAGTAGATGGAAATCCCCGACTGACTTTAGGTCTTATATGGACCATCATATTACGATTCCAGGTTTATATTTTGCATTCAATGTATTGTTTAAATATTATTGTTTCCTTATTTTATTTTTTTATTTTAAGTTTCATAATCTACTAGTAAAAATGATATTTTCAAAATTTAATAATCTTATTCCTTGATCGAATTATTTTTTAGATGTTTAAAAAACTTCTAAACTTTTGTTTATAAATCTGATATTTCATTCTTTCATCACATTTTATAAATAAAGGGATAATTTTAGAGAATATATTATTAACTGTAGGATATAAAAATATATTTTTAATTAAATTAAATCTGTTTTTGCTTATCGAATTGGGAAATATTTCTGAATTTCTTTCTTACCTAAATATTTGTATCCATAACCTCGACATCAAAAGAATATTAATTAAACGACTGATATCATGATTAGTACCAGAGATTCGCGATATGGAATCAGATTGACTTTTTGATAAAATCTTCGATTCACTTTTATAAAAATAAATTTATAACACATTAAATTATATAATTTTTTTATATATTTTATTGTTGATTTTTAAATTCAGGTCAGTATCAAAAAATATTTTAAATATAAATCAGAATAGCCAAAAATATCGCTATTGGCGTTTACAAAAGTATTTAAGTATCATACCAGAATCGGCAGAAAAAAGGAAATCTCTCATTTCTAATTAGTTTAATGATACATCTTTTGCGAAAATATAAAATCATAGAATTATGGTAACATTAATTTTTGTCCTGACTCAATATTTTCAGCTCTTTTAGATATATTTAATTTTAGATTAATCCTGTTCTTTTTTCTTTTATATTATATATAAATTTTATTCCCATCAATAGGGACTGTAAATTTAAGATGTCAATTAATTGGATCCTTGTTTAAAATCGAAATTAAAAAATATATATAATATTTTTCACCAAATTTTTTTAATCAAATAATTCAAATGAAGCAAAAATCTGACGATATATTATTTTATTCTTTAATAAATTTTTTTATGATTGCCTATGAAGTGCATAAATTTTGAAAGATGGATTAGAAAATGTAATAAAAATAAACCTAACAAAAAAGAATATGAATAAAAAAGGCGCTAAAAATTATTATTTTTTGGTTCATAGCAGGGATATGGACCCTTCGATTAAATAAATTTTACTGGAGATATTTAGGCCCACCTATTGTAGGCCTTTGGTTTTAATAGTTTTTATAAAAATTATTTTGGGGTTTCACTTTTGCTTTTTTGAATTATAGTCGTTATTTTAAAAAGTTATTAACTTCTACTAATTTCTTTTTAAAATACATTTTTGAAGTAGAGTGGGGAGGGGCTGGTGTATAAGGGGGAAATTTTATAATAAAATATTAATGTCTGCACTATAAAATTCGCATTGTTTTTTTTTCTAAAATTGATAAATTAAAATTAGATATTGCTTATAAAATGGAAGTCCAAAAATTATAAAAAATGCGAAGAGAAAAAAATGATTCTACGAAAAATAAATTAAATTTATTTATGGGAAAAGAAAAAAATTTTTTTTAAATATTTTTTGTCCAGCAAAAATACGTGGATCCGAGTTTGGGTTCGATCCCTGGTTAATAAACTATATAAACTCTTTTTCACTTAATTTCATATTTGCTTGCATTAATGTATGTCTATAGATTCAAGACATAACTTTTGAAGAAGCTGAAAGTAAAGAAACAAAATCCGCCAAAGATGCTCTATTATTATGGTGTCAAATGAAAACTGCTGGCTATCCCAATGTTAACGTTAGAAATTTTACTACGAGCTGGAGAGATGGCTTAGCTTTTAATGCTCTTATTCATAAACACAGGTATAAAATTTACCTTTTATATAAAGCTTATTAATTGATTTCATTTGATAAATATCATATTATTTATCAAAAAGGCCTGATTTGATCAAATACGAAGCCCTTCACAAATCTAATGCTGTTGTTAATCTAAATAATGCGTTCAATGTTGCTGATGATAAACTCGGAATTCCCAGGCTATTAGATACCGAAGGTAATATAAGTGTTTTCTTTATATCGATTATTTTACATATGTGATTGATATTTATTTTATTGTAACTTATATATTTATCAGCATCTTTTTATATGATATATAATTTAATTTGCATTTATTTTTAATACAGACGTGAACGTAGAGTTACCTGATGAGAAGTCTATAATTACTTATGTCGTTACATATTACCACTATTTTTCAAAGATGAGAGCTGAAACAGTTCAAGGAAAGAGAATCGCAAAAGTGAAAACATACAAATAAAAATTATTTTTTAAAATATGTTTAACAATAATATATGATTTTAAATTTAAAGGTTGTTGATGCAGCTATGGAACAAGAAAAAATGTTAGATCAATATGAGAAGATGAGTTCTAATTTGTTAGATTGGATTGAAAAAACGGTAGAAAAATTAGGCGAAAGAAATTTTGCCAACTCCCTAATAGGAGTACAGCAACAACTGGCTGCATTTAATTCTTATAGGACGCAAGAAAAGCCGCCAAAGTATGCAAAATATATTTTTGAATACTATTTTTTATTATATTATGATCATATTTTAACATTACTAATTAAATAATAAAGATTTATAGAAAAGGGCAATTTGGAAATAATATTATTCACAATGCAAAGTAAAGCCAGAGCTATGAATCTAAAACCTCGCTTCCCAAGGGAGGGCAAAATGATATCGGATATTAACAAATCCTGGGATCAACTTGAAACTGCCGAACATGAGAGAGAAATGGCTTTAAGGGAAGAGATTTTGAGGTTTAACCTTTATCAAACAACAGATTTTTCGTTTTATTATAAGAATTATAATTTAAAAAAACCCTTATTTCAATTTTTGTAAAGACAAGAAAAATTGGAACAATTAGCTGACAAATTTGACCGTAAAGCTGGAATGAGAGAAACATGGCTAAATGAAAATCAAAGATTGGTTTCTCAAGATAATTTTGGTCATGAATTGGCGTCCTGTGAGGCTGCAATGAAAAAACATGAAGCTATCGAAACAGACATTTTTGCATATAAGGAACGTATTAATGCTCTGGTCAAAACTGCTGCTCAACTAAAAGCTGAGAGTTATCATGATATAAGGAGGATTCAGGAAAGGTCTCATATTTTAGGAATATTATGCTTAATTTTTGATATTCATTATTTGCTTCTTTAATTTGATATCTTGTTTACTTTACTTAAGAAAAGAAAACGTAATACGGTTATGGAAATATTTGCTGGAACTTCTTAAAAACAGGAGAAAACGTTTGGAGAAATGTATAGATATACAAACAATATTCCAGAATATGATTCACAAGCTTGATATAATGGAAGAACTAAAAGTAATTTAGTAAATTTAATACAGATATTATGGCAATTGTCTGATATACACATTTCAAAATTTAAAAATAGTCACAGTTACTGTCGGAAGATTATGGGAAGCATTTGATGGGCGTGGAGGATCTATTACAAAAACATAATTTGAATGAAAATGACATTGATATATTAGGGCAACAATTAAGACAAGAGAACGAAAAGGCCAAAGCATATATTGACGATGATGGGAAAGAATTAGGGGGTGAACTATTTTTATTTTTGGTTGATATATATAAATATCATTATTTTTGATTTTTTGGGTAAACCATGATTTTCCATTTTTTTTAACCACAATATTTTGATACCCTGCTCAGTAAAAGCATACCTCTTTATACTACCCCTTTGATAATATTTTGATAATATTATAAGCAATGCTATTTAAGAATATATAATTCTAATTTTATTTAATATTAAAGAAGGGCAAAATAAAATATACAGATTAGCCAAACAGCGAGAAAAGAACTCTAGGGATATAAACGGAGCTCCGAAAGTAATCAAAAATAAAGATGGGAAATTGATAATAAAGGAAAAAGAAATAATGAGTAGATGGAGAGAATATTTTCAGGAGCTTCTCAACTTTAATCCGCACATACTGCATCTAGACGAACACTCCCCATGTCAAAACCTTGTACAACCTATAACACAACAAGAAATAATCACATGCCTCAAGCATATGAAAAACAACAAAGCTAGGGGTCCAGACGATATTCCAATAGAAAGCCTTAAAGCACTAGGAGATGATGGAATACATCTCCTCACAAATCTATACAATAAAATACTTGGAAATGAAGAGGTTCCCCAAAAATGGAGGCAGAGCTATCTAGTTCCTATCTTCAAAAATAAAGGGGATCCACATAATTGTCAAAATTACAGGGGCATAAAACTAATGTCACACTGTCTAAAACTATACGAAAAAATAATAGAAAAAAGATTAAGAGATATAATCGAAATAGGAGAGACTCAGTTTGGCTTTATGCCTGGAAGATCAACAACCGATGCTATCCACGCAATTAGGCAAATGAGTGAAAAATACAGGGAAAAGAACAAAAAGCTACACATGGTCTTTCTCGATCTAGAAAAGGCCTTTGATAGAATCCCAAGAAAACTTATCTGGTGGGCGCTACGCCACAAAAATGTTCCCAAAAAATATATAAGAATAATACAGGATATGTATATGGGCCATACAACAATGGTCCGTAGCACAACAGGTACTTCAGCAGGCTTCATAATAGCCGAAGGAGTTCATCAAGGGTCGGCTCTCAGCCCACTTCTCTTCATTACAGTAATAGATGTATTAGCACAGTCTATACCTCAAACAATCCCGTGGAATATGATATTTCCAGATGATATTGTGATACTTGCCGAATCCAAGAATGAAATGAAAGAAAGATTAGTGAGTTGGATAAATATCCTAGAAACGCACGGATTAAAAGTAAATAGAGAAAAGATGGAGTATATGGTGATAGGAGGAGATGAAACAGAGAATATTGATATAAATGAATGGCAGATATCGGCAATTGAAAGCTGCAAATATTTGGGCTCCACTATACAAACAAACGGCACAATAGAAAAAGAGATAAAGAGTAAGATTAATCAAGGGTGGCTAAAGTGGAGATCTTTATCTGGAGTGCTATTTGATAAAAGAATCCCACACAAATTAAAGGGAAAAATTTACAGTTCCATAGTACAACCAACTATTCTATATAGTTCGGAAACATGGCCAACCAAAGAATCAGACGAGAGAAGTCTACAAACCATGGAAGAATGCTGAGGATGATTGCTGGGGTAACAAGAAAGGATATGCGCAGTACAAGAATACTAAGTAGTTTAAAGGTAGTGCCCATTAAGACTAAGTTAATGGTAAACAGACTTAGGTGGTATGGGCACACAATGAGAAGGCCTATGAACTACATAGGAAATAAAGTTAAGAGTTTGGAAGTGATGGGAAAACGTAAAAGAGGAAGGCCAAAACTTCAATGGGGCCATATAAAAGAGATTGTATTAATAATATAAAGTGGAGAGAGATGTTGAAGGAGCTTACCACCAGAAAAGGTGAAAGCTAGAGAGAAAAAAAAATTAAATTAAAATATATATTTATTAGCTTATTATAACTCAGATTTTATTTTTCAATTTTAAAATTTTACATAAATATAAAAATATTATTTTAGGAAACCAGAATGATTATTGGTTAGCGCTTTTTTTTGTATTTAGGTATGGATACATGTGGAAAACCTAAAAATTAAAAAATATGATAGATTTCTTTGACATTTAATTTATGAGTAGGTTTAGAATCGAAAAATAACAGCAAACTTTTAAGGAACATATTGCTGGCGTTATTGGTCGACGAAATCTCTTCATTTTGTTTCCAATGCTTATATTTACAAGTAAAACATTATCCTATAAACATAAAGGTTTTATTTTTTTGTTATAATATGTGCAAACTCTTGTAAAAATTTGATGGTATCTGGTTGAAAATCATGTTTTTTATGTTTTTAAAATTTATTTCATTTTTAAATATGCGTAAAATATAATTTTTTTATAAATAAATAAATGACATTTTATCATTTAAAATAAAATATCGTTAAAATTCTCCTAATTGAGATTTATATTCGCATTTTTGTATTTTTCATAAACGTATAGTTTAAAAATTCATATTTCTATATTCAATTTGGCAAGGTAATATTTTTTTACATATATTACCAGGACCGTATTCAGGAATTTTTCGCTGTGGGGGGGGGGCAACGCTTGCTTAAGGGGGCCAATATACTATAATCGTGGAATCAATACAATTTTTAGCATCCACTATATTAGTTCCTACTGACTTATTGACTGAATCATAAGTGGAGACCTCTGAGGTAAGAGTTCTATTAGAAAAGTAAAATAATATTTCAAATAGTCTCAAATTTCTCATAAATAATACCAGATGTTTCTAAATGATCAGTCCACTTCTGGTTTAAAAATCTCTTAAGAATATGGCCTGCATATTTACAGGTACTTTAAAAACAATGCATTAGATAATTTAAAAAAATTAGAAATGATAACAATATTATTATACCAAGGCACTTTTTCATTTTTTTTTGAAGCAGAGTTTGTTCACCTTTCGGCTAGACATGACATTAATTGATATTTAATTCATTAAGTTGCTTTAAAATACAAAAAATAATTCTTTCAGCAGAAAGACATTGTAAATCAATGATTCCTATTATATTTTCTTGGATTTCCTTTTTATAAATAATGTGCAATTTTTCAATCATATTTTAACGCATTTCTTAAGTTGATGATTTAATTCCTTATCTTCTATTAAAGATATTTTATAAACATTTTAAATCTTTAAGAAGATTTATACTATTATGTTTAGTTTGTATTAAAAATGTATTTACATTTTGATTATTATGCTTAATTTTGTTGGCAAAAATTTACAAACAAATTCACACTCTTTATCATGTATGTTGTTTTACTCGCCGATATAAAATACTAGGGCGCCGCCGCTTAATAATATATAGGGGCACAGGTTTAAATATAATTATATCTATTATATAAAAAGTTTATTATACCAATAAATTACTCTTATAATATTTGTAATCTATTTATAATTTTTTTATTCCGATTTTTCTAGAAATCAATAAATAACAAAATTAAATTTATATAATACTAAGTATTAAATTTTACATATCGTTACAAAAAAAATGTAATATATTAATTACAGGTATTATATAATATAACGCTACTCAACCTTATCTCATAAAATCTTAAAAATATAATAAGTAAAAATCAAGAGTTAATGATGGAGGGGGGGGGGGGTGTATAATTTAACACGGCTCATAAATTTAATTAATGAATAATTTAAAAAAGATTGTATAAATTGTAATGATTAAAAACTAAAATTTCAAAAAATTGAGCTGAATTAATGGATAGGATTATTAATTAATTTTTTTTTAAAATAAAGTAGTTAATTTCTTACTTTAATTACTGATGTTTTTGCTATTCAATAAAAATTCAAATTTCGTTATGTTATAAAAACATTTTTTTAAATTGAAGTTTTTGTTCCTTATCTTCTTAAATAACATGTTATCCTTTTAATCTGGGTTTCTGTTCCGTTTCTATAGAATCTTACATTATGGTCCTTGTAACATTATCGTTACTTTCCAAGTCCTTGTGTAAAATAAATTGTTTTATATATGTTTATTCTGAAATATAACCTAAAAATTAAATCATGGATCAACTTTTATAATCCAACTCGCAAATATATTGTCAATTTCCTTATAAATATATATCTGTATATACGTTTTAAAGGGTACCGACCATGCGATCCCAAAATAATAGAGGAAAGAGTTGCGGGTGTGGACGCAGCTTACGATGAGCTTGTAGAATTATCCAACAAACGTAAACGACGTTTAGAAGCCTCAAAAAAATTGTGGGAATTTTATTGGGAGGTCTCTCAAGAAGAGAATTGGATAAGAGAGAAGGAAGCATTGCTCACCAGTCCCGACGTTGGTCATGATCTCACAAGCGTCAATATGCTTATCAATAAGCAAAAGGCTTTGGAAGGAGAATTGGAAAGCCATGAGGTTTATTATTTTTTCCTACTAAAATTATTCCTGAGAGAATAAATAGCTTTAGGATTAAATCCTCAGAAAAGTCGCCAAAAATAATTTTTTGGGATCACGCCCCAATTAAAAACAGCTTTCAATGATGCACCTCTTAATGTAAAAAGTAAAACCAAATTAAAAAATAAGTTTTTTTTTTTAATCGAAAAATAAAAACATGCATAAAAAATATTCCTACGGTTTCGTTAAGATCTTAAAATTTGTTTAAAAAAGATATTAGTAGTTTGTATATATATATACAAAAAATTTACTTCCGTATCTAGTCTTTAATGCAAATAATACTGTAATTTATTTTAAATAATATTTATAACTAAAGACGAAATTCATCTTGTCAAACTATATATAATTTATAAAAAAGATACATTATGTTTTAGAGCCATGCATCGGACGAGTCTGTCCCAGTCCGCCCATCCGAAATCATAGTTGGGCGAACCATGACTAAATATTAAATTGGTTGTTTATCTTATTAGAGGCCAATCTGTCTCAAGTTTTAATCGTAGCTTAACCACTTACTAAACAATTAAATTTTATTAAGATAATTTTTTTAAATTTTATATTTACTTATTTATTTTAAGCTTTCAGTCAAGGCTTTGAAACCAAAAATATTCTCTGGTTTTCTATTTTAAGAAAATAGGCCAAATAAGAATCTATTTATGGACAAATACATCAAACTACGGAGTGGGTTCTGAGCTTTTATAAAATCGGTTCCGATTAGGTTTATGTTATCAAAATTTAATATAGTTTAAGATCCCTGAGCCCATATTTGGGTTCGAAGCCTTGCTTTCAACCATCCCTTTTTCTTAGCATCCAAGAGGTTATTTTTAGAAAATATGAGTCCTTCCAGACGTCATTAATCCTGTCAGACCTTAGTTTGGATTAGGAATCCATAAAATCAAATAATACTTATTGCTGCTTCGCAGCCCTAACGTATCTATTAGATTTTGCCGATGGGTATACACCAAGTCTTGGTAATACTGAGTTTCCCCTAAAAATGATAAAAAGGCGGATCGATTCATTCAACATATATTTGGTTTATTATATTTATATAAGATCACAAAGAATGTTTGTTTTGCATTTTAATTTATGATCATATTAAAAAAGTCAGCATCCGGTTATACAAAATGGAAATCCATCTAACCCGTTTTAAAAAAAAATAATTAAGGATCATGAGTTATTTTTTGTCAAATTTTAGTATATTTGATCTCAATTTTTTAAGAACCGACTCGATCAAATTTTAAAAAATTGAGAATATTAAATTCCTTATGTTCTTTAGCTAAATACGAAATTTCTTAAATAGCAAGGGACGCGCTTAAGAGTTATAAAGATATAAAACAACGTTTTTATTGTGGCCACCTATATATTAACCTGTGTTTTTAAAGTAATTAATTACACCTGAAAAGATATAATTAGTAATCGCATTTTTTTGTAATGTAACTACAATGTATAATATATATTATTTATTAGCTTTATAGGATAATTTCCTACATTCATATTTTTTATTAAATATTAGTCTCATTACATAAAACGCATCTGTATAATGTTTATATTCGGCCACTTCCAAACACGACGTTTTTTCATGCATACGATTTTGCGATTATTTTAACAACAAACTAGCTTGATTTTTTTTAACGATTAAATGGCGTCTGAGACAATTGAAATGAATAAATAATTTTTTTTAACGTTAATATTCAATAAATGAAATGATTTTAGAGGAAATTTTGTATCTGAATTGATAAATTTTGTAGAAGATTATGACGATTTATGGAACCAATCTAATGATAATTATTCTAATAGATTATTAGTAGATGAACTATGGACTTTATGTGCTAAAAAGTAGAACAAGACTTTATATTGAAAATATTGACTATTTTATAATAATAATTTTTAATTAACAGACTTTTTAATTAGATATTATTTATTAGTAAGCTTGGAATATGAATTTTAATAATTTATATCTTTATTTAAATAAAATTATTTTTTATCCTTTATTATTTACCAGGCTTGATTCATCCCCAAATGTCTGTAAATTAAAATGGAAGAATTTGAGGGATTCTTATTTAAAGGAAAAGAGAAAGAGAGAAGAAGTGCATTCAGGGGATGCTGCAAACTAGCACTCCATGGAAATGGTATGATTCACTATCATTTCTTACTACTTCCACCATACCAAGAAAGACACTAAATAATATCACAGATAATATAGAGAATATAAGACCTGTAAAAAGGGCTAGAGTAACAAAAGTCCCGAAAGATATTTTGACAAAATGTTAGAAATTGATAATGACCCAGATAGATTATGGTGCTTGTCTTTGGTTGATAATGTAAAGAAGGTGCCAAATGAAGTTAAGGACGCCATGAAAATTAATGTGCAAACTCTTATTTATAATTATATAAATAATATTATAGTAGAAAATGTTGATGTTTAAATAGTTATGTATTATATACACATACAAAAGTAATTTATTAATTTATATACACATACAAAAGTAATTTATTTATTTAATATATAATGATAAAATGTTAAATTAAACATATATTTAAGAATTAAAATAGTCTTTAAATAATTCTCTAATTTCTATTGAATTAGAACTTGAAGCATTTAAAGATCTACTGATCCCTAAATTTTCAGTAATAGGTAAAATATTAGGTGTATATTCTATTTTATCATAATCAATAATAATATTATGTAAAAGAGTAATTGTAGATATAATTTTATCAGCATTTTCAACTGAACACTCTATAGCTTTAGAAAGTAGGGCAAATTTAACAGTAGCTATGCCAAATGTGCATTCAATGCACATTCTAGCACTACTTAATTTATAATTATAATATTTTTCTTCTGGGCTGTTTTAGTTTCAATTTTGTTAAGTATATAATAGAAAACATTCCTAGATAATCCAAAATAGTGAAAGAATTGCGAATCATTTAAATTGATATAGATCATATACAGATCTCTTTCTTTATACTTACTTTTCGTTTTTTTTATTAAGTCTCATAATAAAATATCTAGTTATAAGATTCATTTTTAAAAAATCAGCTGTAAAATATAAATCGTTGTTGTTTGGAAGTAAAAAATATTGCGAAAAACGTGGCTCGGAAAACGTTTTGAAAAAACGTCGTGTTTGGAAGTGGCCTTCTAGGGAAGCTTATTTTTGAAGAAAAGTGGCACACCTTTAGATTAGACCTGTGCATCGAAGTAACTATCGGCGGCGGCAGTTTTTTATATATTTTCATCTGCTATATCGCCGCGCCGAAATAGCCGCTGCCTAATGAATCGAAGGCGCTACATATTTTGAAAATTATTATAGTGAATTTAATTTATAATTCAGTGTATTACATTTTTTTATAATTTATTTGAGAATTATTAGTTCCAACATTGTTAATATAGTTTAGTTCTATATATTTCTTATTCTCTGAAGATTACTAAGGGATTGCCTTTTCATTCAGGTCAGAGTCACCCATCACACTAATATTCTATCGATTTTATTAAAACAATTTTGTATATAAATTTGGAATGCAAACAAAATATAAAATAGAAATATAAATAAATTAGAAATCAAATTTAGTTAAATTGCTATTTTGTTAAGGTTGGCAGGCATTAAGAGGATCTTTTGGTATAGAGTATATCCAGCGATTAAAAAATCTTTTCGGTTGGTGTATTGGTTGTAGGTATACAGTACTTTCCTAGCTAAATTATCAAGTCTAGAAAGTTCTAATCGCCTTTTTCCCCAAAAGGTTAGTGCATCCTGTTCTCGTATAGTTTGTAAGCCGTAAAATATGGCATTCTTACTATATCTTGTTAGTGTTATTATAGTATTTGATTGGAAGGGAATGTTTACGATCTATTTTTGCTAAAGATGATTGGATGTTAGCTTATTGTCTTCATCTTGAATCTTATACTTTGCATTTCTATCCTCCATTTTGAATATCACTCTTTGCATCTTTATTAAGCTCTATAAGTTATAAAGTTGCAATAATTCAGAATTCGAATTTAAACATGAAACACTTTTAAGAAATGAAATCTCGGATCAAGTCAAAATATTGAAATTATTAATTAAAACATTAAATAAAAAGTTTGTATAAAATAAATTAATTGCAGTTCGGCAATTGGAAACCTGCGGCCAAGCTATTTTTGAATATTTTCTTTTAGACAAATGATATCTGACTGAACTATCAAATTCATCGATTTATATATTTGTTTCTATGTCATGGCTAATAATAAACCTAAATTATTTATTGATCCCTTTTGGGAGGAAAGGAATTATAGACTCTCTAAATGGATTTAATTATTCGAATAGTTTGTAGATTGTTTTCCTATTTTATTTAGCACATTATTCATAGGACTCTTTAATGACACCGAGGATGCCTTCTAACATAATAAATATGCTGTGCTAAAAGATAGGCAGTCTCTTTAATTGATTGCAGGCAATTGCACATTCCAAATCCATAGTTGTTATTTCTTAATTATATTAATGGATGTGTTAAAACGTGTAGGTCCATTAAATTAAATTTTTGCAATTGAAATATAAAATATATGTATGAACGAATGATTAAATGATATGTATCTATTATATACTAATACAATTTATGTCTTAATAATAATTTAATATACATATAATTAAATATCATTTAGAAACTTCACGCGCCACGCCGCCGCCATAATAATTGGTGGCTATCAGGGTGGCGCGTCTCATCTTAATCGACGGTCTTTCCGGCGTGGAGAGAATTGTGTGGCGCGCAGGTCTTCCTAAACTCAGATTTTTATGAAAAAAAAATATTTATAATTTTTGGTGCAAATATATAATAAATTTTTTTTCAATGCAAATAATTATTTGGTGTATTTTTTTCAGTGCAATTAGTTCTTTGATTAAACCATATTTTCATTAAATTCCTTTGATTAAAATTTGTAAAAATTTTGGCTTTTAACAACTATCTTAACCCATATCTCTCTATCCTTTAATCGTATCTCTTTACTTTAGCGTTCATATAACTCTTACCCTCAGTTACCTGTCAGGCCTTATCCTGCCTAGTTTCAGTAAAATTAATCACAATTAATTAATTTCAACTCTATCTCAAATCAGGCCTTAATTTCCATCAAGAAGACAGGTTTCTGGGGCTTATTTTCGGAGATTTGGTGGTTTTTCCTCCCTATGATATTTTTCTGGTGATGTTTAATTTTTATTATTTATTAACATCCTCAACCTAGGCTCAATTGCGTCGTGTAGTGGAGTTAGGTTCGGCACTTGTACGATCAAACTCAGTCTCTGACCCTGTGTACTTGGATTCTACACCAATAAGCGCTCGATGCCATGATCTTGAGATTCTGTGGAATTGCGTAACAAAAGATGCGTGTGCGCGCCGTCGTGCCCGTCTTGCAAGGGCCTCGGACTTTTACTCATGGTTTGCGGAAGCAGACGATTGTGATGCTTATCAACTCGAAACTCTCCGCGTTTTATCTGCCTCGACCACTGGCACGGAAGACGAGAGTGGCGTACAAGCCCAGCTTAAGAAACATGCATCCGTCGCCGAAGGTCTCAAGCAATTTGCTTCTACTGTCGAGGCCTTGAGGGAACAGGCTTTGGCTCTCGATCTTCAGGTTTCGTCATAATTTGATTTATTTATGAATATATATCTTAGACCATAATTTTATACATCTTTTATTATATATTATTAAGGATCGAGATGCCCCAGAAGTTTTAGAAAGAATTAAAAGTATTGAATGGCGTTATCAAGAATTATTGGAGTTGTCTAAGTTACGCAAGCAAAGACTTTTAGATGCTTTATCGCTTTACAAGTTGTATAATGAAGTTGATGGAGTTCAGGCTTGGATAGAAGAAAAAGTTTGTAATTTTAAATCTTTATGTAAATTTTACGAATTATATAAACATATTATATATATAACACAAATTTATCTACTCTTGAATATTAGAGGTGCTAAATACTTTCAGAGGCGTCACTGCTTTTATAGGTGCTTGAAAATTAAATTTTTTAAATTATGATAGAGGGGGCTTATTAAATGATTTTAAAAAAGATTGAAGTGACATTTTTTGTTTTGTTACTATAAGTGCTAATAAAGGTTTTTACAACTAAAATTTTTAAAATAATCTGGGGATGTTCAAAAAATTAAAACTTTTGATTTGAAGCCAATGATTAATGATTTTAAATTTTTAAGGTCAGAAGATAATTAATTATCACACAATGCAAATTATTAACATAAAAATATCATGACATAATGCAAAATAATATGATAGATTAAATCTCTTTTAAAATGCATAACAAAATGAAAAGGAAAAAATGTTATATTCAGTGGTACCGACAAAAGATGATATTGAAGCTTTGGAAGTTATGAAACATCGATTTGATAGCTTTGAACAAGAAATGAACAATTCCGCTTCTCGCGTTGCATGTGTCAATCAATTAGCGCGACAACTCTTGCAGGTTGACCATCCAAATTCGGATGAAATATTGGCTAAACAAACTGAACTAAATAAGAAGTATTTAATCTTCTACTCTTTTATATTTGCATGTAAATAACCTGAATCTAAACAATCTTAAAACTTATAGATGGAGTAAATTGCGGGACGTTGTGGATAAGAAAAAGTCAGATCTTGACAATGCATATGGTGTGCAAACATTTCATCTAGAATGCCAAGAAACAATTGTAAATATTTATTGAATTATGAATATTTTAAAGCTGCAAATAACTTTAATTTTTTTAAATTATGATATATGATAAAATTAATGATCAATGGAATGCTTATTATTAAAGACCTATAGAAATCAAAATTTTAAGCCCAAATTTTAAAAATTTTTATTTTCAACAACTAGTTCGAAATTAAAAAATTTGGCCAGTTCCCGATGTCTATTTTTTAACTCAGCCTGGAATTCTTATTTTGAATAATTTTGCAAATTGTTTCATAGGTAAATAAGAAATATGACCATTAAATGAAGATCAAACACTCCTTAAACATTATTTTCGAACTGATTAATTGATATAATTTTATAAATAAAATCAAATCTGCTTGTTAGATTTTTTATTATTTAAAATATATATTAATCCTGGTCTGGCCTAAATTTTTAAAATCATACTATTTTTCAGCCCATTCTAAGCCTGATCTGCAGGTCTCTGATTAGAATAGATAAAATATTTTAAAAAATTATATTTTTATATAAACATTCATTTGTAATTTAAATTTTACCAATTATTTTTATACATTTCCTTAAGTCCTGGATATTGGATAAGACTAAGGCTTTAGAGGAAACAGAAGAGTTTGGTAACGATTTAGGCAGTGTTATGAAGTTACAACGTCGATTGAGTTTGATGGAAAGAGATCTCAATGCCATTAAAGCTAAGGTAATTTGTTCTACCTAAATATATTTCAGTGCACATCTTTTTTTGCTACTATGAAAATAGTAGTTAAATATCTTAAATCTGGTTGGGGGGGCCTTATTTTTGTAAACAAATATCCTCAATTTTTTTAAAATTACCTCTAGTGATATTTATTGAACATTTAAAAATTCAAAATAAATTATATGAAAAAATAAAAAAGAATAAAGGACATTTAATAGATCTTACTATTATTTATAAAATGGAATTTAATATTTTTGAGCTAATTTTTTAATTTTTTTCGTATTAAGAGTCAAATCTATTTATATTTTCCGATGTTAGAATATATCTTTCTCATTTATTACATGACAATAGTTTGAAATAAGTGGTTTTTCATTTACCTATTAATTTTGATGGAAATTTTTATTATGCATATTTTAGCTCGCAATCTCTTCTTAGATAACGAGGGTTAAAGGTAGTGAGTTATCTGTCGGCTGACCAATACAATGCTATATTGTATTGGGTTAAACATATTTTTTCTATAATGCATTCTTATTTGTTTTAATTATTATCCATACAGAAGAATTAAAATGATTATTTTTTATTAATATTATATCTTTTGATTTTTTTTCTATTATTAATTATAATTATATATGGCTTTATTATTCAATAATCATTCATAATAATATCTAAAAAAATAGGAAATGCTTTATAAAAAATATACTAATATAATGCTTAAAAAAGTGAATAAGGCAATAATATATTAAAGGAATATAATTAAAAATGGGAATTATAAAAATTTTAAACATCTTGGTTTTGAACCCTATAAAATGTTTTGGATAATAGAGTATTATAAAATCTTTGAGAATAGTTCGAAGTTAATGACCACAATTTCTTTACTCCACTAAAGATAAAACGATAAAATTCTTAAACGTGGTTTTTATCGAACAATAATATTTTGATTGTCTATGTTTTAAATAATAGATGGACTCCCTCGAAAACGAGGCACAGGACATGGAGCAACAGCAAGCTAAACAAGTTCAACAACCTCCTGCGGCGGAATCCACAGCTCGATCTACAGCTCTTAAAAAAGACTTATCAGCCATGCGCGTCACGTGGGACCGTCTGGCCGAGTTGGTTAGGGCACGGGACGCCAAATTAGCTGAACACGGAGATCTGCAGAGGTTCTACTTAAATTTTTTTTATTTTTAGTGTAAGATCAATAGTTCACATTTCAGATTACCTGCAAATAACTATTAAAAAATGGTGTATTGCTTTCCATTTTAATAAAATTTATTAACAAACTATACAATTATTTTGAATTATTTTTAATCATTTCCCTATTAAAAGGTTCCTGGCCGATGTTGATCACTTTCAATCTTGGCTTGGTTCAACTCAACGGGCCGTAGCTTCGGGAGACGCTCCTAATTCACTGGCTCAAGCTGAAAATCTCTTAGCCAAACACAGGGCCATTCGTGATGATATTGATTCCCGGGCCGCCGACCGTGATAACATGGTTCGCATGGGAAAAAGGGTCACAGAAGGTATATCTACACACTTTCTTTTAATTTTTTATTCATAACCACAAGTGCAACTAGTCCATTTTTGGCAAAATTGGAACTGATATTTTTCTTCAAATTATATGGACATGAGTTGACTAGTTTTGTTTAATAATGGTTGAAAATTTTTTGGTAACAACATACAAGTTGCATGATGATATTATAAACATGATATTTTTATATTACTTATTTATTTTAAAAATTTCAAGAATGTTAGTACACAAAAAATCCTTAAAAATTTTTCGTTTTATTAGTGAATATTGAATGATAATATTACATAGAGATATAAAATAATTATTTGTTTTTATTAGGTCAAACTGATCCTCAATATATGTTTTTGAGGGAACGACTAAACGCCTTGGATTCTGGGTGGAATGAACTATTAGATATGTGGGACAATAGACAACGATTTCTCTCTGACAATCTAAATTATCAAATCTATACTCGAGATGCTAAACAAGTGGAACAGCTTTTAAATCAAGAAGATCGATTTTTGACAACGTTGGAGGAAGCCCCAGTCACATCACTCGACCAGATTGAATCTTTAATTAAAGAAATTGATATGTATAAACCTAACATGGATGTCGGTGCCGAAAAAATGGCAACGTTATTTTCATTTGCCGAAAAACTGACTGCCACAGAGTTAGCTTTTTAAAATTTTATTAATAAATCAATTAAAGATTTATAAAATTAATTTTGCATTTCAAATATAATTAACATATTTATTTAAAATACAGTTTATATATACATTATATTTAAAATATTAGTCAAGATTTACAAATTGGGTCAGCTGTAGATGTTGTGTTGCCGAAAGCAGAAGTCTTGAATAAAAGACTTGAGTCTAATAGAAATAGGTTGTCACAAAAATTATCAGAATTAAAGGACCTGAAAGAACTGCATATACTACTTAAACAAATGTCCGACCTTGGTGAATGGGTTAGTGATAAAGTTAGAGTAGCGCGCGATGATACTTATAGGTATTTATTGATATTATAAGTATAATTATTATATATTATATGTGTATTGCAATAAGATAAAACAATATTTTTATATAAATATAAAGGGACTCGAAAACGGCACATAGTAAGTGGACTCGCCATCAAGTGTTTGCTGCAGAAGTTCGAGCCAATAGAGATAGGTTGGATGATGTAAAAAAAGCATGTGAAAATTTTACTAAAATTTATCCTGGTTATAAAAACATAGTCGATGATTCTTTCGATGGATTACAAAAGGATTGGAATGAGCTTGAAAGAGCTACTAAGAGAAAGGGGAGCAAAATATTTGAAACCAACAAAAAGGTTATTATATAAGATTGTTTTAAAGCAAAGTCTTTTCAAAACAAGAATCTTCTTATTCTGAAATCATATTTAACTATAAAAATTTGAATATAATCACGAATTTATTTATTCAAGTGTAATATAATTATCAATTATTTTAACCAACCAAGGTTATTTATGAACAAACTTGCCAGGATATCGATCAGTGGACTCAGGAGCTAGAAGATAGAGTCATACCGAGTCAAGATTTTGGCCGCGACCTGACTTCCGTGAACATATTGCTTCGCCAACAGGATGAAATCGAGAAACAAATGGATCAGAAAAAGTATCAAATTCAAGAACTCCAATTAGCGCGATCATCTGATAGAGATGATTACCCTCCTATCAGGGAATCTATAGCCATTGAAGAAGATGAAAGTATACTCGAGACCGTTTCTCCCATTTCCGCAGTACCTATTCCTCAATTAGCTTATAGCGTCGTCGACTCAGGCAGGACTGATATATCGGAAGGTTTGTCAGAATTTTAATTGTTTGTTACATCATATTTATTTATTTTAGCCTTTAGAATAAATAGATTATTTATGTAACATTAAATATAATATTGTATAGAAAAATATGAAGAAAGATGTGATTTAGTGTTGCTAAAGTAACTAGTTACTTGTAATCAGTTACTGTTGCAACTATTAACTGTATTTTTTGGAATGTAACTGCCATAAGTAACTAGTTATTTTTTAAAATATTTATTCTATATATCTTAATAAATATATTCAATAATTAATTTAACTATTAATATTTTATTTTAAATTAAAGGATTAAATGTCTGATTTGGTATGTGTGCCTTTTTTATATTTTATGTGAATAATTGGTTATAATTAATCAGTTTGATACAGAATATAATATGAATTTTAGTGGGCTCCTAATTTGATGAATGACAATCAAATGATTTAGAATAACGAAATAGAAATTGCACCACCCCCTTCTAAAAGTATTACCATAACAATGGACTTAAATGTAAAATAACTTAGCCAAGCCTAGAAAAATATTTTGATTTTATTAAGTAAATAATAGCTTGTATATTTGTGTATCAGTGCATTGGATAGATATGATTAATTTTTAAAAACGCTCAACTATTTTAATCTGTCAAAGACTTCAGAGCAGGTTTACATATATTCTACTCAACAAAGGCTTAACTGCTATTATTAAGGAGCATAGTATCTCAAAATGTATAATAACAGATCACACAGCAAACATTTTGGTATGCTAACCTATTTACTTTATATATCTTCGTATTCTTTAATTATATATATTGAATATATCTAAATAGAAGGTATAATGTCTTCTTCTGGATTAACTGATTATGATTTAAATAACTTCTATTACCTTCTCAGGTACCGAATATGTATTTGTCATACAGTAAACTTAATGGCAATAAGATCCTTTTAGAGAATGTTGATTATAGAAAGTAGGGGAGACTGGGGTTAGTCAAATCGATTTTATAAAATTAGCTATAGCTCCTGGTATTTTTTAAATGATATAAAAAATATATATGATTAGATACCTAAAACTATATTCTATAAAACTGCCTTTTAAAAAAATTTAACATTTAATCATTTTTTTTAATTTTGTTTTTTGTAAAAGTGAAAATTTTGTCCAACAAGCTCCAATAGCGGGGTGAGGAAAACCACTTAAGATGCTTCCTCAACCGTTGGTTTTTTTAGGCTATAATAAATTGAAATCCATTTTTATTTATTAATAATGATACGTATAGAATAATTTTATTGTTGTAATGTTCAAAATAATAATTATAAATTGAAGCTAATTATATATAAAAATTGAAGTTTAATTTTGGTTAATTTAATAAACTTTTGGATATAAAAAATTAGTATCTTAAGGAGAGATTGTGACTTTTTAGCATTCATAAATACCAATCATAAACAGTCATGAAATTGCCTTAAAAATTTTTTCATTATTAACTGCCATAATTGACGTGTATGGTTTAGAAAGCCCCGCTAGCTCTAAATTGACAAATCATGATTGATGATATCTAGATATAATAAATACTCATAAAACTTACCCAAGTAGAAGAGTCTTTAAACTTTGCTATAAAATTTAATTTACATATAAATGATTAAATATTTTAATAAAAATTAAAATTCTATCATGTAAAAATTTCATCTAAAATTAATTATTTCAAAAGATTTTTTGTCTATAGATGTAAACTAGAAAAAACTATATTAGGATAAAAGAGCCATCATTTGAAATAATTAAAAAGATATTAAATTCTTAACTACCATATCCCCTTACAACAAGATGAGATATAAACCTTACATAATATTACCATTTTTTAGATAAAATGCCAGAATTTGATTTATTATGTGATGAATTAAAATTGGATAGATTCCAACACATGGACCTGTTTTTTTAAAAAATATTGTATAAATTTAAAGTTTTATAAAAAATTTACAATTTAAAAATTAAAATATTCAACAAGTTTATAAAGGTGAAAAATACATTTATCAGGGTTATGATGCGACCATCAATAACACAGATACTTATATTCCTGGAAGATATGCTAGTATTAAAACACTGACCTTTAAAATTTTATATGTTTGTTAGTATTATATAAAAAAAAACTTAAATTATTTATAAATTGATAATATAATGTTTATATAAGTTCCATGATCTTTATGATGTTAACATTATTGTTGATTCTCCATCTATATAAAACTGACTGGCCATGGATAAGTCTATAAAGAAATAGAGCAAAAAATGAAAATGCTAAAGATAATGAAAACATTAATTCTAGGCAATTGAATCAAGGCCAAAATAAACATTATTTGATCATATCCATTTTTTTTAACCTAAAATGACATATTTTTTTTGTTTATAATGGTCTGAAAATTTTAAACAATCCAAGAATAACATACAAATTTAATATTACTTTTTGATATAGATTTGTTTTGTCTTGATATTAAGTGCTTCCATAGAACGTTTGTTTACTTTATGGGAGCTTATTTTTCCGGAGAATATAGCCTGTCATTTAGACGGAAATCTTAAAAATAGTTTATTATTAATGCAAATAAAAATTAAAAGCCCGAATTTTTATAAAAAATAATCAGTGCAATTAAATATATTCTATCGCGGTATTTCTCTTCAGTTGATTTATTTTTTTATACAAATAAATTGTATATATTCAAAATTAAAAAATGATGCACTATTTAAATGATTTAAAATAACTTATATTATAACTACTTAATTTTATAATATAATTAAACTATTGACTAATTTAATTAGTAACTTAACTTATTACCTTTTTGAATGTACTTGTTTATGTTTAGCTCTGTGATTGTATAAATAAAAAAAATAATGTAGACTAATGATTTTATTATCCAGGATCATTTGCTTAAGCAAAAGTTTTCCCTTCATTATATGTCTTTTATTAAATTTAAAAATTGTAACTAATACTTGACTTTTGTTAATTAAAATTATTTTTCTATTTTATTATGTAAAATTTAGTTTGTCATATTTTATTTTATTCATTCGATTATAAAGGTCACGCCACTTCCTCAGTTTCGACCCCCGTGGTGGTTCAAGAATCCATGCGACGTAAATTTAAAACATTAGAAGGACCTCTCTTAGAGAGGAAAATGCGATTGCAGAAGCAAAAAGACATATTTCAATTCCAACGTGATGTAGAGGATGAAAAACTATGGCTAGACGAAAAATTTCCTCAGGCCTCCAGTGACAATTACGGCAATAGCCTCGTGTCTGTCCAAGGGTTGCAAAAGAAAAACCAGGTTACTTTAAAAGAATGTTTTAGCTTTACTAAATAATATCCTTTCATTACTCTAAACGCCTTTATATATAATAACACAATTTTTGGAAACCAATTTTAAAATGAATACAACTTTGCATTTCACTTGTAAATTTTACCCAAATCCAAGTTTAAAGCTTTAGCTCGCCTAAATCCGGAGTTATCTTTCAAAATCCAGGGTAACCCTTCGATCTTGTCTAGGAACCTCTTAATTTATTTTATTTAGACCATTATCTATTTAATTTAATTTTTTCACCCATTTTATAAAAGTGTGGACTTGGTAAGAAATAAATTAGTTCAATTTTTATTTCTTTTAATAAATTGAAGAAACAAGACTTTATTTAATATTAAAAATAAATTTAAATTTAAATATACAAAACTAAAAAATCACAATTAATCATAAGTATATATATATGGTGAATCCATGCCAAATCAACATGAGCTTCAACCCGACCCCCTCAGATTTTTCTAAAATTTTTACTAGAGTTTGTATATATTATAACTAAGAGGATTTTTTATGCAACCCCAAACAGCGCTTGAGATACGGGCCTCTAAAGACCAAAAAAATGGAGAATTTTGGATAAAATGCTCTCCCTTTAATTTTGGATATAATTGAGCTAGAAGCGTCATTTTATTTCTTTATATAGTCTAATGATAGGCCTTTAAAGTTATGTAGTGTTATATTGTTTAAAAAAATCGAAAATCATAGAATCAAATTGTTATTTTTTTACCTCAAATTTTATAAAAGATATACGGACTAATTAATAAATGTGCCGTAAAAATTTGCAATAAATATTTGAGGGAGCATTAATTGTAATCTATTTATAAAATATTTTATGAAGGCGGGGGGGGGGGTGGTTGGCTCTTGTTAATTTCTGTAATATATTTACTTCGTTCTTAAAATTCAACAATTTTGATAAACATATACGCTGTGAAGGACTAAGAAACGAACTTCCTTTATGATTGAACAGAATAAATTATTAACGATAAAGTTAGCATTAATTAAGAAATAGGTTTTGAAAATTTCAGAGGATATTTTAATTATCGATGAGTGTGAAATAATTTAGCAATTGAAAAATAAATTTAAAGCAACATTCTCGAAATGAAAAAATTCAGATATTTATGATTTTACCAAATTCTGAGCAGGGATGTGAACCCTTCGACAAAAAAAAAGGGTCCGTGTTCGGGTCCGGTAATAAATTTAAAAAGGACCCGGGTCCAGGGTTCGGGTCCGGGTTCAGAGGAAACATAAAAATAAAGACTCAAAATAAGACTTTTTTTCATTCATTTTTTATTATACTTTAATATATATACACATTTAAAATTCGAAATGAGAATTTATATTTTAAATATTTTATTCAATCGCACAATCATGATATCTTCTAAAATATCATCCTTCAGATTTCCACGTAAATTAGTCAACGATGAAAATCCACTTTCTACGCTTACCTAAAATAGATAGTCATTTTTATAATACATAAATTATTGTACTTATGTCGCCGGTACAGCCATGACGATTCTAGAAGTATATTTGAAGAATTTTCCTCCCAGAATTTTAAAATGTTTGCATCTCTATTTATTCTCATAACTTCCGAGAACTTTTCTATTAAAGATACAATAGATATTTTTTGCTCCTTTCTATCAGATGATAATTTAATATTTTTTTTTATTTATCTAATATTAAAATTTCCAGATCATCAATATCGTTATCATTATCAATGTTATCGCTACAACCAGTAGATATTGTTGTAACCACCAATGTATTGTAAATAATAGAGTTTTGGGTATGCCATCAAGATGGTCTATAGCCATTTGTTTTTGCTCACTACTTAATAAAACCTGATATCGCGGGTCTAAATATATCGAAGCATATACAACACTATTTTGTAAATATTGTTGCTCCTTATTTTCGTATTTTCTAATACTTCATTTGAAAAAGAACTTGTTAATCTCCCTAACTCTAATCGACATCTTAACCATATGCCATAAAAATCCGATAAACATAATTGTTCTGCTTGCACTCGTAATGTTTTTATTTTAAAAGGAACCAGCACACTAATAAGCTCTTTTACTTGATTCCAATCATCTTCTGACAAAATGATTTCACATGCTTCTGTGATAAAATCATTACAGAAATCTTTCAAACTTAATAATCGCTCTAGCATCATACATATAGAGGACCAACGTGTTGTGCAATCTAAAATTGCCATTTACATTTTCATGGTTTTTAATATTCTAACAATTGTGGGAATTCTTAAATATTTTACAACATCCCTTGCTTTATCAATTATAGTTTTAAAGTGACTATTTTTTAGGGAGATTCCACGAAAAAAATTAATAAAATTATAAAAATTTTACATTATTTTTTAAAAATTAATAAAATTATAAAAATTTTATATTATTTAATTAATAAAATTATAAAAATTTTATATTATTTTTATAAAAATTATAAAAATTTTATATTATTTTTTTAAAAATTAATAAAATTATAAAAATTTTATATTATTTTTTAAAAATTATATTTTTACATTAATTTTTAAAAAAATAAATTTTAAGTTAAAAATTTTTAACACCCTGAACCCTTGGACCCTCCACTTTTTAAAAGGGTCCGGGTCCGGTTCAGCCAAAATACTAGGGTCCAGGAGGGTTCCGGGTCCGGGTTCACATCCCTGATTCTGAGACCCTAAATACAAGAAGAGTTTTCTACGACTGAATTCACGGCAATGATGGCCAAAAAATTTATTTAATTCTGAGTTCAATGATATAATAATATTTAAAATCATGCTAGATGTTAGTCTTTTCTCACTTCTTATTCCAATAATATCAATAATTTTATTATTTCAAATTTTGTCAGAATTTAATTTTTTAAATTATATTCACATAAAATCACAACCAGATTAAATATAATTAAAAACTTTATTTAAAATAGTTAATATAGTAAATTTAAATTAAAACCACTTATTATCAAAAAAGGAAAATATAATATTTTTATATTTATCAGAATTTAATCTAAATTCATATTTTTACCTTTATGTCTTTTTAGATTTGAGCTGCTGGATAATAAGAATATAAATTAACATGCCTTGATTGATTCAATTTTAATTAGATTAGCAATCTTGAATATATAAACAACAATATAATAAATAAAATAAAAATGAAGAACTGGGGGTTGAGATGAAATAAAAACGGCTTATATTATTTATAAAATTTTAAAAAAATATATAATATAAAAAATATTTTTTCCATATTTTTTTTAAAAATTTTTTAGAGTAACTTTTGCGTTACCGTTACTCTACTCGTGAGATTTTGAAACAAGTAACGAATAACTATTTTGTCTTAAAAAAATAGAGACGCTACTCTACAGCACTAATTATTTGTGATTTTTCAATCAAATCTTTTTTTATTAAATTAAATTCTTTATCAAGAGTGCAAGGCTATAACTCGGGATCTAGGTAAGCTAGAAAATCTTGATTTGTATAAAATTTACAGCCTATTTAACTAAAAACAAAGTTTTACATTATTTTTCAATTGTGTCCAGAATAAATAAAAAAGTACATAACAAGAGAATTGATAACTTTAAGTTATTTTAATACTGAGCATATCTTTAAAATGAGTTAACTCTAGCTTACGCCTGAACCTAGATTAGGCGATGAATCAATAATTTTTTTAATAACTAATAAATCTTATAGTCGAACGCTAGCCCAGATTAGGAATAGGCCTTAAAAATTGAAAACATGCAAATTTTAAAAATATATCCATTTTTGGTATAGCCACATAACTACAGAAAGAATTACCAACCCCCCTCAAAAAATTTATTTTCTAACCCAAAATTTTGCCTTTAAAATTAGTTTTTATATCTTATAAAAAATATCCCCCCACCCCGGCTACGGGCATTTTTACATTTCCTGGTCCCTCTGTAATTTAAATAAATTTATATATGGTTATTTTTCCAACCATTTAATTTAAAATTTTTGGAATTAAATTGAAGACATTGAGATCAGAGGTAAACGGACATGAGCCTAGAATAATGTCATTATGCGAAAGGGGACGAGAACTTAAAAATGCCATACCCGAAAAGGCGGAAGAATTTCAGGAATTGGTAAATGAGTTGATGGATAAATTAAACGAGCTAAAGGATAATATTAATAACAGGGATAAAAAGCTCAGTGTTTCTTTACAAGCACAACAGGTAATAAGATTTAAATATCATTACATTATTATTGCCTTGTTGTAATAAAAATTAAGTTTTAAGTTTATCATAATTCATAACTACTATAAGAGTTTTTAGTTCTTGATAACAATTTAAAATGATTAAAGTAAATAGCTAATATGAATAACACCTCATAAAAATTTTCATTATAAGGATTCAATTCATTATAAATTTTCATCATAACGATTCAATTCATTATAAATCAATATTATAACGCCATAATACTTCGATAAATTTGAAAGAAAAATATTAGACCATATCCAACCATTATTATAATGTATTTAATATTTTATTAGTATTACTATGATGTATCAGAAGCCGAAGCATGGATGAGTGAACAGGAGCTTTATATGATAACTGGTGAAAGAGGCAAGGATAACTCATCAGTCGCTAATCTTCTTAAAAAACATTCAAATACAGAACATTTGATCGATAATTATGCTGACACTATACGTGATTTAGGAGACAGAGCAGAAAAATTTATTCAACAAAATCACCCTCAGAGGTTAAATAAATATATTCATCATTTTTATATGAAAATTATTATATTTTTAAGAATCTTACAGTCAATATTCAAAACCCTATAATTAATTGTATCATATTATGCAAATTTAATTTGATATTTGAAATTATGCAGCGATCAGATAGCCATCAAGCAGCATCAGATGGAGAAATTATATGCTGGCCTGAAGGAAATGGCCTGGGAGCGGAGAGCTGATTTAAACAAAAGTACCTCGCTTCACGAACTCTCTCGTGACATCGAAGATGTTGAACAATGGATCATCGATAGGGAAATGGTGGCCTCTTCTCATGAGCTTGGACAGGATTATGAACAGATCACAGTTATTATGCATAATCTCATTCATAAATTCAAAGCTGGTAAGCATTGGTTTAGGCTGGAGCCCTAATGCATAGGCTCAATTAATGTTAGGGAGGTGGGATCAATAACTATCGAAATTCTAGATATAACGGAAAATCCTAAGTTAACGATCTAAAACATATAAACAAAAAAACAGGGAAATATCAAGGATAACTTTCAAGCTATAAATCGCTTAGGAAGTCAACCTATTAGGGTTGATTATAAAATCACTAAAATACCAATATTAAAAATAAAACGAATTAATTTACTACAATAATTAACATAAAACTATCAGTTTATAAAGAATATCGTATGATGATATAAAAGTTGGAAATTAAATAAAGCTGTTAATTTTGGATACTAATTTTAAAAAAAATAAACGAAAATAATTTCATGATCACGATTTCTTTTTCCTGCTTATTTACCAAAACAAAACCATTTAATAAAAAATTATCATTTCAATTGGTTAGTATATAATTTTTTAGTTATTTTATTAGATATTTCATACATAAGATACAACAGGGTTTACCGTTATTTTCGAGAGCATTAAATACGTAAACAACATTTTTTATATTTTGTTCTCATTCAATTCGAACATCATAGAAAAAATAATGAAAAAAATGTCATTACCCCAATTTTTACCATTCTTTCAATCAAATTCCCATTTAAAATGAGCTTAAAATATATGATTTTTTTTACACTTAGTTTATAATAATTTGTTTAATAAAAATCAGCTGAATATCTATAAAATTATTTTTAAAAAAATTTTGTGCATCATTGGTATCACATTAAAACACATAAAATATTCGTAATAAGCTATATTTTTAATAAAACGAGTATCTATAAACTTATTTTTGAATAAAAAGAAGTTCTAATTTTTTATAGAAAGGAATACTCAGATATCCCAATTTTTTACGAGGAAAATCTTGCCATATAAGATTTGAAAAATATTGAATAGGATTCTTTTAATAAAGGAGGCTAAAATTACATCTAGTAATTTTATTTTTTAAAAAGACTATCATTATGTCATGTTGGAAACACTAAAAGGAAATTTATTCATTGAAATATTAAATTAAAAATGTAAATTGCATATGCATAATTATTTGGAACTTGTGAGGGACATATTTTATTGATGAATATTTACTTTTTATAAATATTTAATGAATGATGAAAAAAGAAAATTATCTATTAAATTGAAGGAATATATAAATCCTTGCTTAGCCATGGCGTCCGTTAATTATTAAGACAATAATATTTTTAAAAATTTATATGCAAATTAAATTACTTTTTTAAAGATTATTTTGATTAATTATATACAATTCAGTGACGCATAAAATTAATTTATTAAGAAAATTTTAAAATTAATTTATTGATCATATGATTTTTATTGAATAAATTACAAGTTTAGTATCGAAAACAATGGCAAACCTATAATAAAAATAATTATAGTGGAAAATCCCATAAAACATATCTTAAAAGATATATAAAAACCCATAACAAGTTTAAAAATATTTAAAAGAGACTTAATATCTTTATCAAGTCCAGTGAAGAGATGAAATCAAAATAATCGAATAATGTTTGGCAAATTTCTTTATCGGTGATGCAATGCCTACCCCATTTAAGGACTTTCATACCAAACTTCTTGAGAGTTTGCGCAATAAGCCATTTATTTATTACAAAAAAAATCAATAAGACGACAAATAAAAAAGGGAACTTAATATAACCGAAATAAGAATATAATATTAAAATTATCGCTTGATATTTCTTTTTATTTGATTAATATGTTTATCAAGAATAATTATTTGAAACTTAAAACTCGGGTTCTACACATTTGTATCATTCCAAAAATTAAGCGAAACGATATCTAGAATTACATGGTTAACTTATCAATGTATCATTTTTGGCAATTTGCCTTTATAATTGCTTGTTTTATAATCATTTTTTATTTCTTTTTTAGAAATGGTATTGTCAAATAAATAAATCTTTATTATAAAAAATAAATTGAACAAAATGTTAAAATAAAATAAAAAAAATAACTTGTGTTTAAAATGCTAATCCATTTCTACTATTTCTTGATCCCTACAAAATAGATCTCTGCTAGGACCGAAGATCCCAACGAGGGATTCTACCTACGCCAAAGATTAGCCATAAACATAGTAAAATAAAATTATCTCAGCTTTATTTTTTCAATAACCGAAACCCCGTAATTGAACATCTTATGCATAGGATAGACTTTGGCCATTTTGCTGCCTAAATGTTAACGCTAAAAGGGAACTTGAATCTCAATCAATTAAAAATATCAAGAATTAATGACTTTATATAATTGTGATTTACTAATATAATATTTTTTTTTACTATTATTATAACTTACCTTGATATAAATTGTCAAGAGATAAAAAATAATTAAAAATTTAAATATCGGATCAGTTTCGACGAATTAAAAAAAATGAATCGTTGTAGTATTAATATTAAATCGATGCTGCTATGGATCTTTGAATAAAATATTGTATTGACTTTTTAAAACAAAAGAAAGAAAGTATGCCTGAATGAATATTTAATATTAAAAAGTATTTTATTTATCAATATAAAAAAATAAAGCCATTTGAGCGTTACTCTTGCTATAATTTTTAATGAAAAAACATAACACATCTCTTGTTTAAATTAAGGTTGCCATTTTTATTAGTATCGTCGATCAAAATTTAACTGTTATAAAAAAAAGAAATTTTTGTAAATTATATTATATTATCGTTTGCTATTTTATTTCAATAATTTCTAAATATTTATTTTAGTTGATATGTTAGTTTTTTACATTTGATATAATATTAAATTTAATTTATTTATAATTAAACAACTAGGTAGGGATATTTAGTGCCCTCCCTCTTATTATTCTTATCTGGGTAACAATATTTTGTCGCTTGCAGAAAAAATCGAATTCTTAAAGAACTGGTCGTAGACAAAATGAATGAGTAAATGGGTTTTAATGCCAATCAGTAATTTGCATAATACCATTTTTTGCATAATACCATTTGAATGCATTATTTGCGTTTGAAACGCTCAATTTTTGTTCACTATTAAAAGTTTGCGATATAATATTCGATAACTTTTTTCTTTTTTTATTGATTTTAGCGCCTGCGTGATCGTTTTTCCGATTTTTCACGTGAAACTGAACGTGTGGGCTCAGAAAAAGTGGGCACCGTTATTCGCGCATGCGACACCTTAATCCACGAATCACAAAAGTTTGAGACCTCTGCTGGGAGAGAAGGCTCCCGCCGGGAGCTGGAAGCGGAAGACGCTGCCCGTGTAGCTCTTTGGAAAGACTACATAAGCGATAAATGGGAAGATTTGCAGGAGCTGCTTGCCACTCGTGCCGATCTACTTGATGCCGCTAGAAATTTGCACAAATATCATTACGATTCTAGGGAGCTTCTGGCCCTTATTGCTGTAAATTTTTAAAATTAATTTAAACTTTTTAATTTTTTTTATATTATATTATAAATACTTAGAATATACTAGCGTTAGGTAAAATAAGAAATTATTTTATAATTACTTAACTTTGTCTAAAAAGGTATGAATATTTATATATTTTTTTATAAAGTGCGATAGGTTCTTTAATTGCTCATCATTGACTTTAATTAAGTACATTTTTTTTGTTTTAGATTGTAAAACTTTTTAAATACTTAATTTATTTTATATAAATCTATTCAAAATAGGAAAAGAAAAATTCAATGTCGGAAGAATTAGGAAGAGATGTGAGTAGCGTATCCATGTTACAACGCAAACATTTTGGGTTTGAGAAAGACTTGGAATCCCTAGATTTTCAAGTTTATTTTGTTAAATATGATAAGTTCTATTAATTATTGAATTCGATTTACTTTATTATTAAAAAATAATTCATTTTGGTAGGTTCAAAATATTTCCGACAAATGTTCCGATCTTAGGGTTAGATATGCTGGAGAAAAGGCCAAAAATATAGTGGATCGAGAAATGGAAGTAGTTTCAGCTTGGAATACCCTCAAAGCTATGGTGCAAGGTCGTAAGCTTAAACTCGATGACACAGCTCAACTTTTCAAATTTTTCAATTCGTCCAGAGATTTGGTGGCTTGGATGGCCGACGTTGAAAAGCAAATGAAGACCACTAAAAAACCTAAGTATTCCAACAGCCAAACATTATGACCTCTCACCAATTAATTATCATAGAATTCGACGTTATATTATAGCATATTTTATAGGAATTTGATTTTATTATAAATATTGAATTTCATCTGAATATTTATTAAAAATGTTAATTTTCTCGAGGGATGTATCGGGAGTGGAACTATTAATGAACGGACACCAAGCTTTGAAGGCCGAAATTGAATCGAGAGACGAAACATTTTCTTCATTTTTTGATCTTGGGCGCGATTTGATTAACCGCAAGCATTACGCCTCGTCAGAAATAAAACGCAAAATGGAAGAAGTTAATGGACTCAGGAACTCGCTTATCGAAAAATGGGAACATAGATGGGAATACCTTCAACTTAGTTAATCCCAATTATATCATATATAATATTTTTTTAAATATTAAGCATAAAATTTGAATTCTAAAAAAATGTTTTTTTGCTTAATTTTTTTCGAATTTTAATTTATAAATTATATATGAAAAAATGCCACATGTTTATATTTATATATTAGTTTTGGAAGTATATCAATTTGCGAGAGATGCAGCAATAGCCGATACCTGGCTTTTTACTCAAGAACCTTATGTTCTTAGATCAGAATTAGGGGTATATTTTTGATAAACATTTTATAATTAAATTTATACTATATGAACAAATTATATATTATAATATATATATTAATCAAACAATAGAATTCGTTAGATGAAGTGGATAAATTATTGAGGAAACACGATGCTTTTGAAAAATCATTGAATGCACAAGAAGACAGGTTTGCTGCTCTTGAGAGATTAACAACGGTTAGTATATTATTTAAGTTATATTTTTAAATTTCTATATATTATTTATATATAGCTTGAAATTCGGGAAGCTCAAAGAAAACTAGAAAAGGAAAGGCTCCTAAAATCTCAGCACGAAAAGCAAAGAGATTCTCAACTTAAGAAACAAGGAGACGTAAATCTTTTAGATACATCGGGAGAAACTGAACACACGTTAAAATTATTTTTTTATGGACCTACTCACTCATATGATTATTTTTAGGATTGGTTTAAAATTTATTTACGATAAGTTATTCTCGTCAAAATTATATAAAAATTTTCAAATTTTTTACCATAGACCTGATATATCAATTACTGACGGTGAAAAGCTTAGGGTTGTTGATATCTCTGGAGCTCATCGAGGTATATTATTTCCACATAGAAAATATATTTAGAGCTAATTTTCCAAATTTTATTTGATATTAAAATTATTCATTTTAGAAAAAATATTATCACCTTCATATTATGGTGATCAGAAACTTCTGGAAAGTCATTTGATTCGTAAGTGCGTATGGCTAAGCACTACTAAAAAATCCGCCCACAGGTATTATATTAAATGATTTGAATTAATATTAGATAAATATCATTTATCTAGTATAATACATGCGAAATAATGATGATAGCTCAACTCAATGTTTAACTAAAGGATATTTTTTTAATTAGATAAAATATATTTCAAATTAAACAAGTCACTGGATCTAGGGATTAGGATTAAATGTTAAAGAGATAGAGTTAGAAGTTGACTAAAGGTTTGAGAGATATGGGTTAGGATTAAGATATATTGAACATGGTTTTTTAATAACATTTATCATTTTTTTAATTAACTTGTCAAATCTGACAGGCCATGTGATTATAAATAAACATATAGAAATTTAAATAAATCAGAATTTCCTTGAATTATACCATATCGAAATAAATATGCACATAAATTTTTTATAATTTTAATCTCTTGATAATTTTTTATAGATCTTGGGAAAAAGTTTACGCTGTTCTCCAAAAAGGGCATTTACACTTTTATAAGGATCAAAAATATTATAGACAAGTAATCCATAACTTAATTAGGAAAAATTAATGTAATATTATTCTAGGAACCCAATATATACTATCACGATGAGAATCCTTTAAGTCTAAATGGTGCCAGTTGTGAAATCGCCAATGATTACACTAAACGCAAAAATGTATTTAGATTAAAGTAAATACACATTTTTGTCATAATATTATTGTTAAAATTTTTATAATGAAATTTAATTTTAATTTATATTTTATGATTATTTTAGGCCTTAATTTATTAAGTACTATTTTGATATTTCTTTTAATGCAATTTCACTCATAACAACAACTTAGACTTTTTATTCAAATTAAATCACAAAACCTATATAATCTTTTGTATAAATTTTTTGCAAAATCATATTATTCATAAACATCGTATATATTCTATTTCTTTTTTTTATAATCAGTAATTATCTTGAAATCATACAAATAAAATTAACCCCAAAACACTAATAATAATAAAATAATAACACGCCTTTCCATTTTAGAAAACAACCAAAGGCAAAATAATATACACTTGCGTGAATATACAACATTCAATAAAAATTTAATAAATAGCTCACAATATTCCAATATATTATTTTTTATGCTTTATTTATTTTTGCATCGTTTCATACACTTTCTTTTATCTTCAATGATAGTTGTTCTAGGGTTGCCTACATTATTTTTATAATGATCGGTCATGGCATCGCTGATACTTTTATTACGAGGGTTTATATCAATAATTATTGTTGATTATCGTAGTAGGTGTTTCGATTAATTATGGGATATCATCATGCTGCTTATCTTTTATTTACATTATTATTAACTATGGACTTTTATTTCCCCGTGGAATTTATTTGTTTTTGACTACGGTTATTTATTAATTTTTTATAAAGTTTATATTTTTCGCAATTCATTTTATCCCTTTTTTAAGCAATATATTTAAATTCTATCTTTTAATTAGTGCTAAAATAATACCTTTAATCTTGATTAATTAATGTGTACCACAAATTATCATCTTTATTTATGGATAATACCAGAAACTTGAACCCGGACCCTTTTTAAAATTGGGTTCTAGGTGTGAGAAAATTTTTTTTGAAATTCATCATTTTTATTTTCTCATTTTTCAAAATTTCAGGTTTATTATTTCAATTTTATAGGTAATAAATATCCTGTTTTAATTTATATCAATTTTATAGTGTAGATAATAATATTTTATTATAAATGATAATGTATTAATATGCTATATAATAGGAATATATTGCTTATCTTGTTTTATATCAATTTTAGAAAGTTAAATATTGCGAATTTTATAGCTTACCGGGTAGGGAAATCCTCCAACATCGCAAATTTGCCTGTTCTCGTAAATATCATTTTAAGCTAATAAAAATTTGTTCCCTACACCACTTACCCCTCTCTCCAAAAAATGTATACACTATATCACTATTGAAGATAAAATTAGTGAAGGTTAACCCTTTAAAATACGACTATAATTAAAAAATTTTATATGAAACCAAAATTATTATTATAAAAATAGTGGACCTAAAAATCTTCGGAAAACTTCACCCATGATAATGCTTATGCTTTGTAGTGTGTAATAATATTTTATCATAAATGATATTAAGGGCTATGCTATTAAATATGCATGTGTATTTATGCGGAGTATAAAGAAAGAAAGAAATTGTGTTTTTTTGAGTCAATATTTCTTTAGGTTCTCCAAGCCTGGATCCTAGACCCGAACCCTTTCTTAAATTTTATTCCTGAACCCAGACCAGGACCCTTTTTGCTGAAATGTTCACATCCCTGATTAATACCAATTTTTTTTGTGTCCTTTGTATACATCAATTTTACCGATACTTATATTTTCACTCTTAATCTTCATCACCCACATTTACATATTTTTTTAAAACAGTAATTGTAAATATCGAATACTTTAAATAGATTAACTCAACTTAATTAAATTAAACCTCAATTATCTTCCATTTGTTCAATATTAAATTATCTCTTTCTTGTTATGCATTTATGCTAATTTTTACAATGAAGTTCATATCCATAATTTACGAAATTCCACATCTTCAATTTCAGTCGAACCTTGTCCCTTAAAATCCATAATAGATTGAATCGAAATCTTGGTTATATTTCCCATTAATAATATTTTCCCGTGCTATTTCAATATTTGCATTTTGACCCTGATATATTTTCCTTTTCCGTAAGACAATATTCTTACTATCTTTAATAAATAAAGAATTATTACAGCATGTCAGTTACTTCTTATAATTTATATATATAATTCGACACTATTTTTTCCCCAATATTTATTCGGTCAATATAAAAATTTTTACTTTTTTAAAATTTATTTAGTCAAATCCTTCTATTTTTTTTCTTACAACTTTTTACAGTATATTTTCTTACTGCTGTCCTTTTTTTCCTTCAAGTTTTAATTTTATAAACAAACTTGTATTAAAGGTAATTTATTTCTTGTAATTCTTATTTCCACACCCGAACTTTGTTTATATTGGTTTATTTTCGTATATTACTATTTTTTCATTTTCCGCTTTTAAATTTTTCTTATCTGGTATTTCTTTATTTTGGACTAACAATTTTTTTTCATAATTCATATCATTCTAAATCTCCGGTGACCCCATGGTTTGTCTCGAAATTCGTGATTTTTTCATTCTTCGAATCTCAGAATATTGTTTACCACATTTCCAATTTTAACACTTCTTGTTATAAAAAGTCTCGAACCTTTATTGATATTTTTTGCAATTTGTTTCCTTCATTTATTTTTATTCTTGGACATTGACCATACTTCATACTAGCTTCTAACATTAAAATTGGTATCCTACATCCTCCGTTGAGTTTAATTCATTCACATGCTACTACTATATATTATTTTTTACGTCTATTTCTCTTTCTATTTTATTCTCGTCAATTATATTATCTCGTGATTCCAATTCCAACATAATTAATCCTATTATTTCCTTTTCACTCTCTTATATTCAGTTTTTCCGATAATCTATTGCATAATGTCCTATATTTCGACATTTAAAACATGTTATATCTTATATATTCTTCGAATCCTGTGTTATATACTTAACCTGTGAATACGCCCCTTTATTTATGGATCTATCATCCAGCATTTTTCTTGGATATTTCATATTTTACCACATTTTTCGCACTGCAATATTTTATGTGTATCTTCAGCAATTTTATACGCGGGCACATAATAATTTTCCATTCGGTATCCAACAGTTCCACATATCTTACACGGCATTAGTTGTGAATTATTTGATACAAATACGAACCTTTTATTTAACCATCTACTTATGTATTCACCACATTTAATACAAAGCGTATTTTGTACATTTATTCCCGAACTATTCATTTTATCTTCCCTCTGATAGGCATGCGCATCTTATAAATGAATTTCCCTTTGACTTATGCGATTATACCTATTATTATATCTACCATTATCCTCATAATATTTTCCTCGACTTCGCATACGATTCTTATGATGATTTTTAATAATCACTATAGTCCCTATTATATATGTGTTGATCTTTATTTAAAATATTTCTTTATTATATCTCCTATTTTTATTTTTAATATTATATCTTTGTAATTACTTTCAATAATGCTATCTCATACATTCCTCATTAATTTGATTACTCTTTCTGGATTTCCACATTTATTAATTCATTCACCCTTATTTTCATTTCTATACTCGTTATTTTCGTAATTACAATTATTTATAGATATATCATTACCATTGTTGTCACAAAATTACCCCAGTTTAACCGTTGTTTTATGGCATAGATATATCTTCTCTATTTATTTTTGCAAATTTTCATTTTTCCTTTTGAAATTTTCTCTGTGGATTTCTTTCATTGTACCTTGATATGACAATTCTTAATTTTGTAACTAAATTACAATTATTCCTCCTATTTCCTTCATTCATTTTTTGTAATTATTGTTGTAGCTGTTGAAAAAAGAAGGAATAAATTTAATATAATACATAAAATGTCAGTTATTTTCTGACAGGGGAATTAAGTTTTCCTTGGTGGAAAAAAAAAACGTGATCATCACGTGGGTTGGTGAGGAACAATGGAGCTTTCTTTAGGTGTCTTTTGGGGTGAAGAATATATGGAAGCTGGATAGTTTATGATAATTATTATTATATTTGATAACTGTTTTATATTACTTAATATATAATCTTTAGATATTTTTATGAATAAATATGACGTCTTCTTTAATTATCTTTTCCATTTGTATCTCTACTAAAGATAATACTTTTTTTCAATTTTTTATGAATCTTTGTCTTAATTTTATTCATTTTTATAAATCTCTTTATTTTATATTTTCTTCATAAACGTATATATCTATGCCTAGAGGTAATAATTATATTTGATCTCTTACACAGAATGTAAGGTGTTTTTTTTATTAAACTTCGATTTTGTTTATTTCTTTTATATATTTAATTTTTTTAGTTCCCAAGTGGTATTTTATATACTTTTTAATTTTTAGCTGATTTGCGATCAGGGTTGCCAGGTCAATATTTTTCATATTGCTGGAGAAATTTGATATTTTGCTGGTGTGATATGAAAATTGCTCTAAGAATATAAATATCGCTAAAAAAAATTTTTTTATGTGAATTGGCTTAGTTATCCTCTTACTAATTCTTATAATTACTTTATATAAATATTAAAAAAGTCGGTAACGTTTTATCATTTCAAAATATAAATAATCAATTACTTTTTCTCAGAATTATTGTTTATATTTTAAAACGTTATAATGCTAAAAAAAATTGTGCGGAAGAAAATAAAAAATTGCAGTAGTTTTGCAGGAGTGAGATGTCTGCCTTTAAACTCTAAAATTGCGGGAGTCTCCCTCTGATGGGGGAAGACCTGGCACCCCTCTCTGTGATTCTTCTCAAATTGGTATTTATATATTTTTTATTTTATTTTGCTCCTTGACTCGTGTAGTATGTTCAATACTTGCATTAACTTTATGGTATCTCAAATAGTTTTTAACGGCAACACATTTATAATTAACTTTTATAAAATTAAAAAAAGTATCATATTTATATTTTAGACTTTAATTATTAAGTACTTTTATATTTTATCTCAAACAATTCCTTTAAATTATACATTTTTTTTTTATTACTTTAATTACACTCATAACTACTTAGACACTTTTTAATATATATTTCTTTTTTCAAATTAAATCACAAAATCTACAAAAGACCTAATATATCGCGAATCTTATATTTAAATTTTTCCAATAAAGCCGAGAATTTAATTTTTCGCTTTTTTCTGTTATTTTTTTTAGCTATAAATAATATTAAAATACCCCCAAAGCATAATAATAAAAAAATATATATTATATATAATAATATAACAAAAACAAATAATTTTATCCAATAATCAAGATTTCCAAACGGAGCGGAATATCTGTTCCAAGCTCGGGACGAAGACGAGATGCATATTTGGATTAAGGAATTAAATTACGATATATCCGATTCTGGCGCTGGGTCACCTTCTGGCCTTAGGACTTCCAAAACTCTACCTACCACTGCTTCATCTAATTTACAACAAAGCTCTTCGTCAGGTACCGAAGACCCAAACACTACATTCGCTAGCACCTCTTCGAGCAGTCAATATAATGCTGCAGCCAACGCTAAAAAACGAGGATTTTTTACTCTAAAGAAAAAATGATTTTTTATGATGATTTCCTTATTATGTATATATAAATTTAGTAGATTAGTAAATAATTTATAAAAGTGTAAAATAGTTAAATTAAAATGGATAAAGTCGAATTTTTAAATATAGGAATAATCAAGCTTTAATTTATATCAGCTTCAATTAAAATTTTTATAAGGAATTTTTGCATTATTACACTTTTCTATTATTTTATACTTAGCATTTTATTAATGTTAAATAATTTTATGCCGCCTTTTTATACGATTTTTTAATTTATAATTGATATGTAAATCTATTGATTTTTATATGTATTTCACTTTTATAAATATTTTACGAAAAGTACGCTAAAGATAGTTTATTATAATTCTATCACTATAACACAAAATATACTTTTTTTAAACTTTAAACTAATATAAAGTAACTAAAAGTTTTATTAATATATTAACTTAAAAGGTTTTAAAAAAATTTTTTAAATATAAAAATAAGACAAATATGAAATTAAAACAGAAGTGCTAAGGAATCAAAAGCAATTAAATGTATTCATTTCCAGAAAAGAGCAATTATTATTAACAGAAGTTACCATTTTTATTATAATTAGAGATAATTTTTAACTTAAATTTAATTTAAAAAACCAACCCCCAAATACTTTCTTACTAGCATCACATATGTGCATTATTTATAAAAACAGCAATAAATTAATATTAAAAATTCCAGTGACAAATCGTCGAGTTATTACTAGGGAACCAAATACAAAATTTTTTTTATTTATTAGTCAAACCATAAAAAAATTAATATTTATAAATAAGTGGAATTCTGTTTTTGAGTAAAATAAACAAGTACTGAATTATAAAATTATTGATAGATTTATATTTTTTTATTTTGACTCATCTCTGCAATAGGATTTGATTATTTTTAAAGATGGAAAATCCTATTCTGTACTTGCAGTTGTTGAAGCCAAAGTTAAGATGAATTTGCATAATTTAAAAACTCTTTAAAGCTTTTCATCAAATCATTAGATATTAAAAATTCAAGTATTTCATTAACATTCTTTTTCTTTCTAAATTCATCCTCCCGAAACACTACCTTTAATTCGGTTTCCAGCTTGTGTAAATCGAAAAATTGAGAATAAGTGTTATTTAAATTGTCTAATAAATATTTTGGGAGATTTTGATTAAATATTTGGAATTTACTAATATCTAACCATTCGACGAATTTGATATTGTATCGAACCGAAAACCAATTTCATTGATTATATTATCTGTTATTTTAATTATCAATTTTTTAGAAAATTCCTTTGTATTAGGCAATCTGGAACTATTAAGTTTTTATCTAATTTGTCTTCAATTTTCTCTGATTTAAATTTCTCCAAAAAACATCAAAGTTTTCTGCTTGATTTAACTGAACTTCTTGAAATCGTTAGACAATAAGATATATCGATGATTTAGTTTGAAATATATCAAATAAGAAAGATTCTTGAAAATAATATAACAAAATTAGAATATTTGTATCATTTAATATATTTAATTAGCCACAAGTTGTTTGAACATAATTACCTTATACAATATCAGATCAACCATATTTTCAAGAAAACGACTAGATCCTTCAAATAATTCAAAACTCAGCAGACCATTGTATTCCCATCTCGTTGGGGCTACTCGTGGTAATCTTTTTTAAAAATATTTATCAAATTCTGCTTTGGCTAAGATGATGTACTAAAAAAAACCTTTAACCGCAAGATTTTTATATTCAAATGTTTAATTCAATAATCATCCCCTTATTCTCGGGTCGTAAACTAAAAAACTTGAGGTTTTTGTTAATAGTTGTCTGAGACTCATTAATGGCTACATATATCCCAGAATCATATCTAACGATGGTTTATGGAAATTATGAAAACATACTCAATACAGTATCACTAAAGAAAAGAAGAATTCAGTTGTTCGCACATATAATTAGGAATTGCGAAAATAACCTGGCTTCCGGTATATAAAAACAAAATATACTGTAACTACAAGACGTACTTGCTAAACAAAACTATATTTGACATTTTAAAAATGAATTTAATCTTAACAGTTTACTCACTTAAATAAGAAAAGATCTATTAATAAATTACTTGAAATAAAAACCAAAACTACCTTATAAATCATTAGTTTTCCTTATAAATATTCCCTCTTTTGGAGGCTTGAGCCACTTTATTATTCCATTGTATTATCTCATTCTCTAAACCTGAATTTCAAAACATATCCAACTTACACCTAATAGATGGTTATTCGATTTTATATCTCAATTAGTCTTTAAATATAATTTACACACTTGATTTGTATTTTAATACCCATTTTCCTCTTCCTTAATCCCTATAAATTAGACTATTTATTTATTTTTATCCCACTTATTACAGATCTTGCCCTTTTACAGTTAAAGTTACGTAAATATTACTCTGTACTTTCCTATTACACACTTATTACTCTGTATTTATCCTAACATTTACCTTAAAAGTTCATCTTATTAAATATTATTTTATTATATATTTTTTTCTTATATATGTTTTTGTATTTAATAGGTGGTATATTTCATAGATCTAATTTTACGAGGAGGTTCAGTTTCTTCGATGTGATAGATCCAAATATGGAATGGGACCATCTTTTAAAGAGAGAAATAAAATACTAGTTTTTGATAAGCTGCTTATTTGTTTATTATTTTATTTAATCATGATGATTTCTAGGTTTCTCGCAATACTAATTAAAAGTAAAATTAATATAGCCAGCATAATCCTCACATAATCACATCTTTTATTTAATCGGGCATGGGTTTTTACCTCTCCGCTTATTTCCCATGAGCTTTTATATAAGGGGATCTGCCTCTTGCGCGCACAGGTAACTTCGGCCTGCCCAAAACCGTGGATGGTCCTCTTAATTATCTAATCCTTAATCCCCCAGTTTGATGGGCTTTTTTCATGAGAGAACCAAGCGTTGCTTTGTTTATCACGTATTCTTGACATAACTGATTTAAAGTGTATAGGCATAGGTAGACCTGTGCGCTGACGAAACTATCGGCGGCCGGCGCAATTTTCAAAAATCTAATCGACGGCCGGCGGCGCCCCGATTTTTGACCGCCGTCAACAAAATCGGCGCAGTTATAAATTTTTATAACATAAATTTTTTTAATTGCTTAATAATTTTTTTAAAAAAAAAATATACACTACTCAACAGATATCTCGGAATATTTTTTAATATTTATTTAATAGAAAACTCATTATGAATCCAAAATCGATTTCGTAATTTTATAATTATCATGTATAAAAATTATTTTATTTAAATTTTCGGGACATAATGATGATCTCCTTGAATTTAACGTCAATCCAGCAGTAGAGAAAACTCTTTCACTAGGTGTACTGGTGGGCCGGAATGCAAAGAATATTTTTGGCCAACCTGGAAAGATTGGGAAGTTCACTCTTCTTTTCTCTCCAAAATTTTAGAATGTCCACATCTTGTGAATGTCGTTTTCCAAGAAAACTGTGGTATTCTTGTTAAGTCACCTAACCTGGAATCATAATTTATATTGTTGAATGTTTATTTAATTTTGTCAAATAACTTGAATTTAATAATTCCACTTGATCCTCATTAGCTATATTTACTACCTGATTATCTACATTTTCTATAAGTTTAAGATGTTTTATTATAAATTCTGAAGCTGAGCAATTTTGCTCTATTAAATACTTTGACACAATTGTCAATTTTCGAAATCTTGGATCTAAAAGAGAAGCCAATACCTAGATAATTTTAAATAAAAAATAAAAGAAATATACTTATATAATATTAATTACAGATTACAAACCGGATCGTAAAGCAAGTTTTTTAGCATATTTTCTTTAAGTGAAATAATTACAGAACTATCATTATCATTTACTATTAAATGTGTTTCAATTTCACTTCTAAAAACTAACGCCAAGTTTAAAGTAGGCCCCTTTTGTACTGAAAGAAATTCGACAGTTTCTTTAAATTTTGGAAGAAATGCTAATAGTTTTTCTACCAGATCAGATTCATGGTTTGATAATTTGAGAAAGTGCTTCTCAATTCTTTTTAAAACATTATTAATTAAATTCTTATTTAATCCAGATATGCTTTCTAGCATAATTAATATACTGGGAAATTTAATTTTAGGTTTTCATATGCGTGGAATTATTGTTACTATTATCATTGGAATTGCCAATTTGAAAACGGGTATCCGGGTATGGATCAAGTGCTGTCAAGATCTAACATGTCTGATGTTAAATATATTGTACCTAAGCATATTCTTTGATCTTCTTCGAATTCAAATTCAACCTCTGCAGTTTTATATCTTAGAGCAGTAATAATTTCTCTAATTCTTTAAAATCAACAAAGGGTACCTTTTTAATACCATATACTGTAACCAGATGTGCAAACCATGACCCAAACATAAGTGGAGTTCATATTCACCTAATCGATAACATTAGGCCCAGCATCTGTGACCATTTGTATTTTTTTCTTTTTTAAATTAAATTCCTCTTTTATTTTATCAATCTCAGTTAGAATAGTTTCAACTATGTGTTTTTGGGTTATATAATGAGTTGCTAAAGTAAAGTAAATCATTTCAAAAATGTAATATAGTTTCTTCTTCTGTATTGATCTGTTCATATATCAAATGTAAACAAAATTTTGGCCCTGAGTTAATTTGTTCTTGTACATGTGCTTTCATTGATAGGTAAACATCATTAAGAGTAGTACGGCTTAGTGTTGTCGTGTCTGTCAAATCAGAATTAGAATTGATAATTTGATTATAATAGATAATATATATATAAATTTGATACCTTCAAAAAATCTTTCATTCCTATATATCAATTGATTGAAAGGGTAATAAGTCAGCACAACATAATAACACATAATTTCTTGCTAGAAGCCAATTTTTAGAGGTTTTAGAATTTGTCTGGAATTTTGGTTCGGATATAAAATAATCTTGCGATTTTGTTGAAGTATTTGCTTTAATATTATGTTCAGAAGATAAGTATTTTAACAAATTACCTGTGCTAATGTTTATTGAAAAGTTTTGAATTTTATAGATAGATTATATTTTACAAAAAATATATAATTTATTAAAGATTTTGGCTATATATGAGAAAATAATATTTAAAAATAATACTGTGAAAATGGCTTATTTGAATCATAATCATCTCCAATAGCCTTTTCTAAGCAACAATTACAGTAAAATTTCTCAGAATTTATGGAAATTGTTTTATTATCTTTTTTTAAGTGTAAATAACCAAAAAATTTCCAGACTATGGATTTTTTATTTTCCAGAATTAGGATACTAAAATTATTTATAGAATTATTAAATGTAGATGCATCCATTTTAATATGTAAAATTATTAACTTTTGGAATTTTTGATTGATTGAATTCTATAATGACGTCAATATATTTATGATTTTAAAATAGTAGAAAATAAAAATTCATCAAAATCCTGATTGACATTAAAAAAATTACAACAGTGATGTTGACCAATTATTAGAATAAAAAGTTATAAAATATGAAAGTAATTCCTGTGCCGGCATCGGCGGCGCGCCGCCGTGATTTTCTTAAACGGCGTCGTTTTCGGCGTAACCAAAAAAGGTCGGCCGGCGTACAGGTCTAGCTATAGGTAATAAATATTATTTATATTTTGAGGGAAAGTTATAGTTGAATAGAATCTATTGTATTAACAATAACATGTTTTATATATATATATGCAGCTGCTTGTATAGATTGGGTTGTAATACATCATGGTTAACCAAAGACACTTTACCAAGATACTGAAACAAGATGGAATTTTAAATTAAGTATGTTTAAAAGTATATGTGAATAATATGAAGAAATTTTAAATTCTTTACGGGAAAAAAATGGAGGAAAAAAGCTAAATTTTATTGATAAAAATGGATTAAAATTATTGATAGACATGTTGACCCCGTATGATCAGGCAACCAAAGAGTTGGAGCGAAATACAATACCTACTTTATTCAAAGTTTTATTAGTCTAAAAAATATTGGCAAATTTACTAGTGTCTAATATTTGAATATCAATTATGAAGATCATATCCGTGGAAGAAACGAAAAATTTTTGTCAAAATTAGCAAAATGGACAATAAAATTTATAAAATTGCAGCATCAAATGTTTCCAATGAACGCGATTTCAGCATTATTGGGGGTTATCGAAGAGTGAAGACCAAATTTAAACAATAAAATTTTGTTAATATGTATTTTTATATGATAATATGACAATTTAAATTAAAATTTTGTTTATATCATTTTCATTAATTATATATAATTACTAAATAAAATATTATATTTCCATTAATATACTTCAGCATAAGTATACATAAAATAATTTAATAGGCTTGGACTGGGCTTGAGAAAATTTTTTAAATCTTATTGCGGGCTTGAGACGGGCTGGAAATTTTTTTAAATATTAAATGCGGGCCGGGCTAGGCCTGGGCTTAAAAATTTTTTTATGGTGAACCTGGGCGGGGCTTGGTCATAAAATTAAGGTTCATGAAGGTCTCTGGTAATTATACAATCATTTAATAATATGCCAAACTAAAACTAATTCAATAAATTTAAAAAACTTAATTTTATATGCTCGTCTTCTTTTTTTTTCTTTTATACTATTTCTCCCTTATGAATAAATAAAGATTTATTAATAATCGAATCATAAAAATTTTAAATATTAACTTTTTATGATAATGATGACATGCTATAACAAAAAAATGACAATGAATACACAAAATTAAAAGTTATGTGACAATGAATACGCAAATTTCAAGAAAAAAAAATATCTCAAAAACCGAACGTCGCACTTCAACCCCCGACATAATTATTATCCTTTCTTGGTGTATTAACGAATTTGAACGGTAATTAGCTCTTTGAGTATCCTCCCCTTCTTCGCCTGTAATCGCTGATCCACCTTTCATTATAATTATCAGCGCATAGGTGTTTATCCAATCTTTGCTTTAGTTGCCCCTTAAGATTTTCATCGGATATAGTAAGCACTATATTAACTATTTTTCCACCACAAATTTTCAATCATTTATTTCCTCCTATTCATACTTCCGATCGCAAAAATTCTACGCCCCTTTTTTATTGATCTCGATGATTCTCTCTCTTCCATTGGTGAACATTACTTGATTTAATTTATGTTCAATGTTTTCCATGATCATCCCGAATTCCCATTTTCTTGTACCAGTATATATTCTGGCCCACTACCTCACTTATTTTCACTTTCTCTTGACTTGGTTTCTGCTTTACTAAATCCAATAATATCTTGGTTCGCCTCCCAAAAAAACCTTCTGCCGGAGATTGTTCTTCTCCCTTTCGACTATTGTTACAATATGCCACTGCTATCCAAATTTTCACTCCTCCATACTTTGATTTTTGTAACCATTTTTGACAATCGACACCAACCTCTCCGGTTGACCTTTCGAACTTGGGTTATATGGTGGCACCAAAATGTGTCTCGTCCCGGTTTCAGAACAAAATAATTTGAACTGTCCACTTATGAAATCTGGACCCCCATCCGATACTATTAGCTTCGCCACTCCGAACCACGTCTTTACCACCACCTGAATTGTCCCCCTCACTTCTTCGCACTCTACCCATTTGGAATAGGCATCCACCACGAGTATATATATTTTGTTTTCAAAGTCAAATAAATCTAGGTTTATGAACTCCAATGGCTGTGCAGCCTTCGACCATATCCTTTTCTTGTCTCTATGCGACATACTCACCCATGAATTACGCATCAAACAACTCCGGCTCACATCTTCAATTTCTTCCACCACACATATTCAGGCTCAAAGAAAGGCATGCACCTCCACTTTGTTGTTCGGTTTCAACATGCTGGTTATTCCTGCCATATTTATATTCAGTGGCCTCATCTCCCATTAATCTTGTGTCCTAGATACACTACCTTCGTTATTCCCAACATACTCTTCTCAGCACTCGCCCGCATTCCTTTTCTTAATTCGTCGGAATACCTCCTCTAATTTCTATGCTGCTCAGGAGCCCGTTACCAACACGTAGTTAAAGACTCTTTCTAAGCCTTGAAAAACGGCTGCCATAGTTCGTTGGAAATTGGAGCAGATACGATAAGTCTAAACGGTAACCTACAAAAGCCAATCCTTTCGACGTAGTGATAATTAATAACTTTCGCACTTCATGCTTCACCCGTAACTGCAAATAAGCATTCGAAAAATTCACTTTTGAAAAATATATCCCACCTTTCAAGCTTGCCAATATCTCTTCAATTCGTGGCAGGGGATATTTCACTTCCACAACGCACGGGTTTAGCATGACCCGGAAATCTGCACACAAAAGGAGTTTTCCGCTGGCCTTCTTCACTGGCACCAACGGTGTTGCCCATTCGTTATATTCCACAGGACCCACAATCCTCTTTACCAATTGATCCAATTTTATTTCTTCTTTTCGCCGTTCGAAAGGTACTCGTCGCAATCCACAAAACTTTGGCACACAGCCCTCCTTCATTTTAATATTCACTTCATAATCTTATAGACACCCCAAACCTACATCGAAAATCTCTTAATAATTATCTACTAATCTACGACTCTTTGCACTTTTTTTCCTTCCTAATTCCATTTCTTTATTCCGCAATTCCCTTTCATTGCTGATCCATTTCTTTTATTTTCATCTCAACTCCTCAAATACGCGCTTTTACCCCACCTTTTTGTTCCATCTCCTCGATCTCCATCGTCCATTACTCTGGCAATTCTATTTCATTAAAGAATTCCCATCGTATTATCCCATCTTTCTTCCCTAACAGTCCCCCCGATTACTCTCTTAAAAGTCTCCTCAACTTCCACCCTAATAATCCCCTCGTTTTCTCGCTTAGAATTCTCTTCAATTTCTCTCCCTAAAAGTCCCCCCGATTTGTCTGCTAGAATTATTCGCCCCTATTTTCCCCTAAAAGTTTCCCTGATTTCTCCCCTAGAATTATTCGCCCCTATTTCTCTCCTAGAATTCTCCCCCTTATATCCCTCCTATATTTAACGTCGCTTATTTATTCATCTCCTAATATTACTCTCCTCTCACCCTTCTCCCAGATTCTTTTCTCCGCTCTACTATACTTCCCCGCTCTCTTCCAACCCTATTCCCACTTAATGCTGCCTCAATTTCTGGTAATGTTTCTACGTATTCCTCCGATATGTCTCCATACACATCCTATCTAGTTATGGGTATAAACACGCCCCATAATAAAAATACTCAACAAAAAATATACCTTGAACCTATTCGAGTGATCCAGTGTCACCCCATCACTGCTTCAACCCTCCAATTAATAATTCACAAATCTTATATCTCCACTTTTCTCCCACTATAGCTTATATTTCAACTTTCCCCTTTACCGATACTTGTGATCTATCGAATTACCGTATTCTCAATCTTTCATTCATGATCATCTCCTCGAGCCAAATACTCCTATATTTATCATATCCAATTACAGAAATAGCCGCTCCCGTGTCATATAACATTGGTACCATACTTCCATTAAAATCTATAATTATCGCACAAGGGACATATACTATTCTTTCTTGTATCATATTTACACATCCCATTAATTTTATTTTTTCATTAGAACACACTTTACCTTCTCTTTAATCTCCTCGGCTTGTGTCTTCGGCAATTATAACAATTCAAATTCATATTCCCTCTTCTGCGCGCCAAACCCATTCTCATCTCCATTTATATTCCCTGTGAATTTTCTCTGGACCGCTAAATGGTCCCAACATTTGATTATATTAATCTATACCGATTTCCATTCTCTTGGTCATTTATCTTTTCATTTCTATTTAATCCTTTGAAGCACTATCAGTCCACTCTTTGATTAATTCCTGTACCGGTAACCATGTCACTCGGCCCATCATATCTTTCCTCTTCATTGTGTCCTTCAATCGTCAAAGTTCGCCTCTTTAACCTAACGCTTCGGCTTCTCCTAATCCTTCTTCCCAGGATTAAACTACACATCCATATTAGTAACACTATAAACGCCCCAAAAATATTTTATTGTATTTTCCAATATTTTATAAATTTTAAACTCTTCATCACCGCAATATAAAAAGTTTATGATCAACTTCAAATTAAATATTTAGGTTATTTGTAAATGTCAACAGATAAGATGATATCAATCGCGTATCCAACCTCTTTTTTAAAAAGCAAATAGATCTTATTTCCGATTAGATGTGGTTAAATTTATGCGTTTAAAAATTATAATTCAATGTATATGGCGGTTTTTCTAAATATCTTTCTTTGAAAGGTGAAAAAAAATAGTACTTTCATAATGACAAATATTTGGTCAGCACTTCCGTATACTAGGTCTATATATCACAAATTTGAGTAAATCCTGTGTAACAGATTTATATGACAAAAATTTGTTATATATATATTTTTTTTGAATTTTGCGTATTCATTGTCATATAACTTTTAGTTTGTAAGAAAAAATATCATCAATAAATAAATTATCTTAGACCTTAAATTTTGCGTCATCTTTATTAAAATCTTCTTAAGTGGGGCGTATATTTAAAAAAAGGATACAAAAAGTGAGGTGGCTGAACATGATACCAAAATCCTCTTGAGAAGGCTGAATATAAAAAAGGGGATATCAAAGTCTGAGGCGGCTTAATATAAAAAAGGGATACCAAAGTCCTCTTAAGTGAGGCGGCTGAATAAAATTTTCTTATATGTAAGCGACCTTCGCATGGATCTTTACAGTAAACTTTGCGGCACACTGCTGCTAAAATTTATTTTAAAATTTTGATAATATAAGATTTAACTTATGGGCAAAGCAATGAATATAAAGTGCTGAATGTTTGACGTCTCTTATTTTCGCTTGTAGTTCATGTGAATCGCCTGATCTAATAGCTGCGCCATCTTAACTTTGATCTATTAATTTTTTTATCATTCAAGAATTTAATGTCAAATTTGGATAAAGAATTAGCATCTCGATGCATAATAACATCAAAGAATTCAATAAATCTTTCCTACAATGTCCCGTTATTTAAAATAACGAAAAACAATAGCAAGTTGAGATTTATTACTTCAGTAGTTTCATTTAATATTAATGTTATAAATTACGTTTCTTCCAATTCATTTAATATTTTTTGGTGTTTACATATGAGATGAAACTCACTAAATCATTTTGAATATTGCTTGATAGTCCAATAAAAACTGTACTATTTTTTAAATGATGTTTCTATAGTAAATTTTCTTCCGCGAGCAAATAAATTAATTCAATATAATTTCCTGTTTATTGAATTAGAAGATTCATCACCACTAAGGAATGCGAGCTCCTCAATTCCAATAAAATTTAGAGTTGATCAATATTTTCAATATTTCTCTATTTAATTTGACTTTCGAATTATGCTGTTCGATAGATATTTTGCGCATCGAATCTATCATATTCTTAATACGATTTTCGCCAAATGTTTTTAATTGAATCATCGACTGCAAATGAGCGGTTGATTTTTCAAGCTGTTTAACTGCCATTGAAAAATTATTCATATCCGAAAATACTTTATTATTCCAAATATTTTCTTGGGGAATAATAGGCATGACCAACAATATAGAAAATTCACATCCAATGAGCTACTCATATTTTTCATATTTATCGAGAAAAATTACGAATGCAAGTTTTGATTACTTTTTTTAAGTTTTGTAAAATTGGTTTTAATCTTCCTTTTCATTAATCAATTTTTCGCATCAAAATCTCTTGAGCTAAATGATAATATTAATAAATTTTCAATAATACAATTACAATTATTAAACATTAATTTATTGCTTTTAAAAAAGAAAAAAAAAATTTATTTAAAAAAAGTAAGGAAAAAAAACTTTCTTTTATTTATTAAAAAAATAAACAATATTAATGGTTTCCCTCGTTTATATTTTTTTTAACATAATAAAAAAATTACACGAATAATATGTATGAAGCATGATTTTTTAAATTATTTATTTAAAAAAAACAACAATATTAAATTTGCTTCCATCATGTATATTTTTTTTAACGTAGTAAAAATCAGAAGTATCATTTGCACAGCTAGGCCCGGATTTTTTTAAAATATATTGTATTAATTTTTGATTTTTATAGCTAATAATGGTGATTATATTTGGCTTTAAAATATACGGCCTCTGGTAAAAATAATAGTAAATTTTTTAACGTAGTAAAAATAAGAGTAATCTTTCTTAACGTAGTAAAAATAATATTAATCTTTTAAACGTTATAAAAATATATTAATTTTTTAACGGTCAGTTTAGTGTTTTTAAGATAATATAAAGAATATATTGTGAATTTTGTAAGAAAAATTTCAAAAGAAGCAATGCTTCCCTTGCCTCTATGGATGCTTCTTCACTGAAAAATTCTTTTAAATTACTGATAATTTTTTAAAATCCAATTATCACGGAATTGATGCAAGAGGTGCTCAAAGTTTTACAGATCATAAATGACTTACACTTGGAAAAGTGCATAATGCATCGATTCAAACTGCCAGATACATCTTGGCCCACCCATCATAGGCTTACTCACCATTTATATTTTTTAAAATAACAACACTTAATTGAGTCATATGGAACAACTCTTATCATTACCTCCCCTGGCTTTCTTTCTTATTGATTACACATGCCTCCGTTCGGCACCAATATTAGTCACTATCAATATTCTTTGGGCTTTTGAAGGCCAAATCAAGGTCTAGTTGGAAGAATTCTTAATGGCATTTCCACCTCTCCCTTAGCTAAGGGTTTCGTCCTCCCTACCTATACTCACTTTTTTCCTTTATATCATCCAGAAGCGTGTTGACATGAATCCAGCTTCATGCAATATAATGACTCCCAATTAAACAATACCACTTTTAAATCTTTTTCGCCCTTCTGTCTCCTCGCAAAAAAATTTTTTGACCTGCCACTGTTAATTTGTTCCGTTTAATATTTACTATTGAACATGCCTGGAGGCCATATCAAGTGAAAGCTTGGGCCTGCGTTTATCCCCAGAAGAACTAAGGATTTAGGACATAAAATATATCTATATTTTATACTTTATTCTTAGCAACTACATCATTTGTTTTTCGCAGTCTACATTTTCTAAAAATAAAATACCGGCTATTTTTTATGCAAGTTAAAAAATTAGATACTTTTTATGGTCTAATTTATTTTTTTAAACACAAATTTAATTAAAAATATTTCTGATAGTATGTTAAAAAAATGTTACGTTTTGCGATCTACAGTATTTAAGTCATTTTACAAGTTTAAATAAAATATGTTTCTCAAGTTAGAACGTAAATTTATTTTTCAAACCAAAGTTAAATATAATTGTAGATATTTATATCAGAGACCTGCAGGCCCGGCCCTAAACCCGGCCCGGGTCGTATTTTAAATTTTTTAAATATACCCGGGCTGGGCCGGGCCTAAAAAATTTTTTTTAAAGTATATCCGGGCCGGGCTTAAGATTGTTAAACCCGGGCCGGGCGGGGCCGGGCCTTAATATTTTTTATAAAAATTTTTACATTATGAGTTAATGGTTATAAGAATATATTATATTATAATTATGATTAAACACTACCTAACAACCCACAGTTCGATCTGATTATTAATTTCCTGCAAATTTATTCAAAGTATTAATATATTTTTTTATAATTCATATCTAAATTTTTACAACATATTTTACCAAAACAATCAAATAAAGGAATATCTTAAATAAGCCCCAATATTCAAGTATTATTAATATATTTTTTTATAATTCATATCTAAATTTTTAGAATATATTTTACCAAAACAATCAAATAAAGGATTATCACTTCTTAAAGTTTGTAATTGATTTTACTTAATATAAAGCATTTTTTAATTGGAAAATTTGTTTTACACAAGTATCATTTTATTTCTCTTTTTCTCTGTCCCAAATTCAAGCAATTACGTATGTAGTCAGGGACAGATCGCAAAATGACGGAAAACTATATAAAAGATTATATTAAATTACAAGAGGCTCAGGAAGTAAATGAAATACCACCGACCAGTCAAATTACGACTGTTGCTAAACAAACTGAATCGTTTTATGATAAATGGGGCGATGGTAATTCTGGTAATATGTCAATACCCGATGATGAATATTATAATTACATAAATAATAGATAAAACATTTAAGGTGGATAATTTGTTAGAGTGGTGGGCGGCTCATCAAAGCGAATTTCCAATTTTAGCAAAATTGGCAATTCCTGCTTTAAGTGCAAGCTGTGAGCGGAATTTTTCCACTACTGGGAGAATTCTTGAAGAAAGAAGAAGTAATCTTCAACCTGAAAAGGTAGATATGCTTCTCTTTCATATCTTTCTTGAGTATAGGGTTTCGTCAATCATGCTGGTTTTTTACTTTGCAAACTGTCTATTGCATTTATTATATTTACCTTGAGTCATGAAAGTTTTTAATCCAACATTTTTCATTATTTTTTTTTACAATATTATATAATATAATTATCTTCTTTTGTTAAAAATTTATATTATAAAATAAATTATATTAATATTGTGCAATTAGATTATATTTTCAAAATACTATTTATTATACATGCATTTTTTTAAATAGCGATTTATTTTTATTTTATAAATTAAATAGTAAATTAAATACAATATATTATATTCTCAAAATATTTCCCATTTTTATAAATTAAATATTAGTTTTATTTTTTTTAAATGTAATATAAAATATAGTATATGACAAATATTATTACCATTTTTATGAATATTAGTTTTATTTTTATAAATGCAATATAAAATATAGTATATGCTCAAAATATCCATTTTTATAAATAACAGTTTTATAATTTTTATAAATTCAATATAATATTCTCAAAATATTAGCTTTTTACATGCATTTTTTAAATAATAAGCGATAATACTCGCTGAAAAATATGGTAAAATACCTCATAGGTGAATTTTTGTATATACCAGGTCGAATATAATTTTAAAAAATTCCAATCCGGGCCTGAAATTTTTAAATCCGGGCCGGGCCGTAAAATTTTTTTTAAAAAATATCCGGGCCGGGCCTTAAATTTTTAAATCTGGGCCCGGCCGGGCCGTAAAAATTTTTTTTTAAAATATCCGGGCCGGGCCTAAAAAATTTAAAACCGGGCCGGGCCGTGCAAATGGTACCTCTGCAGGTCTCTGATTTATATCATTGAACTAAAATCATTTTTTGAGCAAATTTGATATATTTAGTAATACAAGGGTTAAAAAGTTAGAGATGTTATATCCCAGTTGTCATCCCAACCCGATCTTCCCTATTAATAAAAATACTAATTTATTTTATATATACTAGAATCAATTTATAAAATAATAATATCAATAATAATAAATATTTCTATAATTTATCTTTGGCCCATCTATATATGTCGGTTGGTATGTTTGTACAAACATTATCGAGATTATTTAAGAAGTAATCATAATCAAAATATAAATTCGAAGTGAAGGGCTTGAATCGTATGAGGGAAGTATCAAAACTGTTACGACGCAAGTCTCGATTTTTGTTGATGTCCATGAATTGAGTAGATATGGAATATTTTGTAATAGTTGATTGAGTGATAGACGAGGGAACAAACACTTCTAATTCGCATAACTTTTGATATGTCTTAATTATTATTATAAATTGAATAAAAAATAAAATATACTAAATATATCGACGTAAACAAAAATAAAATTAATAAGATTCTTTCTTTCAAATAAGGAAAGCGATTTATTTAACAGAAAAATAATCTGGTACATAAAAATGTGCCGATTTTTTTAAAAATTATATCTAATTTACTTACGTTTTAGTTAAGGTGGTAAGGTTAATTAGTAATATACGATGCTCGATTATATTCAAGAAAATTTTATTAAGCTAAGGTTTAGATTAAATATCAGGGTCATTTCTTGTCATGAGCAATAGAATTGAAATTATCAGCTGACCTATTGCATATTCGATAGAGCACGTTGTATATATATATTTTTTTAAACTAGATAAAAACAAATCTTATCTAATCGGCCCTTTACCCTGTTAAATATTTCTTATTATTAAGATCAATTTGAATATTAAAAAACAAAAAATGTTATATATGGTCATATTACGTCCAGTTTAAAATTAAATTTCAAAATTACTAGGAGCTCTAATTTATCATGTTTTTTCCTACTTCTAGTTTACCAATTTTCTAATATTTTATTCAATTAACATTTGTAATTTTTTTTACATTCATTCATTTATATTATAAAATTTTATAAGAAATTTAGGTTATTAAATTTCTAAATAATCATTATTTCTTAAGAAACTCTTAAAAATATTCATAAATCCAAAGATGACATCAAAGGTCATGAAAATAACATTTGTACCAAATAATCAAACAAAGATAACATCTTATTTTATTTCATAAATTAATTTTATATTTTTATTCTTATTTATTATATAACTATTTTATAATAATTTATTCATAATTTTGATAAATTAATATTTAAAAAAAATATATGAAAATGGTTGAACTTAATCTCACATTTTATTAATCTAAAAATATATAAGATGGTAAAATGTTTTTTAAAAGTCAATAAATTGGACAACTATTTAAGTTGAGCGAAATACAAGGTCTCACCGGTCCCCAAATTAGAAAGGTTTGATCGTATATGAGAAAAATTGATGTTTTTGAGTAGCGTCTGTGGCCTAAATGGTGATGAGCTAAATCACCAGTCACATAGATCTGGATTCAAATCCAGCAGGGAACATATTTTTTCTGAAGCTAACAAGTTTGATTCTGTGCTATGGTATAAAGAATATCGGCGACGGCGTAATTCCGTTTAACATTTTAAAAGTGGGTTTTATTGCATTTTAATAAAATTTGGTATCAAAAATTGGTCGTTGTCTAGTATGTATTCAAAAAACTGGTCGTTTAGCAAATGGTTTGACAGAATTTATCACTAGCCGTTACCAACGCTGAGTTTTAATATTGTTAATCTTCGCGCTACTTTAAGATAAAATAATTTAAAGATTATTGATCTTTCTGTTTGCCTTTACAATCATAGGGGGCTCAAAATTTTTTGAAATTATTTTAAAAATTATCTTTTACCTTTTTTTTAATTCAAAATTACCTTCTTTTTTTAGCTAAAATTTTCAAAATTACATCTGATATAAAAAAATTCAAAATTATGAGGAGGTTCTTCAAATTTTTCAGGGGGCTCGAGCCTCTGCCTTTCCCTCTCTAGTAGGGTTGTTATGTTATGATTTAAAGGCATTCATAAATCTAGGATTATTTCAAAATTAAAATTCATACAATTATATAGATATGTATGCTAAAAACGATCAATATGCATCAAACGTGGCTGCCGAATCATCCAAACGCAACAAATATTCGCAATTAAAAAACGTATGTTATTTTTCGGTACCACTTAATCCACTCATTCACAGTTAGCGCGAATTCGTGAAGAAGTATTCAAAATAAGATATAAATATTATAATAATTTTATATTTATTATGTATACTTCGCCGCGATTCGCGCCAAACGCAAGGGTAGAGAACTTCGTAAGAAGCGATTTTTTTTTCAAAAAACATTCAATAAAATATAATATAAGACCGCAAATAAAATTTATACCTTAGGCAAATTATCTCTCAAGATATGCAGATCCAACTTTATCTCTATTCTTAAACCTATGCCAAAAAACAGACAATTCACCCTCCTAACATCTTTTTAAATTCCCATTTTTTTATATTAGTTATTATTATTTCTTTATATACTTTTTTTTATGGTATACATAGACAAAATTCGCCTATTTAAAAAAAAGATAAGTTATATAAAAAAAATATATCTGATGAGTAACTTTCATAAAAATAGCTTCTGGCGTGCTTCTGAAAAATGCCATTGTCTCTTTATGCGCACATAGTTCTAAATAAATAAAATTTTCAAAAAAATAATTAAAAAATTTCAACCAATCATAAGCATATCAAAATTAAAGTAGCATTCATCATCATCCCTAAATAAAATTTTTAAAGCGGCCAAAACCACGCACGTTTCTAAGATTGAGAAGTCTATAAAAAAGGAATATAAATAATGATATTTATTGCTTAAATACCTTTAAATATGAGTAATTGAGAATTATCGGTTTGCTGTTTAAATGCGTTCATAATGGGCAAAATATTGTTATCAAAATTAATACTTCCATTTATGATGGCTGTAATTATTATATTAAGCAAGAGCTTATAATCGGTAGAAAATTTAAAAATATTTTTCAGATTTTCTATAAAATTCCCATCATTTAGCAACATCTTTTAATAACGATATTTATTAAAGAATTATTTTTTTATAATCATTTTAATAAAAATGATATAAGCTAGAAGAAAGTAAAAGCTTAAATTGGTAGGAGTAGCATCATTTGTTGCATTTAAAATAGGGTAGGTAATTTCTATAACTTTTCGGCCCGACTTTTTATATTTTGATAAAATTTTGCATATTGAGAGAAAATCATTATAAAGCATCGAATTTTTATTTTCCTAGTACTAATAGTTCCTGAGATATTCATGGTCAAAAGTGCCAAAAATTACCTTTTTACGGAAAATTCGATTTTTAAAAATTGAGATAAATTTAAAAAATAATGATGCTAAAAATAAAATATTATTTTGTAGCCCTATTAAAGATTAAGGATATTTTTAAAAATAATAATACTGCGGTTTTGACATAGCCATGAATTTTTTAGTATTAAGATTTTAAAAAATGAATATTTTTCAAAAATAGATGGCATTCCTAAATAAAATAAGGCATTTTTGTTAAAATTATTTATTTTTTTGAATTTTTCCCATTTTTAAATATAAATAATAAAATTTGACAACACTAACATCATGAAATAGATTTATTTAGCTGCGTTATAACCATCTTTTTCTTGTGAAAAAATATAATTTTTTTATTAATTTTCCAAATATAATAAAAAAATTAAAATTCATGAAAGATAGTACATATTTTTGGCTTTTCGTCAAATTAAATTTTTTTGACGACTGATAATTTCGTTTTGCAATAAATTATAAGTATAATTCTATTATTTAATTAATATTTTTATTTTTTAACATACACACTTTCTTCTTCTTAATTTATATATTTATACACATAATGATAATATCTCTGACTTTTTTTTCTATTATTTTATTCCTGATCACTATCAGAATATATTTTTTTTTAATTATCCTGGTTTCTAATTAACAATAATGCTCTTTTAAGTAAGTGGACCCATGCTGTTTAAAGAGAATTTTTCCCATGCTGTTTAAATAGAATTTTTTAAAAACAAATAAATACTTATGTCTCTGCAATTTTTCAAAAGAATCCTTTTATCCAAAATCTACAAATTATCATCTTGGTAATTTTATTTATCAATTAAATAAATATGTTTTTCAAGGATTTTAAAAATTTTTCCATTAACAAATATAAGCTAAATCTAAATAACTTATATATGTGGCAATTTCAATGAAAAAAATGTCAATAAGTAATCATATTCACTAGGATGGTAAGCAATATCATGGGTTTGAATATAAAAATTTTAAGGAATATTTTTTATAAAAGTGGACTTTTGATCACTTTTTATCTGTCCTTACTTTTATTCACAGGATTTATTAATTTAAAATACAGTGTCATAAGAAATACTTTTATTAATTCAAAATACAAAACTATATTAATAAAACAATTATTTTCTTTTATTATTAATTTAATATAATGATCATGATGATTTTATGATATTTATTATTATTTAATTAATATTAGAAATAATGGAGGGGGGCTTATATACTCCTGATCTACTGTCATAAGAGGATGTCAAATAACATATTCGTGTTTTCAACACTTGAATTAAAATTGAATTTTTTTTGCTACTTTACTTTTTTATTATACATTTTTATTATAAAAATTGTTTAATATATAATTAATTTTCTACATTCATTTATATATGAATTTTAAATAATAGTTAATTATTTTTCGGGTTTATATTTTCAGGTCCGACCCGGATTTTTTAAAATATAACATTTATTTTTAATTTTAATAGCCAATAATGGTGATTTGAATACGGCCAGGATCGACTATGTTTTTTTTTAAAAAAAAATTAGGCGCGGCCTGGATATTTAAAAAAAAATTTAAGCCCGGCCCAGGTACTTTTAAAAAATTGACACTCCCGTGTACCCGGGCCTGCAGGTCTCTGATTTATATAGGAGCATTATATATTTTTTAAAAATCGCCATAACTTAAAAACCCATGGCTGTCCTAAGTTTAAATTTATTTGCAAAGAGATATAATGTAAGTGAATAATAAAATATTAAATTCATAGAAATTCCGAAGGCGAAACACCTGGATCTTTCAGGTTCAAAATATATAACGTAAATAAAAGCCCCAGCAAAAAGGCCTATAATATATTGTCATAAAAGGGAATATAATTTTTATTTTGAGCAACATTATTTTTTAACTTATCAATCTTAAAAAAATCGTATTTTTTTTTAAAAAAAGGTTATTTTTGGTACTTTTGACCATTATATCTCAAGAACTAATAGTACTAGAAGGCTAAAATTTTAGATTCGATACCTTCTAATGATGGTCTCTTAGTATACAATATTTTATCAAAATTAAAAAGATCGGACAGAAAAGTTATCGATACCCAAAGAGTATCGGGTGATATTTTTTTTTAAGTTTATCAATACTTTATTCACTTACATTAATATTTTGATTCCACTCAGTGATTTCAAAAGTATGAAGCTCACCAATTAAATCAATGTCCTTCCCGCGTATTGATAACATATTTAGAAGAAATTTTTGAAATAATTCAAAGTCTCTTATTGGTAAAAGTAAATATTGTCTTTGGCTGAATCTTGATTTTACCCTTTTCTCCAAATTTTCCAAAGAATTCTATACAAATATGAATATTTATATATATATTATAGTAATGAATAAAGGAAATTAACAGAGTTGTTAAGGTATCTCAATAAAGTATCAAAATAAAAAAATGTACTATCTGTATCTCTATGCAGATACAATTTTATAAAAAGGTATCGTTATTTATATACACTTTTTAAAAATGTATCTTATCAAGATATTATTTTAGAGGTATCTGTTATGATTTTAGATACAATTTAATATACTTATATATATATAAAATAAAAATATTTGAATGCTAAATGGATTTTTAATTTGAATAAATAAAAATTTAAAAAATATTATGTATGACTAATATAATAAAAATATATATATATAATACATATTATATAAAATATTAAAATACATAATATATAAAATATTAAAATACATAATATATAAAATATTAAAATAATATATAAAATATTAAAACTTAATAAAAAAAATATAAAATTTTTTTTTTCTTTAATATCTAGAAATCAACTCAAGATTGTGAAGGATATTTTTCTCATGTAAAGAAATATATAAATCCTCGTTTAGTCATGATACCCATTAATTACTAAAAACAATACCATTGATTCATAAAATTATTTTAAACAGAATTCACTGACTTTTAAAGAATAAATTATAAGTTCAATGTAAAATTTTCATATAGACTCATTTTAAATAAAGAATTTGTTAGAAAGAGCGATAAAAATAAAGGTATTAACATTTTTTTACATAATGTTCGATTTAAATAAAGGGCAAAATATTAAAATGTTGTTTACATATTTTGTGCTCTCATAATAAGAGTTTCTGTTCGAAAACAATGCAAACACTGTATATTTGCATCTATACTAGATATGTTTTTAGATGATATGTCTGTATCTAGATCCCGACGATGTATCTTTGATCTATTTGGAAATTAGCATTGAAAGCATTAATACCTTCTTTATAAATAAATTCCCCAAATAAACATATTTTTATTTACACTTTCTTATCAGATATCTTGATTAACTGCTAAGCAATAATGGATAAAAACATGCCACCTGTCTCAAGTCTGTGAAGTAATACCTTATGGCTTTACTTTTTCTACCACCCTGTCAGCTCCAAGAGTCGCCACTCTCTACAAGCATTAAGTGGCGTAAGCATTGTGGGCTTTGAGGCTCAAATTCCGAAAAATGAATTAAATATTCTTATTTTCATTTACTAAATTAATAATAAATGCTTGAAACTTAAAAAACTATTTTTATGCTTTCCTTTTATTATAAATAATAATTAACTACAGTATTATTATTTTTATATTTTTTTAAATTATATTGCATTGTATAAAATTTGTCTAGTTTATCTTCCATTTTATAAAAATATATTTGTGAATATGAAAAAACAATCATTAATCTATATTTAAACAAATGTCAAGCATAGACACCTAGAAAATCCAATCGTGCAAATGTTGATGCATCGATTGTTTTATAAAATTAATATTTTTATTCCCTTTATTTATCGATACATTTTTATTTTAATTAAAGGAAAGATTTATTAGTCATAATTTTATTTTAAAAAGCCTTTAATTTTCTTTTGACGGTTGAGTCTAAACTATTGATTACACTTGAAACATGATAGGATATTAAGAAAATATCAGAATTTTATGCCGATGAATGATTTAGTAGGCTCATATGATAGGTTACTATGTGATGTCCAATTTTGGTATGAAAATCTTGACAGAATAGTATTCTTTGGGACCAAAAAAATGCTCTGCAGGTCCTTTCCATGTGTTATTGCACTTTAGATTCCCAGCCTAATATCAAAACATTATTAATTATTTTAGCTACTTTATTAATAGTACCTGCACAAATGATAGGTCTTTTTCAACTTAAAAAGGTTAAAAATCTATTTAAGAAATATCACCGGTGAAAAATGTTTAAATGGATTAGATCTATTAAATATTTATAAGGAGAAATTAGATAAAAATCGGATTCTAGATAAATTAGCAAAATCTCAGAGAAAAGTAGACCTCTCTTTATAAATTCAAATCAAAAAATTGCAATATAATTTTTAATATAAAATATTTATAATCAAATATTTTCATAAAATGACTTCTTAGTTATAACATTTATATAATTCTTGTATTAACTCTTAAAATTTATACAATTAATACTATTTTTTAAATATCATTATTTGCATAAGAATTACTTATATTTTATGTAATTGTTAAATTACATTCTTTTTAAATAGAGTTTTATATAATAAAATTTTTAATATTATAATCTATATAAAATATCAACATTTTAAAATTTATTTTAAATAATAAAAATAAATACATGATTAAATAAAGGAGTTGTTTAATAAAGTATTTTTATATAATAAATAAAAACTATATTAAATACTCTCTAAAATTTTGATATATGCAAATATTTAAAATAATTTTAACATAGCCTAAGTTATAAGAAATTGAGTGTTCAAACAAAATGGGAGGTTTAGGGGCAAAATCCTGGCTACGCCACAGCAAGCATTGCATAAGAGGCTTTTTTGGCATCATTATCACAACCATATTTTAAGAACTTGTGTATTGAGTTGGATGATAAAAAAAATAATTTCTAAATATGTAAATGTATTACTAGTAATATATAATCAAGCTAAAACTAAAACACTGGTAGATTTAACATCTTAAAGAAAATAATGATTATTTCTTTTTGTAAAACAAATTTTGCTAAGTTCAATAATGCAAATAACATTTAGCAAATTTAAATTATTATAAAACATGTCAAAATACATTAGAAATACTTAATCCTTCCATTAATGAATTTTTTTTTAAATATAATATTACAATACCGTTATCAATTCTAGTTAAAAAGTGTGTCAGTTTTGGCACAATGTTTAATACTCCAAAACAGCAAAGACTTATTGATAAATTATTTGAAAAATTGATTATCTTAAAATAATGATTTGATTTAATAAATTTCAAATGCACTTTTGCAATTTAATGTTTCAACTCCCATAATACTAATCTCCCTTCTCTGTCTATGGTATGAATGAGCTAATTTTAAAATACTTGATTATTATAATTAAACTGTCATTAAATATTTTATTAATTATTATATATATTCGTACTTATTAGGGCTGTGCCAATCCACATATTTTTCACTGATCCATCTGATATTGACTCAAGCCTGATCTTATATTTATATTGATTTTTCACCCCCCCCCCCCCCTTGATCCATATGTAATTAAGAAGAAATAATTTTTTATGCAAAAAAACAAATTGTGCATTTAATTTAATTTTTATATTTCTACAATAATTAAAAAAAAGTTTACGAATAATGGTAGAATTAGATGAATTTTTCATTATTCCTCCCTATGAAATTAGAATTTTGCAGATAACACATTTTGCAATTATCTTTGTCTTTTGTAAAATATTTCCATAATTCAGATACCATATTTAAAAAAATAAAACTTTTGGTGTTCCTATCTATTTTTATAAAAAAACTTTAAATACTATAAATCTATTTAAAAAAATAAATAAAATTTATAATTATTTAGAATATAATATTAATGTAAAATAAATATACATAAAATAAGAAAAGTAACCAATCCGATATTTTTCAAAAACGCTAAATATCAGTGCCAATCTGTTATTTAATATCGGCACAGCCCTAGTACTTATTATATGTATGTTATGTTCTTCACCAACAAATAATAAAAATTTTATTTAATACTCTATTCAAATTGAATTGGTAATGATAATTTTATAAAAAGATGTTGTACTTATGATCCTTTCATTTATCAAAAGATACAAATATATTTTATCTTGTATCTTGGTAAGACAAAGGTGATGATTGGTGGGGAAAATCTAAAGATGGAGGAATCCGGTAAGTGACCTAGTGGTGTATGTGGGAAAGGAGTCAGCTAGAAATTCTATCCAATGCACCAGATGCCAGAAATGGGTACATAATAGATGTAGCGCGAAAAAAGGAAGTTTGATGTTAGGAAGAATGACCTTTATTTATAGAACATGCATGAAAGGGATATATAATAATGATAACCTAGAAATAGGTGGTCTGGATATTGGCAATGGGTTAACCCTAGAAAAAGTGAATAAGTTTTGTTATTTAGGTGATATGCTAAACACAGATGGTGGTGTAGAATCTGCCATTGTTGCAAGGACCAGACAAGCTTGGAAGAAGTTCAGAGAGATGTCAACTATTCTTACAAATAAAAAAGTCTCTCTGAAGTTAAAGGGGAAAGTTATTGTAAGCTGTGTGAGAAGTTGTTTAGTTTTTGCGGGAAAATATGGGCAATGAAAGCAACTCACGAAGCCAAATTAGAAAGAACAGAGATAAGGATGATTAGATGGATGTGTGGGGTATCTCTGAGAGAGAAAAAAACTAGCAAGGAATTGAAAGCAAGATTGGGTATAGAAATGATTGGAATGGTGATGCGACAAAATAGACTGTGGAACGTATGACAAAAGATGACTGGATAAAGAGAAAAACAATGATGGAAGTAGGAGGATCAAGACCTAGAGGAAGACCCAAGATGGCATGGACAAATGTGATAGCAGAGGATATGAGAAGCATGAATCTTACAAATATTGATGGTCAGGACTGTCAAAAATGTAAAAGAAAGATCAGAGGGAAAACTGGCCTACCCGGGTAAACCTGAAAATCGCCATAAAATGGAGAAGAAAAAATGTAAATAGGTAATTTTACTAAAAATGCCTGATATTTTGTATAAGATACTAGTTCTGTATTTAAGATCCATTTTATAAGGAATCTGGATCTAAATTATTTTTTCTGAAGGACCTGTCCACTATGATATTAATTATAGATATACTATAAAGAAAATAAACTGTGATGTAATTTAACATTACTATATTTGGAGTTATGGCTATAACACATAAAGATATTTTAGAATTTTGGCAAGCGTCTAATAAAATATATAACAATGATTGATTTTTAGAATTTTCAGCAAAGGCCACAAAGTCATCAAGAACAAATATCATACTTGGTAGAGATTTTACATCTAATTTGAGTTCAATAGTATTATCTTAACATCAAAATTTTATAAATATCTGATTTTAAATTACTTAATATATTAATCAAGATTTGTAGTTTTTGTAAATAAGATATTTGTTCCTAGAATTATATTAGAATCATTTAGTAGATTAATTTACCTCAATTTTAATATTAAAATATTGTTGCAGCTGTAAAAAAATAGTAGTGCAAGCTGAATCTAAATCTTTATTAATAAATCCTTAAAAATATTTTAATATATTTTATTAATATATCTTGATACCATAGAGGTATATTGTTATAGTTTGTTGATTTTCTAAGCTTAATTCTGTAGTTGATATTGCATCTCTTATAATCTATTATAATATTTACGTCTTATATTAATTATAAAAACTTTATTAGCCAAAGATGATGGACCATTTATAATAACTGAATTACCATGTTTAAAAATTAAACTATCTTTAATTAATTCTGTAATATTTCTAAAACATATAAACAATGTGATAATTGCCATAAGAGTTAATAATTACTCAAGTGCTTCATTGCAATTATATAGAGAATAAATATCGTTAATATGAAACTTTTTTATAATAAATTCATTAATTATTTTTTTGTTCATAACTCGAATTGAAAAAATGAGAGTATGGAAATATCATAGATGATGTTTTGGTTGATATCTGTCAAATATTGACATTGTTAAAATATATATAGTAATAAGGGGCTTAAGCAGGACTTGTTAAAGGGAGGTTATAAAAACTTTTGGAGGCTCCTATCTATGAAAAATTATGATTAGATAATATAAATTTTCTCTTGGTTACTTAATTTTGCTTTAACATTTTATATCATCTCTGTTTAAAACTGGCTTGACATTTGGAAACACTAATTCTAAAATCTATGCTAATGTTTCATGCTTTAACTAGCAAAGTAGTCAGTATAAAAGAAAAATTAATATGGCACAATTTTAGTCAACTAAACGATTGAAATGCGATTGGAATTATTACTGTATTTTTAAAGTTGAAACTATTTAATTTTGAGATGGAAAAGAATGGTATTTATAATTTCCTTATTAGCTAAAATAAATAAATAACTCTCATTGGGGGGGGGGAGTGGGGAACAATATTAAATTTTATTTCATAGATCATATTATAAATTGTAGCATATCTACTTTCCGGCTTCGAACCAGATAGCGAAAAACAATACTAATTTTAGGTCAAGGTCGTGACTCGTGGCGTTCTAACGACACTATCATACTAATGAATTACTTAATTAATATTGCCAATCATAAAACATAAAAAGATTATTAACCAAATAGAAACATGTTATCATGCTTTAAGTGTGAAATCTTCTGGCAGCATTAATTTGAAAACTTTTATCAATGAGTTGATCGTATCTAATACATTTTAGAGATACAACTTGTTGGATACATTACTATCAAAATAGGAAAAAAAGGCTAAGATTGAATCATTATGGAACGAAAATTATAGAACCCCTGAATATCTAGGTTCCACAATATGTAATATCTGATTAGTACTTACTAATTCATCCCCTAAACACAATGTCTATATGAAAGGATTTTCATTGGATGCGAACCCCTATCATAAATCTATACTTACTCCATAAAATATTTTCGTCGCCTTCGTAGGCGATATTTTCACATTATTCACCTTTGTAGTAAAAATTGTACTACCATAAATTTTATTTTATTAAAGCTCTACTACCAGCGTCTACATGACTGGATATTCATGGATACAAATTCCCCTGAAAAACTTATCTCCACCCCCTAAAAAAAATTTGCTACTTTCGCCAACGATATTCCCACATTTTGAATTGCGCGTTTTTAGTTATGATAGCACTCTCTTGATATATTTTACAATAATCATTACTCTATTACCAACTATAAAAAAAATAAATGTATAAGAGTCAAAATTTAGAACATGAATATTTATATAAACCCCCTTATTTACAATGAATGCAATTTATTATTATAGTATATTGTTTAGTATGAATATGAGCTTGCTAATAGGATATATAATCCTTTAAAACTATGATTGCAATAGATAAATTTCGTCATTGTATAGCAATATCATTGTATTATTATAATAGGTCTATAATAAAAATATTAAATAATATTTTAGAGCAATATATTTTGCCTTATTTTATTAAAAAGTTTAATAAATAAAAAACTCTCAATAAATTTATCTTAACCACTCCCCCCTTTCTGAAAATTTGGAAACAAACTGTTCCTATCCACCCTGCTAATGTAGATGCTGGCTACTATAAACTATCAAAATATTTTGTAAAAGAGTTACTTTTTAGTGCAAGAATTAAATTAAAAATCTCCTCATTTACAATAAATGTATTATTATAGTATATTGTTTGGCATGAATATGAGTTTACTGATAGAATGCCTTCTCCTTTTTAAATCACATTTAAAAGGATAGGAGATGGTTTCATTTAGAAAATAGGGTCTATAATTAGGGATGTACTAATATTTTTTATCGGATCGGATCGATATTTTACCCATTTAAAACGGTGGGTCTATTTATCGCTCGGCTGAAAATATCGCTCGGTTAATCACATAATAAATCATTTATTACTAAATATCGCTCGGCTAGTAAATGTCGCTCGACAAACCACATGATAAATTATTTATTACTAAATATCGCTCGACTGGGAAATATCGCTCGGCTAACCACATAATAAATCATTTATTACTAAATATCGCTCGATTGGGAAATGTGGCTCGGCTAACCACATAATAAATCATTTATTATTTAAATTACGCTCGGCTAATTACATAATAAATTTTTTATTACTAAATATCGCTCGGCTTATATTTATGTATTAAATTTCCAAACATTTTCCAGTGGGTTTTCACTTTCCTAATATTAATTGAGAATTAATTAGTTTATAAATAAGATAGAGGTTTGGACAGGTGTAAAAAATTATCTATTAGATATTTTAGCTTCAATACTTTTATAAAATTAAAATTGCTCATAACATTTTTTACTTATTAAAGTAAAAGAAATAATATTCTATCCGCTAGATGGCGTCTTTAAATTTTTAATTATAAAATTTAAAAATAATATTTTTGAATGTGTTTAATAAATTTCGCCATATTCTATCATGATGACTAAATATTTATGATTTTTTTTATAGCATTATCTATATTTTGGTAAAAAATTAGTAGTCTTTTTTAAATTTTGCAATTTTTATTAATCAGATAAATTAATAACGATGGTAATTCATTTTATTCATTCATATATAAATCATAATTATTTTTACCAAATTGATTTATAATGTTATTATAATATAATTATTGCGTTCATAAAATATAATTTGTTCGTCAGAGAAGATTTAAATATACATTTAGGATAATAAAATTATATATATTGATGAAATAGATTATGAGCAGGGGAAAATTGGGGAAAAATAAGGAATTAAAATTTATAAAAAATATTTTATCGAGTCCTTTCTGCTTTAATTCTACGTCGCTGATGTGGTTTTTTTGAGCCTTTTGGTTTTAAAACAGATAAAGTTTTATCTAATGAATGTAATTTATCTTTGCTTTGACTATTAAGTAAATTATTTAATGTATCATGACAATCTATCGATTCGGGTATTAAATAATTGCGATATTCATTATTTAAAAAATATTCTCCTTTTCCTGAGAAGGATCTTTCAAATTCTTTTTCTTGTAACATTGTGATATCCTTAATTTTTTCGATTAATTCTTTTAAAGGACGTTGTTTCCAGTTTATATATGATTTTAAAACATGGTTCATAGATTCGCAGTTGTTATTTGTCCATAAACAATTTATTATTTTATTTTTTAGGGGAATGTAAACATGTTAATAAATTACTTTTTGAAATTTATTTTTTATATATGACAAAAAAATATTAAAATTTTCATTATTACAATAATTGTATAAATCGTTTAATTTTACATTATATATTTGGTCATTCCGAGAAAATATAATACCATTAAAAGAAAAAATATCCTGTATAATTTTTTTAGACATAACAGCATTTACACCTTGTTTTTCCAACAAATATTTTCTTATATTGTCTTTTAAATGACGTGTGCATATTAAATGAGTATTAAATTTAAATATTTCCTGAATAGGTTTTACTATAGCCTTTTCTTGGTCACTACCAAATATGATATTTTTAATATTTATTTTATTTTATTTTTTAAAATACAGAATGCAAATGAGAGAAAAAAGTATGATAAGTGGTCATATCAGAATCTCCATGCAAATATATTAGTCCTAAAAATATAAGGGATTCATCTGTTTTATATCTCTTAACTGCTATATGTTTAAATACTATAGCAGTTAGGTATAGATCACCCAAATTAAATGTTTTATAAACGCCTAATATACAGAAGTCAGATTGGTTTGACAAAAACTTAATAGTTTTAATAATAAAATGAGTATAACAAATTATCGATAATGTTTTCTCTTTGATGTGAATTATTGATTGGATAAATGGCGAAATATGTAGATCATTAGTAATTTGTAAAATATTATCCGAAAAATTTAGAGGTACTTTTGTATCTTTTTTAAGTTTATAATTTAAGTTATAAATTTGTTTTAAATTTTTTGGTTTAATTGAGTCTTTTTGAAATATATAATTATTATAAATATTACGACATGTTTGATTGTCCTTTATTTGATTTCTAATGTTTGATAATAACTGATTTGAAGTCCGTACATAAGTATTTACAATCTTTTTGGAATTCCCATGGCAAGCGGGACCTGGCCATTGTCCTATATATTCCACTAAATATATATCTTTGAAATCGTAATTAGGCTTTTCAATAAAATTAATTTTTAAAATTCGGCGTTTATACTCTTTACTTCTCTTTAAAATACTATAGTATTTATAAAGAACAATTATATTTTTGGTTAAAGGTTGAGGTTCTATTTTTTTAAAAATTCTAGAACCACCTAGATGAGTGTCCTGCCTAAATAGGCCATCTTTAAAAATATACGGACCTTGAACAATATCATTATATATATTATAATATAATTTTCTTGAGCTTGATTTTGAGCCTGTCCATGGCCCACAATCATCTATATATAAATTTTTATTCTTATAATTTGTAAAATTATTATTAGAAATTAAAAAATACATATTATATTTTATACCTAAAGAAATTTCGTGCAATATATTATTGGGAGAAAGCAAAATTTTTATGGATTTTACAATGTTTAAAAAAAACCCATAGTTTGGATGACCTCCTTCGGCTATAATATTGTTTTAAAAAAAAACGTAAAGATTTTAATCGGATATCTTCGCTACATGGTTTTTTTAAAATATTTTCTATCGAAAATGATAAATCTTTTATGATATTGTTGGACAGTTGGGGTTTTTTTGTTAATGTATTAATATAATTATTTGGTATGAGAGATACAAAGTGATTGATTCTAATATTAAATATATCATTTGGACATATGGTAGATGTCCACATGATTAAAATATGAGGCTTTAAACTCTGGCTTACACCCCTGCCATAAAGGATATCGGTAAAAGCCTTTAATGAATTTGATGGGCAAAATACGTGAATTGGTTTGCCAAGAGCAGCACTTAATGCGCATATATGAATTTGCTCAGCCCAAACATTTATATTTAGAGCCGAATCGAGTATCTCATAATACTCATTCACCCATATATTTGGATTAATTTTATAGTTTTGGAAAAAATCAGGATGGTTTTTATCATAATATTGAGGATTCATAATTATTTCTATTGCCGTTATCAGTCTTAAAAAAATATGATGTATTTGTGTTTTATATAATGACATTGAAACCGCCCGGTAAAAGCTATTACCATCAGATTCAATTTACTGCGGAATATAATTTTCTAAGATTGGAGATTGCGCCATTTGTATAATTTTTTCACTTGAATCTTTTGATATTTTCTTTAATGTTATTGGTTGTGGATCTCTTAATTTATTTTTTTCTATTAAGGCCATAGCTGGATCTCTTTTTAATCTGCAAAAAAAGAAAAAATTAATTTTTTTTCAAGTGATGAATCTTGAGTAAATAAAAAGAACGAAGATAACCCTAAATCATATAAGATTTTTCTAAAATGTAACCATATCAAGGTTTTATTAAAATTGACTAAATAAAATTTCTTGATATCAAATAAAATTGCCAAAATCTTTGATTTCCAATTTGGATGTATGAAAATGTGAGTGCTCTGTCTGAACCCTTGTGCGAATATTCAGAGTCGGCCTACAACATTGGGTAAAATTAATATTTATATTATTTTTTAAAACAATTCAAAAACTACCCTACCAATCTAATTTCCTAATAAAAACAGCGATTTGTCAAATTTTATTAAATTATGGCCCTAGAATGATATTATATAGTTCCATATTGTTTTTTTAAATGATGGTCACCAGAACTCCAAATGATAAATATTTTTACGGTGAATTCTTAAACTAAATATAAGATTAATTTTAATAAAAAATTTTCTGGGCACCGAACCTGAATCCCAACCTGGTTCAGATATTTTTTGCAAATAAACTCGAACCCTTTTTTAATAGGGTCACAGCCTGTAACAACCTATGTATCTTTATTTGAATAAAAAGAAAAACCATAATAAAATAATTGACTATTTTGTGAATCATTACATAGGTAAAGAAAATATGAAGAGTAAATGAATATTAACCTTAATATAGCATCCTTCATTGTGAATATGAATTCGAAAAAAAATTGATGATATGTAATAAATAAATGATTATATTTTGAAGTGAATTGTGATTGATATTATGTTATTTTAATTTTTAACTATTAATACTTTTTGAATCCTTTTGCCGCCTGGCTGGCATCTTAAAATTTGAGTTATATTTTTTTTTAATATTAATAACTTCCGTTTTTTACATATTTTTTTTTCTCATAATAGCATAACTTTCAATTGTATTTCCCTCCCTTTCCTTTTTTTCCCCAAAAGAAATTAAATAATAAAAATATTATTTGTTTCCATCTTTTTTTTCAAAAGTTGAAATCATAATTTTCATCTATTTCTATAAAAATCTATCATGTTTTCTTTCCAAGATGTCACAAATCTATACTTTTTATGCTATCTACTAAATTATAAAGTATCAAAGCTACCAACCGATTTATCAATTCTCATATTTTGAGATTGCCCTATATCGCTTAGAATTAAAACAGAAATAATGCTAAAAAAATCCTCAAACGTCGAGAATAAATACTCAACTTTCAGAAAACACTGAATATAATTTTTTAGAAATATTTTCGTTATTTTAGCGGCAGGGTTATTTTTGAAAATTTAAACAAAAATTATTCGGGAATTTTTTTCCGGTTTTTTTTTCAAGGATTTATTTTCCCCTATATTTAATTTAAAACTTAAAAAATGGGTGTATTTGCATCTAGATCCATTTAAAAAGTGTATTTTAAGAACTCTGGGGATCATATATATAAAATAATAGTTTGTATAATTCTTTATAAATTTGATAATATATAAAATATTTTTAAATATAGAATCGGCTCAAACGGCTTATTGAGCCGCACTAGTCAGAGCCGTTTTTTACGACTACGAGATTTTTCACTGAACTCTCACCCGAACCCATTTTTTTAGAAGGGGGGGGGGGGGGGTTACAACTCTGATATATATTGATGAAATATATTCGATATTCTAGAAATATTGGATAATTATGATTATCCTATATAATTTCTTAATACAATAAGGCAAAATTTATTAAACGCATTCAAAAATATTATTTTTATATTTTATAATAAAAAAATTAAAAATATTTAATAGAATATGGCGAAATTTATTAAACACATTCAAAAATATTATTTTTAAATTTTATAATAAAAAATTTAAAGACGCCATCTAGCGGATAGAATATTATTTCTTTTACTTTAATAAATAAAAAATGTCATGAGCAATTTTAATTTTATAAAAGAATTGAAGCTAAAATATCTAATAGATAATTTTTTACACCTGTCCAAACCTTTATCTTATTTATAAACTAATTAATTCTCAATTAATATTAGAAAAGTGAAAACCCACTGGAAAATGTTTGGAAATTTAATACATAAATATAAGCCGAGCGATATTTAGTAATAAAAAATTTATTATGTAATTAGCCGAGCGTAATTTAAATAATAAATGATTTATTATGTGGTTAGCCGAGCCACATTTCCCAATCGAGCGATATTTAGTAATAAATGATTTATTATGTGGTTAGCCGAGCGATATTTAGTAATAAATAATTTATCATGTGGTTTGTCGAGCGACATTTACTAGCCGAGCGATATTTAGTAATAAATGATTTATTATGTGGTTAGCCGAGCGATAAATAGACCCACCCATACAGCAATACATTTGCCCCTTTTCAGTATAATTTTTAAAAGATAACCCTTCAAGAAATTTTTCCTCCCCCCCCCTTCCCATAAATGAATACCCCTACCCTTTTTAAGAAGAATTGTAAGCAAACTATTCAAACCCCCCCCTCTCATGTAGACACTGACTAAACAGATACCAAGTTATAAGCAAAATAAAAACTATTTCAAAAATTTGATATGAATCTGAAACACATATTATAAGGCATCCCTAAACATTAAATTTATCAAACCTTTGAAAATAATTACGCTAAAATTTAGGCTAATATGCAATGCTCTAGTACATCTTTTGGTTTAATGCTTCAACCCGTTTAGTAAATAGTATAAATAAAAATTCTTAGCAAATGGCAATTCTAAAATTGGTATTAATTTAAGATAGAACGAAATATAGAATTTTTTTTATTATCATTATAAAAATCATGTCTCTGGCTTAGCCTTCATTCCGTAACTTAGTGGTAGTATAAAAATATGGTCAAATAAACTTGTTGCATCTTTGAAAAATATGTAAAATAAGAATAATTGGTATGGTGAAATTAAACATCTACAATAGATGATTTTTTACCTCCCGACCCTAAGAGAGAAATTGTTTGGCAAAATGCTACTAAGTGTGTTTTACATGGGAAATATATATAATTAAACTTCGATATCACGTGATTGGGAAGCGCAGCTTAATTTCATTTCATTTTCTTTTGCATAATATATAAGTTTTTTTATATGAGGTCCTATTAAAAATAAAATGTGCCTATATTATTGTTTATTCGCAGATTTTTAAGATTTTTTAAAGCAATTTTTTAAATAGACCAAAAAATTTAACAGATGATTTTATAAGGACAGATAATGGAAGGGTTTTTACAAATTTAAAAAATGGCATAAATTTTCGCCTTGATATCAATATAAAAGTACAATTAAATCATAAAACTTTTCCTATTCATATTTTTCATGGGGAGGAGGGATTTAACCACAACCCTCCCCCCCCCATGTATACGACACCACTGATTCTAATAAACAAACGTTTCTACAGACTCCTATTGACGTGCCATTTTCCTTTATTTTTTTAGAATATTCCCTAATTGTCCACAGCGACTCGGTCGCATTCTCACATCGTGGAACAGGCAACTGCCATATTTGTCCACTGACGATCCCTCACCATCCATATATAATAGCATTGAGCTACTTGGTGCTCAAAATAGTATATGTGCTTTAGTACCCTCCCGTCCAGCTCAAGCTGTCACCATACCATAGCGAGTTATCACAGCGATTGATTAGATTACCCTTTTATTTGGGTTAAATTAGGTTCAATAGAAAAAAATATGATTTAAAAAATTAATATTTTTTTTATTCACAGTTCTATCCATACAATATTTTTTAGTAACACAATTTGCTTTTGCTAAAATTAGTGATAGTCAAATGGTTAACTTTCATTCATTTAATATCAATTTGTATAAATAAAATATCGATATTACGCTATTTTTAATATAATAAATGTGCATATATATAAATAATAGCATAAATCTTTCTTAACAATATTAGTAACAATTTTTTTTAAAATAAACATTGCTTTGATCAAAATTAGTTGTAAGAATCATCATTCCTTGAAGCAATAATAATGAGCGAAGGTTGTATCAGGATAGCGAACATATGCACTAGTATTAATATTAAAATAAAAAATAATGTATCAAAATGTTTAGTGAATTTAGAACGGGGCGCGTACTAAAGAGACTTTACCAGGGCCGAACGCGTCATAAATACACTTTGACGGGAAGGGTCCATGTTTGTCCCCGTCCCAATAATTCTTAAAAAAATATTTTTATTATAAGTAAGGGCATATTTATAAATCACAATGTTATATTTCGAATAATTTTAAATCGTAAAAATATTGTTTCCTTTTTTTGAAAAACGGGATGATGCTAACCTTATCCGGGACACTAATTTTAGTCAGGATTGTGTCCCGTTCTGGTGGGTTAGTCCAAGGTGGACGTTTGATCGTCTATAAAAATGTTGGGCTATTGATAAAATCCAATCGGTCTGAAAATAACCATATTGAAATTATAACTTGATCAACGACGATAATTTGATATCTCAAACATCAAAATAAATGGTCGATGATATAAGGGCCATGTTAGGAAGTGGGAAAGCAAGGTGACCACATGGGTTGCCAAATTTTTTAAATATTAGGGCCGTAAATATTTTAACCAAGGTTGCAAAACAATTATAGAATAATTAGTAATTAATTAAGGTAAGAAAGTCCACGAGTCTATACTATGACAATCGAAAATTTGACCCCTACAACATTGGAAATAAAGAACTTATTTTTAAATTTTTATTGTTCTCATTTATTTTATGACTATATATATAATTAGTGCTTTAAACTTTACTTCAGAAAAGGTACGCGTTACCGTTACCTTGTGAAAAAAAGACACGCTACTTGCTATTCAAAGAAAGTAACGTGTTACTTGTTATCAAAAAATATATATATGTTTAGGGGTATGCCGATTTACATATTTTTAATCGATCCGATATTGCTTCAAAACCGATCCGATATTTATACTGATTTTTACCATCCCCCCATTGAACCAAATGTAATTAAGAAATCAATATTTTTTATGCAAAAAATCGAATTATTCATTTAATTTAATTTTATTATTTCTACATTAAGACTAATTAAAAAAATATATATTTAATAATATATTCATTTTATGTTGGTATGAATTATAAAATTATAATATGTTACATATTCGTAACAATTTATTTTTTATTGTGTTAAGCGTTAATATACTTATCCATTTAAATAATGACGGTTTAAGTCGATAATGTTAATCGTGTGATATATTAAATTAAACTATTGAACATATTTTATATGATATATATACCATTTTTCAGAAAAAGCAAAAACTATTAAATATTTTATTTTGTTTCTTAAATTATATGAATGATATTTATTAGTTAAATAATATTATAAAAATACATTTTAATAAAAAAACTACTACCGACGACAAGACATTCTAAAATACTATTACCGACGACAATCGACTTACATTACCATTGATATATTAGATTTTTTAAAATAAATATGAGAGCATCTAGATTTTCTGGTAATAAGCTTCTACGATATGGACTATCTATTCCTGCCGTACTGAAGGCAGACTGAGATGATTCCGCAGATAACGCATTTGCAAAATTATCTTTGTCTTTTGTAAAATATTTCATAATTCAGATATCATATTTAAAATAATTTTTTTATTTAAAGTATAAATAATAAATTTGGCGTTATTATTTAAAAAGATTTAAATAAATAAAACTTTGGGTGTTCCTTTCTATTTTTGTAAAAAAATACTTCAAAAACTATAAATCTATTTTAAAAAAGAAATAAAATTTAGAGGGTGTTGTGTATTTGCATTGCATTGTTTAAAAAAAATTACTCAAAAAATATTATAATAATGTAAAATAGATATACATAAACATGAAATAACAAAAAAAGTAAAGTAAAAAGATCGGATCGGCTTTTTACCGGTATCGGTTCGATCCGATATTTTTGGAAAACGCTAAATATCGGTGCCAATCCGATTCGATATTTAATATCGGCACAGCCCTAGTTATGTTTACAATATACATTCATTTTTAACAATTGATTTTCATAATTTTGATCAGATGAACAAGAGTGCTTAGTGCTCAGCACAGTTTTCGCTGAGTTAAATGTTTATTTGTCGCAGAAGATGGGAGGATAGTATTAAATTTAATTTAAAAAAAATTTAATTAGAGATTTATTAAAAATATTTAAAGAATGATCTTTATTTTCAAAAAAATGAATAGTATTTTATTCAAATCATTTATTTTTATCCTTATCAGTTAATGTGCTATTTATGTGTTTTATTTAAATAAAGCCAAAGGTAATTTTTGTTTTGTATTTGCCAAGATCTTTCCTTAAGGTTAATATTTATATTAGGCACAATCTATACTTACGAAGTGTAGACCTAGTGCCCTTAATTTTCTTTATAGGTGTAAAAGAAAGTTTCATGATAGGCCAGGGTATTGTTAAATCATCTTCATTAGAAGAAATAAGTATTATTGTATAATCTTTATAAAAGAAATTATAATATTAGAGAATATAAATTAACCTTTGATTCAATATTAATTAGATTAACAATACCTTGATTGATTCAATATTAATTAGATTAGCAATCTTGACTGTAAAATTCAAAAAGAAAATATAATAAATAAAATAAATATGAGGAACCTTTTTGTTGTTTGATTTAAAAACTTGCCTTAAATTATTCACAAAAGGAGAAGTTTTTAAGTGTCGTTGTTATTTTCCTCCGAAATATACTAATAATTTTTATTATAAGAATTCACTTGATTTCATTCATGAATTTACTATACTAATTATATGAATTTATAAGATTAGGTTGTGTAATTTTTATTTTTGAGAAAATCTTGCTATGTTGCATAGAGGGCTGGAGCTTTACATGCTGTTGCAACTGTCACCACTGAACTATCATTCCATCGAACTACAAATATTTCATATGTCTTTTCCATAGGTAGTCGTAATAGCCCATCTCTTTTTTTGCCATAATTTTAATTGTTTCTAGAGGAGAATTTTCATGTCTATTTTCTCTTATAGTCACAGTTGTGAAAAACCTCAAGTTATCGAAGTAAATAGAATACAAAGAAGTTACTTGGACAACTTTGAATAAATTTGTAACAACCGTGCCTCCTAATCCAAAATTCGAAGTTATTGGGCTTTTATTTCTACCTTAATATGTATTAAATGCAATATATCCATCGGAGGAAGCAATCGTCCGTGATTTATATCCAAATTGAATGGATTTACCTTTGATAAACATTTTACAGGAATGTCTTCCTCGATATGGTATCTAAATTATGTAAAAATATACCGAATTGTTGAAACTTTTTATTTGGTAAATTTAAATATGGGTGGATTTTATAAAGATTATCCTCTTAATCAAGAGTTGAGTTACTAGACAAATGTAATTCCTTTTGATATCGCGAAATGGATGTTGTGTCATTGAATTCCTAACGATTGGTATAGTAATCATTGTCATTAGTCCATTTCTTGCAGTAAGGAATGATAACTAGTCAGCAAAGGAATTCCCAAAAATCTTTCCATCTCTGACTCGATTGTAATAAAATTTGGTCTATTGTTATGTTTGGAATGAATATGTGATTGATCCACAAGCAGTGAATACATTTCTTGATCAAAAAATAATTCAAATATTCTATTGTAATTTTTCCTTTCAAATCAAATTGAAGATTCGATAAATATAATGAGAATAACAATAAAATTATGGATTTTCTGGAATATTTTATAAATAATAAAAACTAAGATAAAAAAATAGTATTTTTGTTTAGTATGAATAACAAAAATTTATAAAAAGTATTATGCCAAATTTTTTTAGAGCAAAATTACTTTTTTGAACCCTTATGTGGTCATCATTGCATAAATAGTACAGTAAAAAACATATGATTCATCAAAATGTGAATTGACGCGGATAAAAGCGTGCATAATGGGAGACAAAAAATTTTCATAAGTAGAAAAAGATTTGGCGATAGGACAAATGCGTGGTATGATGGGATCAGTAGTAACATTCAAATTAAGGGATGCGGTGATGGCATTGATTCATACGGGACATCAAAGTGTGGAACTGATAAAGCAATGGAGGAGAAGCCTGTAATGAACAACGAGATTGAAGATATAAGCCGGATGATGTGTAATTTATGGTAGAGTATCGAATAAAGATTTTAAAAAAATTGTATGGTAGAAATCTATACAGCCGTAAGAGTGCATACCCATTGGCTTATATACCAGTGATTGATGCTTATTCAAAGTAGGTAGAGTATGAAGAGATAAAGGAGTTAACGATTCAAGTGGTAGTAAAAACATTAAAAAAATCATGTGCCCGATTCGGGGCGGCCAGAATAATTGTATTGGATGGGGGCCCAGCCTACATGATATTTCGTGCTGATATGCGAAGGTCGCGAGTTCGAGACTCTTATTGGCAACCATTTTTATGATTTTTTCTTAATCACTTTTAGTAATCGAATTTGATAATTATATAATTCAACGCATTAAAAATTTTTATTAATTCAAAGCGAGAAATTTCCAATGATATAAAAAGCGAAAATTATAACTATAAAAACTAAAATAATATACTAATGATTTTTTATCTTTTTCCGCTCTTATAAATTTTCCATTAGAATATAACAATATTTATTTTTAATGTCCATAAAAATGATTAATACTATCTCTATTTCTTTTTTTAAAATATAATAATCATAATGACTAGACACAATTTAATTAAATGAATAGTCACCAAAAATATAAGCAGGGATCCAAACCGAACCTGAACCGAATCATTGAACCGCTAAAAACTGGTATTTTTTATTGAACCTAAACCGCTAAAAAATTCTAGCTGAACCTGAAACGAACTGCTAAAATGCCTTTGAACCGGTTCGAGCCTCATGATTTTATGCTAAAAAATGTGTAAGTTATTACTAGTATATTGCAAAAATTTTAATTATATTCGAATTGTTTTATAGATTATTATAAATCGCATTTGATTGATAAGTGTCAATCATAATTTTTATAAATTTTAGTATATTGCCATTTTACAACTTTTTTAAAATATTTTAAACTTATAAATGATAATGTCTAGAGAAAAATTATATTTACATATAGTATTATAATGACACATCAAATCTGATTTCATACATATTGGCAGTGCCGGCTACCCAAGTTAGTGTGGAAAGATGTTTTTCAACATCTATATTTATACTATCTCCTTATTTTGAAATATGAGGGAGACGAATCTTGAAAATATATTAATTGTGCGGCTTAATAAAAAAATTATTAAGTAAATAAAGTTAAATATTTTCATATTAAAATTAATCATTGATATTTATTTGTTATATTTATAAATTAAATATTATTTTATAATGTGCAATTAATAAAAATGAAGGTTTAATATATATGATTTTTATTTTAATTATGAAATAAAAAAATATTCTTCTCTCCCTATAAATAATTCGAATGTAAGTTTGAATATAAGAGTGTTCAACCCGGTTTTTAGAGGTTCAAACCGAAATTTTAATTTTTGCGAACCGAAGCTGAACAGTTATTTTTATGAACCTGAACCGAACCGAAATTCGTTTCAGTTTGGATCCCTGAATATAAGGATGAATAAACAAAATGTGTTCTAAAAATAAATCTCAAGCTCAAAATATTTTCAATATTATGCATTAAATAATATTCAGCAATAACTTTGATAATTTTATGATGTTTATCAATTTTATTCTATTAAATACAAAATATTATGTGAAAAGAATAATTTTAGCCAGAAAAATATTGCTTAAGACTCGAGATTTTGATAATATATGTCTAAACCTTTGTTCCTTCTTTGAGCAAAATCTTCAGGTTTGATTAAAATATTTCTGGATGAAATATTGAGTTAGCCGTTTTGAAAAATCGGCTCAAAATGTGCCGTTTAACAACACTACTTCCCTATATATAATTCGAATGTAAGTTTGAATATAAGTGTTCAACCCGGTTTTTAGAGGTTCGAACCTGTCGTATTTGTGTATACGACAGAGATCTGCAGAGGTACCATTTGCATGGCCCGGCCCGGTTTTAAATTTTTTAAGCCCGGCCCGGATATTTTTAAAAAAATTTTTTATGGCCCGGCCCGGCTCGGATTTAAAAATTTAAGGCCCGGCCCGGATATTTTTTAAAAAAATTTTTTACGGCCCGGCCTGTCCCGGATTTAAAAATTTAAGGCCAGGCCCGGATATTTTTTAAAAAAAAAATTTCAGGCTCGGCTCGGAATTTTTGAAAATTATATTCGACCTGGTATAGACAAAAATTCACCTATGAGGTATTTTACCATATTTTTCAGCGAGTATTATCGCTTATTATTTAAAAAATACATGTAAAAAGCTAATATTTTGAGAATATTATATTGAATTTATAAAAATTAAAAAACTGTTATTTATAAAAGTGGATATTTTGAGTATATACTATATTTTATATTGCATTTATAAAAATAAAACTAATATTCATAAAAATGGTAATAATATTTGTCATATACTATATTTTATATTACATTTAAAAAAAATAAAACTAATATTTAATTTATAAAAATGGAAAATATTTTGAGAATATAATATATTGTATTTAATTTACTATTTAATTTATAAAATAAAAATAAATCGCTATTTAAAAAAATGCATGTAAAATAAATAGTATTTTGAAAATATAATCTAATTGCACAATATTAATATAATTTATTTTATAATATAAATTTTTAACAATTGTAAAAAAAAAATAATGAAAAATGTTGGATTAAAAACTTTCATGACTCAAGGTAAATATAATAAATGCAATAAATATTTGGCAGTTTGCAAAGTAAAAAAACAGCATGATTGACGAAACCCTATACTCAAGAAAGATATTAAAAATTCACAAATTATCATGAAGAAAGAGAAGCATATCTACCTTTTCAGGTTGAAGATTACTTCTTCTTTCTTCAAGAATTCTCCCAGTAGTGGAAAAATTCCGCTCACAGCTTGCACTTAAAGCAGGAATTGCCAATTTTGCTAAAATTGGAAATTCGCTTTGATGAGCCGCCAACCACTCTAACAAATTATCCACCTTAAATGTTTTATCTATTATTTATGTAATTATAATATTCATCATCGGGTATTGACATATTACCAGAATTACCATCGCCCCATTTGTCATAAAACAATTCAGTTTGTTTAACAACAGTCGTAATTTGACTGGTCGATGGTATTTCCTTTCTGAGCCTCTTGTAATTTAATATAATCTTTTATATAGTTTTCCGTCATTTTGCGATCTGTCCCTGACTACATACGTAGTTGCTTGAATTTGGGACAGAGAAAAAGAGAAATAAAATGATACTTGTGTAAAACAAATTTTTCAATTAAAAAATGCTTTATATTAAGTAAAATCAATTACAAACTTTAGGAAGTGATAATCATTTATTTGATTGTTTTGGTAAAATATATTCTAAAAATTTTATGAATTATAAAAAAATATATTAATAATACTTGAATATTGGGGCTTATTTAAGATATTCCTTTATTTGATTGTTTTGGTAAAATATGTTGTAAAAATTTAGATATGAATTATAAAAAAATATATTAATACTTTGAATAAATGGAAATTAATAATTAGATCGATCTGTGGGTTGTTAGGTATAGTTAACCATCACCCAATATTATATTAATCATAACTATAATATAATATAATCTAATAACCATTAACAAAAATTATTATAAAAAATATTAAGGCCCGGCCCGGATATATTTTAAAAAAAATTTTTTAGGCCCGGCCCGGATATGTTTAAAAAATTTTTTTTAGGCCCGGCCCGGGTATATTTAAAAAATTTAAAATACGGCCCCGCCCTGCCCGGGTTAGGGCCGGGCCTGCAGGTCTCTGTACGAATCCATTTATTTTTTTACGCGAAATGCAATCAACCGATTTAAATAAGGTTGATTGGATATGAAAATAACATGTAATATATATTTTAATATAATGATTATTATTTAATTTTTGAATATGAAAATTAAAAAAAACAATAAAGAAACTATTCGTGTATTTTTAGCTCTTTAGTGTGTCAGATATATTTCCTTTTGTTTTCTGATTTTAGTAATTTAGTATAATTTTTTGACAGTTCGTTTTTAGAAAGTTTTGGTTTAGTTTCGGGGATTTGTTTGAGTTGTTAGTTTTTTTTAGTGGTGCCGTGCGTTTCCTAGGAGTTATTCGGTTTAGAAGGTAAAACAAAAAATTTTTAATTATATAATTTTCTTAAATTTTTTGACTGCGCATTTGTACTAACCATTATACGATTTTGATAGTGAAGTTTTTATTTAAGGTGCTGTATTAATATTTTCTACGAATATTTAAAGTTTTTGTAACTAAAAGATTCATGACCAAATGGTTCATTTTTTTAGGTATCATGATGATTACAGCGTGGCTGCTAAGATTTCATTATAGTTTGGGTCTTAAAGTTTTATATAAAAGTTTTGATGAATTGGATTTAATTAAACAGGGAATGATAATTGGTATATTGGTAATAATTATTTATTGGTGATTATGGCGAAATATTTGGTAAAAAGGGGTACTGCGGTACTGGCAGGCATGTATTGCAATTGGAAGAAGGACACTGCGGTGTCAGATGTTTATAAAAAGAAAATGGCAGAAACGTATTTTAATTTAATATCGGATATTTATGGGAAGAAAATAGCAGACTTGGAAAGTAATCTAAAAGATGTTTTAGAGGAAATCAAGGCTGGAAATGTTGGGAAGAGGTCAGATAGGATCCTCCTGGAAATAAAGGAAATGAAAGAAGCCATAAATGCGTTGAAAAAGGAAAGCAAAAATCCGGTTAAGAGCCAGGTGGGTGATAGAAATATTAATAAGAAATTTAATGATTACGAGGAAAATAAGGAATTGTCGGGAAATAAAAAATTTGTGGAAATGATCATTTGCCATCGTTGCGGATGGAGAGGACATAAGAGGGATACCTGCGTGGTCCCAGAGCATAGGTTTAAAGATGGATTTCCGTTAAAGAAATGTGAAGTAGGAAATGCTAATGTAAAGATGGTTAGTTTAAACGGGGCCAGATTATGTTTCAAATGTAAAAGGCCGGGACATGTGGCTGTGGACTGCATGGAGGTATCTCAAAATTTGTGTTGACTATATGATTGCAAGGTGAATCATATAGGAGTCGGGGCTCCGAGAGTTCGGAAAAATTTGTATAATAAAACTTTTAATATTATTAGTCGAGATAATGGGAATGATAGAATAAAAATAAGAAATCATTCTCGTAATTTCCCTGAGAGGGAGGTTAGTCGATTTAGGTGGGAACGATATCCGAGGAATATTGTCCGTTATTCTCTTAGAAAGGATGTTAGGAATTTTATTTAAGAAACCCACAGATCTTGTTAAAAGAAATGTAATTGTCAGTAATAAGAATTTAAATTCCGAGTTGAATTTAAGGGGCAATGTGAATGCCAATGAAATTATTATTTTAGATAAAATAAACGCTGATTCTCCGATTAAAACATATGGTATTTTAATGACGGAAAGATTAGATGGACCATGTTTGTGTCCGAGGGTTAGTTTGAAAATTGACCATAGGAATATAGAAATGCTATTTGACACCGGGGCTAGTATTTCCCTAATGTCGCAGGAGAATTTTTATAAGTATTGGCCTGGGGGTAAACTTGAAAGAGAGGCTATGTGCGTCAGACAATTATGGGTCGGAAGTTGCCGTGTTGGGAAGAGCCAAATTGGGAGTTAATCTTAATGATGTAATCTTTTTCCTTGATTTATGGGTGGTGAAGGAAAGTGTGGAAACCATCATGAGGTGGAGTTGGATTGTTCAGTTGGGTCCCTTTAATAATTTTTGGAATATTTTTGCAAAACCAGGGGCTGCAAAGGGGACTAAGAATATGAGTCTGGGGGTTAGATTCGAGATATAATTTGGGAAATAGAAGGGACGGACTCAACTGTAAAAGAAGGGAATTCAACCTGTAATTCTGAGATATATATAGGTTCCACTGAATTAATAGTTGAGGACAACAGTGAAACCCAGGGAGTAATCGGGGTGAAAGCGATTATTTAATATATATATAATTTGGGAGAATTAATGGAAAAGATACTCTTAATATGCATTAAAGGTGTTCCGTGATTATGAGGAGTTGCGGGATAAATATTATTTAAAAAATAAAGACGGGAATTAAAATGTATGTGAACTGTTGGTAACCTATTTGTCTTATTTTATTTATTATTACACGATGGTAGTAAGATATATTGATAAAATGCAAGGGTATTGGTTTTAATTCTTCCATGTTTGCAATGAGAAAAGTTGGTATTCATTGAGGTTACCAGTTGTTAGTCATAAATAAAAGTTGAAATGTAATGTAAGATTAAAATGGAAAGTTGTGGTATCTTATATTATTAATAGTTAAAAGGGAATCATGTATTGAGTAGAGAAACCGTTTTGATATTTTTATTACATATTTGTGGTTGTTTTCATTTTTGGTAGGCCGCAAGAAGATAATGAAAGGGGAGAAATATTTTTGGTAGTGTGAGATAAGAACGTGCACGTGTTTTGTTTTTTAAAATTAAATACTTTTAATGTTGTTTAGTCATTAATAAAAGTAGAATAAAGATAAGATATGCGGTGGAAGGTTTGTGGTAAAGGGAAGATAAAAACATTTTTTTTATATGTTTTTGTGTGTTATAAGAGAAATATTGATTTTCTGGTTGCGGTATATTTTTTTTTGTAAAAAATGTTTTTTTTTTCTCTATATCTTTGTTTTTTTTATAATGGTCTATTTATTCTCAGTCAGGCCGTAAAAGGGAATGTGAAATGTTGTTAAAACAAAATGAAAAAGGGAAGGATGGTAGAATGATGCCTGGTTGAGGGGTAATTTAAAATTTTTTTTTGTAATTAATAAAAGTTTTTAATTATTTTTTTAAATTCCTCAAAATTCAATTCCTTTACGCTATGGCCATGTTATTCAGTGAGGTTACATTTCTCTGCGTCGTCGTTTTTCACATCTTGCCAGAACGGGTTTTTTGAAACATTCGCCTCATAACAATAACGTTAATCATTATTCCCAAACTCCACGAAGGAATACCACAGTACCATCAATGATTAGTCAATGAACATTCTTCATTACGAATGGATATCGCAAACGGAAAAAAATCGAAGTGGAAAACGAAGCATATGATTTGACAAAGATTTTATTATCACTGGAAAAAAACACTTAATGTTAATGTTTAAAATAATATTAATGACGATGCTGAAATTGGATGCTTCAGGAAATATCTATGGTGCCTTTCGGGCTTGGTGTTTCTCATAGTTATATCCACTATCACAATGGATCATTCACATTGAAATTAGCTATTTTTTTTGAAATATTCAAGGTAATCATGATATTATGGAATTAATTAAATAAAATTGAAGGACTTTATAAAATTTTATTAATCTGTTATAGCCATTTAATTGATCATGCAACACCGTTATATATCGATCATTTTTTTTAACAAACATATATATATATGCCGATATGCCATGAGCCCATAAAGGGGTGGCATGTCGTATTTGTGTATACGAATACATTTATTTTTTTTACGCGAAATGCCAATCAACCGATTTAAATAAGGTTGATTGGATATGAAAATAACATGTAAAATATATTTTAATATAATGATTATTATTTTTTGAATATGAAAATTAAAAAAAACAATAAAGAAACTATTCGTGTATTTTTAGCTCTTTAGTGTGTCAGATATATTTTCTTTTGTTTTCTGATTTTAATAATTTAGTATAATTTTTTGACAGTTCGTTTTTAGAAAGTTTTGGTTTAGTTTCGGGGATTTGTTTGAGTTGTTAGTTTTTTTTTAGAACCGAAATTTTAATTTTTGCGAACCGAACTTGAACCGTTATTTTTATGAACCTGAACCGAAATTCGTTTCAGTTTGGATCCCTGAATATAAGGATGAATAAACAAAATTAGTGTTCTAAAAATAAATCTCAAGCTCAAAATATTTTCAATATTATGCATTAAATAATATTCAGCAATAACTTTGATAATTTTATGATGTTTATCAATTTTATTCTATTAAATGCAAAATATTATAGAAAAAAATAGAATAGACTTTGAATTTGTAATATGTTGCCCAAAATATTTTTGCCCAAGCTGTTAAAACCCTAATCACAGCACTATATATATGTCGTAGGGTATAACGAATTAAGACTCTATGCTTCATTGATTCGGGTTTTTTAAGATAAATTTTAAAATTTAACAACGCGTCTTTACATTTCACCTGATTTTGTGGAATTTATTCAAACATGTATAAAATACCTATCTTGTGTCAGACATTTAGCCATAAATATTTGAGTATATTTTAATTTATATGAAAAAAATATATATAAATTAATAAAAGTAAGTTAAAAAGTTGATGGCAACATTCCAAATTTACAGGGTGAATATTTTATACATGCTGGAATATGATTTCGGTAAAATTAGATCTTTCAAAATTAAAAAAAACGTAGATGATAAATGATTTAAACTTTAAAAAATTTATTAAAAAGTCAGATTTGTTAACGTACGAGTAAATGTAAACTAACCCTAGCATTTATCTGTGTTTTAACAAAGTTAATCAAGTAGATATTTAGGGTTGAGTTATTTTCAGACACATTTAGGGTTGAGTTTGGCTATTTACAGACCAAATGATTATATTGTTAATCAAATTTTTTTATATACCTACTAATCCTTTTTTTGCAAATTTTACATGTATTTTGGTCTGAAAGCGTGATTTTTTGTGAAAGCAGAGTAAATTTTTCTTCTTGAACCTGTTGTTGTATGGTAATGTATTATATTTAGTATGTCATTATAAAAGATGCACAGATACTTTTAATTTTTACCGATATCACTGGTCAATAACAAATCCAAATTATATTAAATTAATTTTTATAATTTATCTTATTAATCCTTTTGTTTTCATATTATTTTATTTATGAATGGAGTGGGGGATAGCTTGCACCTATTTTTTTTGAGTGGGATAGGAGTAAGCTTTTAAGGGGGGTAAGCTGGGGGTAGAATAAATTTATTAGGGGAGGGGGGTTATCTATTAAAATTTTTAATGAAATAGGGCAAAATGTATTGCTGCAAAAAATTAATACTTTTATAGACCTATTATAATACAATGATATTGCTAGACATCGAATAAATCTATATATTGCATACAACATAGAAATTATTTTCCAGATAGAACTTTTTGATATTCTTTTAAATGTAATTTAAATTTAAAAGGATTAGATATTCTCATCAAACTCATATTCATGCCTAACAATATAATATAATAATGCATTCATTGTAAAGGAGGGGGTTTCATGTTCTAAAAAAAATATAAATCCCGGGTCGATTAATATTTTTAAAAAATTATGTAATGGAAGTATTCATTTACTGCCCATATTTTCAAATTCCATTTAAAACAATTATACAAATACCGCCAAAATTATATTAAATAATCCAAATTTTAAAATCCGGGCTGAGCCATTAAAAAAAATCTGGGCAGCGCTTGAAAATGGGATGGATTTAAATCTAGGTAGAGCCTAAAAGTTTTGACCTCTGAAGGTTGCTAGTATATCATCGACAAACCATTTATAGAGGGTAATTTGAACATGAATTGAAAAATATGATAGTTCTTAGCAAACAGGGCGGGTTAAAATAAATCAAACATTACAGGCTAGGCATATTCAAAAAAAATTCGAAAATTCGATTCGATTTTTTTTTCTTTTTAGCTTTCACCTTTTCTGGTGGTAAGCTCCTTCACTTATCTATTATATTATTAATCATGCTATCTATTTTTATCTTTGTATTTCTGATCGATTTCATTTGTATCGATCACCGGTGTATCACGAGGCCAAAGAAAACGAATTATTCGGAATATTTAATAAATGGCTTTTAATAAATCTAATCATTTCTATTTGATGACCTTCCAATCTGACAGGTAATGTGTTTATAAAAAGACTAGCACAAATTTAAAAAATCTCTGATGTGAATATTAAAAAGCAATATTTAAATTTTTATTTGCCGTATTTTTTGAATCTCATAAATTATATTAAAATACAAACCAGGGTCAATAAATTATTGTTAGTAGCCTAATTATGTTATAGAGGAGAATTTCACAGATAAAATAGTTATGCCTGATGTTGAAGTTGACAAAATTTTCTCAAAAAAAGAACGATTATATGGAATCAATATCAAATTAATAAAGGCGTTGAAAAGGTTGCTTGCAATCATTACAAGAGCATTATAAAAAGTTAAGACAAAGCAACATCCTCTCTTATTAATCATAATAGGTTTCATTCAAACCTAAGGATTACCTATCTATACAAGGTACAACAACTGCTTGTGAAAGGCTTTTCTTAGTTGGAACTATTTGTTGTCAAAATGTCATATAAAAAAGAAAATATAGGAAAAACTCTTTGCTTTATAAATTGGCTTAGAATTATGAATTAAATTTTAATTTTGTTTATAACTTGATTACATTTTTTTAATCATCAGATTATTGATTACATTTTTCTTATTATCAGATTATTATAATAATTTTTTATATTTGATATCAAATTTGCAATAAAAAAATTTGTCAATATATTTGGATATGATATATTTTATTGAGAAAATTCATTTTAATTATTCGTAGAATATGAATAGTAGATTTTATCATTATTCATATTCGATTTGTTTAAACGAATCGAATATGAATAATGCACTATTCGATTCGAATTCGTTTATGAATAGACCATTTTTAAAACAACAGACGGGAGGGAGAATTTTAAATGCTGACGGAATTATCAAGACGAGATTATATCTATTAAAAAATAATTTTTTATTTCATAATATTGCATATTGTAAATTAAAATTAAAGATATAAAATAGAATCAATAATAGCCAAACATACTCATAAATAATTTTTTCAAATAAGAGATATACCAATACAATCTACATTTATATTAATCTTTCCGGTATCTTAATAGCATCGGGGCATCGCTAAAAAAATGGTCATCCGTGCATCTTTGTTTGTAAAAGTCTAAAAAATTTTTTGCCAAATTGGAGATAAACCCCGGCCTAGAAAATCGAAAATAAATCTCAGGAAAATTGTATAAATAACATAGGTACATTGTTCAAAAACAAGTGAATAAAATATTAAAACAAGGCTTCTCGCACCACCTTTTTTTTACAAAACATAAAGTTCATATCCAAATTTTTTACGTGTAAATATATTTCGTTTATAATTTATGCAAAATATTTAGCTAAATGTCACTATTATAGCATAAAAATGTTAATACACAACTGTTAGTGCTGCGGATTACAATTTCAGAATGCTCGAAGCCTAAAATTTGACTTTACTCTTTTTGAACAATGAGCAACTGTTATTTATATATATATATAAAAGGATATTTTGAAGATATTGTTTACTTTAATATCCTGAGAATATAATAGCCCTTTCAGTATCTGGTCGTGATTTATTTTTTGATAAGATGCGGTGAGTGATTCGATAATATAATCATATAATTGGCCTATTTCAATGTTAGATGGAAATTTTTCCAGTACCTTTTAATGAGAAAGATAGTATATATTTTAAATTTATAACCCAACTTTCAATATTGGTATTTTGTCGTAATGCTCTAGCAAAATTTTAAGAGCTGATGTAAAATCTGATTCTGGTTTTAATCGCACATTCTCGTTAAACTTTTCCAACGTTTCTTCGTCCAAATTGTTATGAGAATAATTGAAATCTGGTGTGTCATTGGGCAAATTTTTTAATTCTATCAGATCCGGAGGGTCTATAAGGGTGCTGAACAGCTGAAAATATATCTAAAGATTGATTAATAAAAAAAAATTTTGAAAATAAAATAACGTCGTTATTTAAAGCATATCACCTAATCCTTAAAAAATTTATATGATTCACAATTTTAAAACATATCTATCGAAGAAAAATTTTGTTAAAATCTAATCTATATAATCGCCGCAATCAAGAAATGTGAACGTTTTCGTATAACCTTAATGTTAATTTTTATTTTTGGTATCAACTTTCCTATCATCATAATGTTAATTTTTGGTATCAACTTTCCTATCATCTGAACTTTAAATAAATCGAAGGAGACTATATACCTATAATGTTAAATTATTTTATTTTAAAAAAAAATTTAAAAATTCTTTTTTATACATCAACGAGATTCGAACCACTGACTTAACGTTCGATAGACAAACGTTCTTTCCAGTCACCCCCCTTCTACATTAAATTTTGTATAATTTTTCTTATATATGAAACTATAATATGATAAAGTAATTTAAATATATCAATATTTATCTTTTTTATTGGAAGCTCCAAGCTTAGGAAAACAATTTCAAAATTATAATCGCTTGGTCAGGTTTGAGAAAATTTTTTAAATTATAATGCGTATAGCTGGGCTTGGAAAATATTTTTATAAATATATTGGGCCACGCTTGGGGAAATTTTTTCAAATTATTATCAGCTTGGACGCTTGGAATCTTTTTTATTATTAACTATGGATCAGGCATTGACTAAAAACAAATAAACCAAGGCCTATAGATTTTGATTGTATTTTTAAATTCATTATGATTTTTTTAAATATTTTATTCCAGTTATCAATTACCAAAATTATTATGATCTGTCTTTGGTTGGGGTTGGGGAAATTTTTTCAAAATTATTATGGCCTTGGACCTTTGGGAATTTTTTCAATATTAAATATTAGGTATAGATGATCAGTAATATTTTAACAAATTTGATATGGGTATCAAGTAAAAGCTTTAAATGTATTTTGACTCAAAACATAGCATTTAAACTTAGTTTTAATGGATTGGACCTGACCTGAAGGTGGGAGGAGGTTATAAAGAATAAAAATTGGATATTATTTTCAAATAACAGGTAACAACTATCATAAAAGTAAGGAGAAAATTCTCATTCCCCGTCATTTTTGACGGACTCAGCAATGCTGACTAACGGGTGCTCTGGTACTCTTAGTTATATATTTTTCATCTTGCCCTTCAAGAAAGAGTCATCATACTTTTCTCTCTGATTAGATGATAATTGAATCAGAAATTAAGAATATATTATGAGGTGTGATTCACAAATTTACCTATTTTTCGCCTAAATATTAATATTTTTATAAAATATATTAATAAAGTATATTAGTACCATATACATAAACTAATTACCCCTCAACCCCATCATTCTTGACGGGTTATTAAATAAATAAATAGTTTAAAATAATCATATATATTTCATTTTAAATGTTGGAATTAGTTTATTTCCCTGTCAATTTGTATAATGTTTTAATGATATAATTCCATATCATGTCATTTTAAAGATGGGATCATATCATTTTAACTAAAATAATCAATAAACTTATCAGACTTTTTTCCTCTTTTAAAAATAAAGCAATATGAAACTTGATTTTATTGAGGTTTCGATAAAAATTATATCAACGATAAATACAGATTGGAATATCGTTGATGATCATCCATTTATAAACTAATGAAAAAAAATTATTTTCGTTTTTAAAAAAAACGTTGGAGAAACATTAAGCCAAACATTTATTATTTAAATGACTCCTTGTTAATCAATTTATACTTTTAGTTTTTGATAAAGTTGAATATTAAGATTACAGGTTTTGAGAGAAGTTGATTTATTTTATGAAAATCCCCTTAGACTATTTAGAAGGTTGAGGTTTCTTAGACATTTTTCCATTAATTATTTTTATGTTTCGAAACAAAGGATAATAATTTATTGAATTAATTTTTTTGTATAATAGGGGAGACCAGGGCTAGTCGGCACAATTTTTGTCAAAATCATCATAGCTCCGATAATAATTATCATATAAGATCTTACAAAATACCAATAGATACCTTAAACATCTACCTATAAATATATACTGTTATATTTTTAAATATTTAATAATTATTTCTCTAAAAAGGTTTTAGCAAAAGTCATTAATCCTTTGAACCGACAAGCCTCTTGCGCCGACTAGCCCTGGTCTCCCCTATAATATTTAAAAAATGAGGCTTATAATTCACTCCAAGCACCATTTTATCGTTAATAAAGAAACCGCTTTATGTTCTGTCTGGAAATGACCTTATAAATAAATGAATTTGCGAAAAAATGATGCCGTTATTTAATAAATTTCTAAAATCCGATAATATGTATAATCATAATATATATAGCTTGAGAAAATGCACAAGATAATAAGTAACAATGAAATCATAGCTAAAATATCCCAAATCATTTCAAGGAGTCCAAAAAACTATAGCTACTGTAACTCTGGTTTCGGAAAAACTTTTTGTAATTGTAATAATTTAGATTTTAAAGGTTTTTTTTTTCTATTTTTAGCATTTTTATTTTTTAATTTAAAAAAAATACAATTAAAATATTTTTTACCAATAGTATGTTAAATGATTTGCCTTATTATAATTTAATTTATATTAAAAACTTAATTTTACTCATCCCTTTAAGAAAAAATGAATCGGTGAGAAATTTATTTGTAAACTTAAGATTTTTTTAAAAAAACAATATTTGTGATAAAAAATCATTTCACCTTATGTTAAATAATTATTTTATATAATTTGCGCAGGCTATCTTCATTATATTATTATAAGATACAATCAATTCTGTGAAATCACCCTTAATTTATAATGTTATTTAATTTTAGCTTACATTTGAAGCATTATTCCTGTAATAATATTTGTGACAATGTTTTAAGGCCAAAGGAATATCATTTAATACGTGACAATATATCGCAAGCGCTGACTCGTGTTTTGACATTTTACCAAATAAAATAGCTCGTTCCAAATTAAAGTCTTAATTAATTGGGTGAGAATAAAATTATGAGTAGTAAAAGTTATATTAATTTTATATTATGAATATAGATTTTGTAAAATTCTATAAAACACAATTAAACCTCGAATTGGAAAATTGATGATAAGTGTATCGGGCATATAGTATTCAGACTCCTCTAATATAAACCTTAGTTTGCGTCTAAAATGTTTGATCTTGCCCAAACTTTTCCCCATTCTAACTTGTTTTTCGTAGAATTCCAAAGAGTTGGTAGATTCATCATCATCGAGCATTATTTTAATGCTTTCAATATCTGTATCATGCATATCTTTCACCGGTATCAAAACTTGTTGGGCATCTTGAGCTATTATATTTTCGCCATTTTGCTTTAAATTATTATCTTGATTTAGCGTATTTTTAATCTTGTTATCGTAATTCGTGCTATATCCATTTAATAAGATATTCCATTGAGATATATTGTATAAAGCATTTTCATTAGCCAAGTATTCTGTTCGAAAGTATTCTATTTCATATTGCACCTTTTCTCTATATTGATTAATGAGCGCGTTGTGAAACAAGGTATTTTGATCTTCCCATTCATCAATTATGTATTCCTTATTTATTTTAGTAAGTATAAGTAATTTTATGATCTTCTTTTAAATATAGGCAAGGTTGGACAAATTTAAAAAAAATAAAGATATAAATAAATTTTAAAACAATTCTTTCCATGCCTAGTGTCAGTAGTGTGCAAAATATAATGTTAAAAATGAACCTAAACCAGGGTCAGGTGCGAACAAAATGAGGGGGCAGGTAGGACAAATCCCCCCCCCCCCCCAAAATCACAAAAATTTAGATGACGGCTAGAATATTTTCAAAAATATGACTGTTTTATGATTATTATTTTTATTTTATAATTATCTTTCCTTCCTCTTGATGAGTGACTTTGGATTGGGAGATTAGGAACTTAAATATAAAATAGAAATAAAATTAAATACTAAAATTATAGTTTTGGATCCTTTATTAAATATACTAAAAATTAATTATAAATTAATATAAAGGGAAAACATAACCAAAAAAAAGTAAAAATTAAAATACTAAAAATTAATGTTTTAAAAAATTAAATTCTAAGTTAAAAAAAGAAAACAAGTCCTTTTCGCATAATAATTTCTCCATTATATATCCTTTTTCTTTAATCTACATTTACATAGTCTCAATTTGCCTAAAGATTTCTTTATTTTTTCTAGATTTGTTTAAAAGTATATTTGAATATTACCACAATTACAACACCTCTTATAGCATATATATTCCAATTTACATTTATTTATCATATTTAGAGCAGAAATAAATGTACTACTAATTTATTCTATGAATTAATGTCGATTTCAAATTTTGGCGTTACATTTAGCCACCATTTTAAAATTTGCCACTTTTTAACCGTAAACTAAGGTATAAAATATTTGATAAAAATTAACATCGATTTGATTGAGGTATGAGAATGAACCATATATTGGAAGTGGAATTTAAGGAAATTATGGCAAATGTAGATGACGAATTTAATAAATTTTGACATAAATATGAATTTAATATTTGTGAAATACTGTAAAATAAATCTTTTTACCCCTCTCTCAGGATACTTTTACAACTCAAATGAAAGAAAGGTTCTTAATAAATCGCAGCACTCTGAAAATATTATTACCGCAGAATCCTCCAGAATTTATTTCAAATCTGATAAAATTAAATATTTGGCAGATTTTTATTATGAAGACGTTAAAGTATCCCATGACATTACTCGCTGAATGCAAACTATGGTATAAAAGGTTAATATTTGATAATGTTTCAAAAAATTATAAAGTAACTTTTTTCCTTGAGCGTAAAGACCTTGTATTTGGTGTGAGGATGCATTTTTATATCTATTTTCTTACCCATATTTTGAAAACTTTCCTGGTTTGAATATTTTACCAACAAACGTTTTTTACCCAGAGATTATAAAAATATATTGCAGTAAAGTTATTAATCGTAAAACGGTTAAAATGTTAAGCTGTAAAAAAATAATTTTTAAATATTAATGTCTACATATAAAAAGATATTTTTGAGCAAAAAGGAACATTAATAAATAGTTTGTTATTTGGAATAAAATTTTAAGAATAGTCGCAAAGAGGAGCAATAATTGAAATTTATAGGCACACTCAAAATCCCAATTTTGGCATAACCTTTTACATTCGGTATTGTATTGATTAGTTAATAATTAAAGGTGACGAATAGATGCCAAAATAGGAAATATTTTTACAGCACTATGTTTTAATCATCAAAATTAAAAATTTTATAGTTTTAAAAACATAAAATTTGGGAAGGTTAAAAATATATAAATACAGTACTCATAATTATTACTGTATAGATTGGCTTCTAGGATAATTCTAACTTATTAAGATAACCTTTTTAAATTTATATCTTATATACAAGATGTTTTAGAATTTTCATATCCGCGATACTGCCCAACCCTGAGTAAGGGTTACATTAATAAGTAATATTTTTAAATTTTAATTAGAATAGAAAAAATAGTTAAATTGTTTTCCAACACAACATTACTAAATATGGTATTATAAGGTCCGGAGAGTGTTTGATAAGAAAATATAGTATCTTTTCACGATCCAAACTTTCAACTTCAGGAATGTCTTCTGTAAAAATCTTCAAATAAATTATTCGATATTAAACTTTTATATATAATGTTTTAAAACATTTATGAATTGTGTAATTTAAAGGTTTTTAAACTATACCTTTAAAGCATCCTCTGGTCTTTCTTTAATGATATTAATTGAGTATTCCAATATCATATCGATATGATTAGGACCTAAGAAGGAATAAGTATTAAAGTTTCATGGCGTTTAGTAACATAATTTATAAAGATTTAATTGTGATTTTGATCACTTATTTATATATATCTAAAAAGGCTTATCATTTTATCTTAATTTTATTTGTCTCGTCTAAAGTTGAGGCTCGACTTAAATGTTTGTAATTTTTTAAGCAAAAAACTTGCCTAAGCCGTATAGGAGTTGGTCAAATTAATATAATTAGTAATATTTAAACAAAAATCCTTTTTACAAATATGCAATTATGAATATGAAAATAATATTATTTAACATAGAAATCAATGAGCAAACCTAAACGCTGTAAATATGTCACTAGTCTTTCTATGTTATGGGCCCTAGCAGTATCTTCATCCTTATCATTTTCCCTATCAATAACCAAATTGTGGTCGATGACCGATACCAATGTGTTGAGGGCTTTTCTGTGCAAGCCTGTTCTTTGATAAAGTATAACTAGTTCTTCATTTTTGCCGCGTTTTTTAAGGATTCTTTCGCAAACTTTAGTATCACAGAAATTTTTGGGCAAACGTAACAAGGGTCCTATAAGCGCGTCGTTCGTTTTTGAATAACATTTTAGCAAGCATGTGTCTATGATTTTGAGATATTCAGAATTCGACGCTTTATCGATAAATGTTCCATCTTGAAGATGATAAAAAATATTTTATAGTGGATCGATTTTGCCGGTGTTGTAAACGTTATCATTTTTTAGAAAAAGTAAAGACTGGCAGTGGCGTAGACAGGATTTATTCAGGGAGGGGGGTAGGATGATGATTTTCTCAAACCCCCATTTCTTGTTACGCATATAGAAAATAAAATACTGATTAAATATTTTTTCCCATTGTTATATTTATTGTTTTTTTTTAAATATGTAATATCTTTAATCTCTTTTAGTTGCCTGAACAAAAGCCCAAATCGAAAATATACACCAATGTTTCGGGCTTTATTAGTACCTATATCAGTGATTTAACCAGTATAGTAGTTAATGTAAAGGAAAAATTATTAAAAACAAAATTTTTAAAAGCATTTATTCTGAAAATTTTAACAATGTTTAGTGCTTAATTGAATATTATTTTAATCCGTTTGGTGAATAAATAGTATAAGAAAAAGTTATTAGAAAAATAATAAAAAATGTCAAAACTGGTTTCAAGCAGAATGAAAAATACAAAATATAGAAAAACTAAATATCTGGTTAGCGCTAATAAGTGCCTAAATAATGCTTATTAATTTCTCTACTGTTTTACAAACCACAAACGGGTTATAAAAAATGATAACAATGTCTTTGTCTTCGCTAAAAATCTGCATATTTGCGATTTTAATTTGGTAAATTTTTGTAAACAATATAATCAGACGTGAGTGTCAGAAAATATTCGTGCTTATTACGTGCATCAATAACAAGCATTTTACTAGCGAAGACAAAGGCTACGATGCCACTACGGGTGAAGTGAGTTAATAATTAATCCTAAACTTATACCAACCAATAATAAGTAGTGCTTAGTTAGTGCATTTTAATACTATAATCTGTTTTGAAGGTAGTAAAGAAAAATTTATTGGTAAATAGGTATAAAGTCATTGATACAGAACGAAGAATATAGAAAAACCGTTTGGTTTATATTTTGATAAATTTTTCTCGTTCACCAAAAAGTAATCGATTTATAAATTAAATAAAAAGTATGGTATGGTGACTTAAGCGTGAAGTCAGCTATGGAAGCGTTACTTCTGAAACTTATATTAATAATTAGTGAGTTTTTAATACCTTCTAGTGTTTCAACCTATTCGGGAGAGTCTAGAGAAAAAACAATATTGGCAAAATCCCAAGATTGACATCAGGCAGAACGAAAATTATAGAAGCACTAAATATCTCCAGTATGTAATGCCTCGTACTAATAATCAATCAAATTCCACTCAATAAACAGAAACTTATAGGCGAAATAAGAACTATAATGGACGCCATAGGCTGAATCTTATATATCAGATTTTAAATTGTGGTTTGTAAAATAAATCTAATGAATTATATAATTTTTTTATAAATATTTTATTTTTTGTTTATTTAATAGGATATAGAAGCAAAATAGTTAAAATCTCATTATATTCTCAAAAATTTGATATAAATCTTATTCTCACTAATTCTAAAGTTAAAGCTATATGTAGACCTGTGCGCCGATGAAACTATTGGCAGCAGGCGAGAGTTTTAAAAACGCCGGCGGCTAAAAACGGCGTGCCTACATTTTTATAATATAAATATTTAAAATTGGTAATAATTTTTTTAAGAAAAGCTAAATTAAATTAAAAAATAAAATGTACACTAAAAAATATCGGTGTATTTTTACAACTTTATTGAAAAGAAAACTCAATTATAAATTCAAACTAAACTTTGCGATATTATTCTTATCATGTATAAAAATCATATTATTTAAATTTGCCGGGCACAAGAATAACCTCCTTGAATTCAACGTCAACCCAACGGTAGAGAAAACATTTTCAATTGGTGTGCTCTGAAACAAAAAGAATTTTGGTTTCGGCTAGCTTAGAAAGATTCGGAAGTGATCCACTTTTCTCTCCAAAAATTTAGAACAATCATATCCTGTGTGGCGTTTTTGAGAAGAATGGCTTTCTTGTTCTAAGTCACTTATAGTGGAATCATATTTAGTGGTTGTTGTAGAATGTTCATTTGCTAACCTTTTCAAATATGACAATGATACATCGGATATTAATGTGTTAGGCCGTTAAAGAACTAACATTGCTTTGCATAGTGGTTTAACCTGATAATGAACTACAGCTGCACTAAAATTTATTTTTAATCAATAAATAATGGAAATTTAGCTATGATTTCTACTAATGCGCTAACCGTGGTATGCGCCTGAAATTTTTTTATAAGTTAAAACCAATATTAGAGTTATTTCAAGTCAAGTAAGACAGATGAAAGATTATCCGAGCTTTCAATCCTAAATGGCATATAGTCAAATAGACATATAGCATCTTTGTAAAATGTGATATCAAAATAAGATGATTTCGTTAAGGTGAAATTGAAAAAGATTACAATAGATGATTTTCTACCCTCCACCGCTAAGTTTGAGGCTTTTAAATTCTTATAAGAAGATCAAATGTCGATTTCATAGGAATTATAAACATTTTTGGGAAGCCTCCTGATTTTTTAATTTTATAATCTTTTTAATGTGAAAATTTTGTTAAAAAATAAAATTTATTATTATTTATTCATAGAATTTTCCTGCACTTTTTAAATAGGGGAATAAATTTCTGATATGATTTTATAAAAATAGAAAATTAAGGAGCGTGTTTTATTAAAAAAGAAATTTAATTTTCGTCTAGATATATATATATATAATATGAAAACATTAATCTAATATTTTCCATGGGAGCTTTCATCCCCAAAATCCCTCTTGTCTAAGCCACTGAAATGATTTAACTTTCCATCGACATTACAGAAATATATTTTATTATTGCGAATAAATGTAATAATCATTAAGAAAAATATTGTTTAAAATATGTATCATATTACTATTTTCATTTAGCAAGGCAAAAAAATAAACTCTCATCTCGGTTAAGTACTCGATCAAAGCCAAGAGAGCGTTGTTCCAATCTATTTCTTGAGTCTTCATCGTGAAATTATTATTTTCTTGATTATTATCATAAGGGGAAGTCGGGGAGTCGCATTCTGTTTCTTGGAAATTATCGGAACTCGTTTTGTCAAGTTTACTAATTATATCGTCAAAATCGGAAGGCAACATGTTGGGATATAGATTCAAGACTTTAGTTGGATCTAAGAATTCATTTTAAAAATGTGAAATTTTATAATATCAAGAAATTAACCAAACCTATTTTAAGACGGCCGAATAGATACATTGAATCTTTATATCTTTTTTGGTTAAAAAGGGTTTTAGCGTGCATGTATTGTATATTCTTAATAGCCCTTTCCCTTTCCAAGTCGTCTAAACATGAGATATCCTAATAAACATTAACTCCATTTTTAATGCATCGTTGAGATAAAATTGCAAATTATTTAGAATATATATTGAAATTTACAGTTAATCGTAACGCCAACTCAAATTGTTTGATCTGAATCAACTCGTTCATTTGGTTGTTAAAATTCCTCGGTTTCAATAAATGTAAAGTTGTAGCGGACCAAACATATATGCCTCTTATTTTTTTAAGACAAAATAATTCATTATGTTAATTTATTGTTATATAATATAATCATGAGCAGGCTTAACATCCGAGAATGAAATGCCTGTGAACTCAGGTCCTAACCAGTGACATCGTTAAGTTGCTGCAAGCCCCCGAAGAAATAATTTCAAGGGTTTTCTTGAGTGCTAAAATTTGAGTATTTTGACTTAATGCTCTAAATATTATAATTAATTAATAGGGGTCATTTCCCATGATAAATCAATCATGATTCTTCCAGCCCTTTAAAATTTGGGTAAAATTTTGTTTACAAACTAAGGTACACATAACTAAAAGAGGGTTCAAATTTTAGCATCCTAGCTCTCACATTTCTGGGAATATCAAGGGTCAAATTGTTTATTTTTACCCTTATCGATTGTAATTCAATTAAATCTACAGAATTCAAAAATAAACTGATTCTAGTATCAAAATAAAAAATATGCATAGATTTCTTAATGTTGCGGTCCATTTATCCATATTCTAATTTAAATCGTTAAAAATAATTCATTTTTCCGATTTTTATAAAACATTTAGACCAATCTGTATGCCTTTGTTTCCTTATAAATCGATAATAATACTAAAAAAACAAGCGTTTTTTGGATATCATATAACTTTTCTTGCCATTTGTAATTAATTAATCGTTTCAGTATTATTTAACAACACATTTATGCAAAATTTTAAAAAGAAATCTGAGGTTGGATGTTCTTAAAAATAATAATAATTAAAATAATATTTAAAAAAATGCAAAATCCTTACTAGAATAATAAGAATATCATATAAAAACATTTCAAATAATATTTGAACAATTAAATATAAAATATTCCATATTCCTTTTTTTAGTGTCGATAATTACAATGAAGGTAAAAATCTGGCATTCTAATTTTTTTACATCCTGATATAGATTAATCTTAGTTACACTTGTTTAAAATTTTATAAAAGTAGAAGCTCAACATTTTTTACAAGGATTTTAAACTTTAGAATGAGTTTAAATACCATCACAATAAAAAAATATATGTATATTAGAGATCATCTGCAACCCGCCTTTCCATCTGGGCAAAAGGTTTAATTTTGTTAAAGAAAGGGCGAGCGGGTGGGCGGGTTATGAAAAATTAAAAATGGGCGGACGGGCGGGGCTAAAAATTTACAACTTTTATTTGTTTAAAATCATTTAAGTAAACATTTTTAAAAAATATGCTCCCCCTGAAATTTCAACATTTTCATACCTAAGTACCGATAACTGAGGATGTTGTCGGAAGAAATTCATTAGATAAATGTGGATGAAAATCTGATTTTACTAGATTCCCCAAAACAAAGAGAATTCAATTAAAGATTATTAAATAATAAATGCAACGTTTCAATAGAGAGTATCTACGTCAAAATTAAACAACGGATGGGAAGATGTGGCGGTTACAGCGGAGAGCATTACCTAATGTCATAACAAAATATTTAAATCTTAAACGAGTTTTTAATTTTCTAGACATAATTTCTAAAGATGTAATATGATATGATAGAAAAATAGGGAGATATTTATCATATTAGATATATTGGTATGGAAAATATAGTGCTGTAAACTTTTTGAAAAAAGAAGCGCGATAGCCGGTTACATTTGAAAAAAGGACTGCCGTTATTTGTGAAAACATATCATTGGCTATTCAAAAAAAGAAACGCGTAAAAAATTTTAAATATATATATAAATTTTATTTTTTTTCGACATAGATAATAAAAATATACAATCATAATATATTATAAGATAAGTTCTTTGTAATAATTTATTTATTTTTAACATTTGATTTTCAAAATTTTGATCTGATATTCCTTTTTATCCCGCATAAAATTTAACTTGAAATATTCCACATAACTATGTCTCCTTTTGGGGGACGCAAATAGTCGATATTTGTAGTTAATTAAAATATTTTTTTCTTTTAAACAGGGATCCAAACTGAAAAGAATATCTGTTCGGGTTCAGATTCGGATAAAAATAACAGTTCAAGGTTCAGGTTCAGTTCGCAAAAAATAAAAATATCGGTTCAGTTCGAGCGCTTTTGTATTCAAACCTACATTCGAATAATGTATAGGGAAAATTTTTTATTTATTTCATAATTAAAATAAAAAACACATACATAAAACCTTCATTTTTATTAATTGCGCAATATAAAATAATATTTAATTTATAAATATAACAAATAAATATCAACGATTAATTTTAATATAAACAATTACTTAAAATTTTTTTATAAACCGCACAATTAATATATTTTCAAAATTCGTCTCACTCAAATTACATCTACAATGAGATAATATAAATTTAATTGTAAAAACATCTTTCCACACCAACTTGGGTAGCCGGCTCTACCAGTATGATATCAGATTTGATGTGTCATTTATAATACTATATTTAAATAATTTATATATTGGAATTAATTTTTCTCTAGGCATTATAATTTATAAGCTTCAAATATTTAAAAAATGTTGTAAAATGACAATATACTAAAGTTTATAAAAATTATGACTGACACTTATCAATCAAATGTGATTGACAATAATCTTTAAAATAATTCGAATATAATTTAAATTTTTGCAATATACTAATAATAACTTACACATTATTTTATAAGCATATAATTATGAGATTCGAACCGGTTCAGAGGCATTTTAGAGGTTCGGTTCATGTTCGGCTAAATTATGGATGAATGTAGTGTTAAACAGCTTCATTTAACAAAAAATAGTGTAAAATTTTAAACTATTTTTTTTAAACATTACAACAAATAAATTTTTTATTAGTTCCTTTCATTAATTTATTATTATGAAATTATTTATAAAATAAATAATATAACCAAAAACAATAAAAAATATCGGATCGGATATGTTTTTAAAAAGATCGACCCAATCTGATATTTTTGAAAACGCTAATCGCTGCCGATAGGATCCGATATTAAATATAGGCACAGCCCTAGTAATAAATAAAATAAAAATGAAGAACTTTGGTAGTTTATCTGAATTATAAACTCAGCCTAAATGATTTATAAAATTTAAAATAATTTTTTTCTAGGGATCCAAACCCAACCTAAACCGAACCATTAAACCGCCAAAACCTTTTATCGAACCTAAACCACTAAAAAAATTTCTAGTCGAATCTGAACCGAACCGCTAAAATGCCTCTAAACCGGTTAGAACCTCATGATTTGATGCTAAAATAATGTGTAAGATTGTAAAATTTTAGTATTTTAAGTAGACTGAATATGTCCATAGAACATAATGTTTCGGCCAACAAATGTAGTGGTTGAGAGAATTTAGAGAATAAAATAAATAGTGTAAATAAATTAACTACTAATACTTTATTAATTAATATAAATACTAATTATATAATCATAATTAAAATAAGAAATTAAAATAATATAAAAAAATTAAAATTAAAAGATTAAAAATTAGTTCGTAAAATCATAATCCTTCTTTTTTTAAGTAAAATATTTCCGAATATATATACTTTCTTTTCCTATTCATTTACATCGTCTTTATTCAAAAAATCTAATAATTCGTTACGTTTTTCTGTTTAACAATCGATTTGAATATTACTTGATTTGAATATTACTTCGATTTGAATATTACTTCTTTTTACTCTATTTTATTTCAAAGTAATTTATATTACAACACCCTTACACTTAAATTAGGCCCCACATCCCATATTCGAGCATGTATCCAATTACTGTTTTATTTTTTGCTCACTTACATCACCGATAGATTCTGTTTTTTGTCTTAGTCTGTTATTGATGAGCTTTTAGCACTGACAACTTGATTAACTAAACGATACACGATTGCTAGTCAACGATTATCGATACTATGTCTTATTCTCCTGATAAATTAATTTGGTCTTTTGCTCGTTTCTAACGTTCTCTTGTAACTAATGATCATTATCTCGGTCAACGATGTGCGATGCTTGATCTACGATTAACGATTGTTTTCCCGAATTCTTGTTTTTAAGATCATCGATTTTGTATCCTATACTTAAGTTTTGATAAGCAATTGGCGATAATTTGTCAACGATTAACGATTGCATCCTGAAAAATCATTATTTTAATTATATTTTGATAAATGTGATCGAGTCAATAAATTTTTCACTTGTTCTACCTAGTCGCTTGTCACTATATCCGTCTTAAGATCTCTTATACGATAACTATTTCTTTTATCTTTTGATCTCAAATAAAAATTTGATCTCTAAGTGAGCTCGATTGCGGCATAAAATTTCTAATGACGAAAAGCTGTTTCTTTATGAAGATTTTTGGTTAATCCCAACCTACTATTATATAAAACGATTACTTGTACCTATAACGATCTCTTGTGACGAATTCTTTTTAGCTAAACGACTAATTCTATTCTTTTCCGAATTACGACCATTAATATTGATACCATTGTTTTATTGCTCTCATTCTTTGTCTTAGTATCGATAGTCATTTCATACATCTCCTTCCCCCTTTATTTAGAATTTCTTTTCAGAGTTAATTAGACTGAATTGTTGTAATTGCTCTGTCGCCTCCTCTCTCCAACACCATTGTAAAATTTTAGTATTTTAAGTAGACTGAATATGTCCATAGAACATAATGTTTCGGCCAACAAATGTAGTGGTTGAGAGAATTTAGAGAATAAAATAAATGGTATAAATAAATTAACTACTAATACTTTATTAATTAATATAAATACTAATTACATAATCATAATTAAAATAAGAAATTAAAATTAAAAATTAAGTTCGTAAAATCATAATCCTTCTTCTTTTTTTTAAGTAAAATATTCCCGATTATATATACTTTCTTTTCCAATTCATTTACATCGTCTTTATTCAAAAAATCTAATAATTCATTACGTTTTTCTGTTTAACAATCGATTTGAATATTACTTCTTTTTCCTCTATTTTATTTCAAAGTAATTTACATATTACAACAACTAGTATATTGCAAAAATTTATATTATATTCGAATTGTTTTTATTAATCTTATTTGATTGATAAGTATCTGTCATAATTTTTATAAACTTTAGCATATTGCCATTTTACAACATTTTTTAAATTTTTTAAGCTTAAATTATAATACCTAGAGAAAAATTAAAATGTAAATTATTAACATAAAGTATTATAAATGACACAGGCGCGTACGCAGGAATTTGGTCTGGGGGGGGGGGGGATAATAAAATTTTTTAAGAAATATTATTGTCTTTTAAAAATATCAAGCATAAATTTATTAGGACTAATAACTATTCCTAATACACAATTTTAAATTAATGTGAATTATAAAAAAATTATATGTAAAGAATCAATTAAATGACCAAATATAGAAATTTGATTTTTTTTAGACTTTACACAAAAAGTTTATTAGGAATAATTGTATTTTGTATGTTATATATTTACAATGTAAAATCCATCTTCGCTGGGATTGAGCTAATTTTTCAATTATCTCATCCTTGCTTATCGTCAAATGCCTATGAATATTCAAAAGATCCAAACTTTTCAATCTACTTTCAGATGTTGTACTTCTTGGTATGTTTTTCAGAGACCTGCAGGTAATTTTGTTAAATATACCCGGGCCGGGCCCGAAATTTTTTTAAAAAAACACCCAGGCCGGGCTGTATTTTTTAAAACAGCTATATTTGAAATCGTTATTATTAGCTATAAAAATCAAAAATAAATATAATTTATTTTAAAAAAATCCTGGCCGGGCCTGAAAATTTTATTTAAAAAAAAGCCGGGCCGGGCCTGAAAATTTTTTAAAAAAAGCGAAGCTGGGCCTAAAAAATTTTTTTAAAAAAACCCAGGCCAGGCGGTAAAAAATCTTAAAAAAAATCCGGGCCGTGCCCTGCAAATGGTACTTTTGCAGGCCTCTGTTATCCTTCTAAAAAAAGAGAATGTTCTCTCATTAGTTTACTAATGGGAAGAGTTTATAAACCCTTTTAATACATTGGGAATTTAATCTAAAATGTGTAATGCAGAGCATCCATAGCATTTTTTGGGACTATATCAACCATAGTTAATCTTATAAACATAGTTATTCAGCTAGTAAGGCATCATAAGATACTTTAACATCTTCATAATAAAAATCTAACAAATATTTTTTCTTCTATCACCATCTGAAAAAGGTTGAGAAGGCTTTTTTAGAAGTAATATTTGCAGATTAGTAAGTGCTGCATGATGAATTAAAAATTCATTTATTTGGGTTATAAATGTATCCGCATCTAAGATATACTCTTCTACTGATCCTATATTAATGTTTTAACGATGAGCTTGCCTTGCTACAAGTCGAGGGAGACAAATATTAAACACGTATAGCTCTGCTTTTGACTCAACAATAAAATATGAAATTCTTCATTAACATTAGCCCTAATTTCCTTGAGTTCTGATAAAATGCTCTCCGCTATTCTCATCTTCTTAATCAAGTCTGTCATGTTTTTGAAAAGTAATACTTAAAATATTTGTATAATTAAATAATACATTCTAATGAGAAATAAAATTTGGAATAAGCATTGAATCCAATAATTTTCTTGCTTCTGAGAAAATATTTCTTTCAGGCCATTGTGATATTTCAGTAATAGCAAATAATTGGCTCTTCTAACTCCTTAAAAGCTGTTACTGCTTGATGGCAGAGACTCTATCTCGTTGGACAAGGTTGCAATTTCTTTTTCCCTGTTGGACCAGAAGTTTCAGAAATAATTATATGACTAGAAATTTGAAAATGGTAGATAAATATTACGCCACTAAAAATTTGAAAATAATAAGTAAATATTACGCCGGAAAACTTAAAATCGAAATTAATTGATAAAATAACTTATGAATGTGATAATAAATGTAATTAAATATATATTTAATATGAGATACGAATAAATATTAACAAATATAAATTAATATAAACAATATTTTTGAAAAATATATTCGGCATCTGCATTTTTTGGCTTGGAAGGGGGGGGGGGGATTTGTCCCCCTGCCCCACCCCGCTGCGTATGCCAATGAAATGACACATCAAAATGTAATATTGCTGATTGTCAAATAAATATGAAAAGCCATCATGGAGCAAATCTTGAGCGCCATATAATAAGAAACCTCTAGAATTCGATAAAATTAACAAAATATCACAACAAAAATCTAATAAAATAAAAAAGTATAAACGTCATCAAGCCAACAGAAGATAGAAGATTAAAATAAAAACAATATCTAATCGATACTTGTACTGAGTTTGTCACTTTTAATTGCAGACCATTCAAATTCATCGATGATAGCTGTTTTAAAAAAAATTTTGATCCTATATAAGAAGGCATGGGTAATATTAAAATTAATTCTCTGTATATTCAATCTAATGTTGCAGAATTAGCCTTAAGTATTCGGCAAAATATAATCAAAGAAATAAATGGTAAGTTATTATCTCTAAAAATTGACTGTTACTCGTATAGAACAGGTCCATTATTGGGATCAATTTTCGGTTTATTCAAAAAGCAAAAATTGTTCTGAGAACATTAGCATTGAAAGAAATTTTGAACGGTCCATTGCAGAAAATTTAAAACTTATTTTAATAAAAGTATTAAATAATTATGAAATCAAAACATCACAAATATACATTATAACTGATAATGGGGCAAATCTAATTAAGATAGTAATTATTTATGGAGGAGATGTTGAAAACTAAATGTCTGAAAATGATGAAGAACAAACACAAAATATAGATAATTTAATGATATTTCTACTACTATCACAAATGTACCTAATGAATTAACAATCAATCTTAATGATTCTCAATATAATATTATAAATATAAGATGTGCTTTTCATCAGTGGCGTCGCTAGATGGGGGCGCGCAGGAGCTCGAGCCCCCTGAAGCAAAAAAACTTTTTTTAAATGGAATCTTAACCCCTTGAACTAAAAATAAATTTTTTTGATTGCCCCCTGAAAGATTTCTTTTATAATTCTATTAAGTAAAATATAGATTTAATTTTATTATTTAAAAATTAATAAAACTATCTAAATATTTATTATATGAATACTATTTAAATATTAGATAAAATTAAAACATATAAATTATATTTTCACTATGTCATCTAGCAATCAAATTTTGTGTTAAAAATAGAATATCAATATCACTCACTAAATATTAATTTAGCAATAACAGTTGAAGCTTAATCGACTATTATTATTTAAATTATTTTATAAACCTAATTAAATAAATATAATCGTTTATTAATTGAAAACTAAAAATTTTTAGCAGAGTTCAAAATGACTAATTAACTGTATATTTATTCTTAAATTTTATTATCATACCTATTCCTAAAAATATTTCAAGGTCCAAATAAGTATAATAAAAAATAAGAAAGTAGACATAGACATCATATAGTTTATAATCCTCTATTATATACAGTTGTTTATAAAATATTAGATAAAATGCAACTTTTATAGACGTATTTGACAGTTATAATATTTATTACAGCTAGGGGAGACCGGGGTACATTGAGTACAGGGGAACGTTAGGACATTCTAATTATAATTTGAGCTATTATTTTATAAGACTGGAAATTTGAGCCTAACATAGATAATTTTGTCATACATGATTGGCTAAAAAAGATTTGAAAAATATTTAGTATTTTAATTTTTACAGAAGAAAATGTGTTTTGGCATACCAAAAGTAATAAAAAATATTTGCAAACTTTATCGTTTATGTTTATAAATAAAGCTTCAAAAATCATAATAAATAGATTTTAGGAAAGCCTAAACCCTATTTTCCAATCTGGCAAACTTTCAGAATCAATAAATATGAATTAATATGATTTTGGATGATATTTATAAAGTTAGTGGGCTCGGTCATAGTTGGTCATAGTATAGTTTGGACACGCCATTTTAGCTCATTTTATCATCAATTTTATAATTTTATTATTAATTTAGTATTGTGAATTATAAATAATTAAATACTTATCTTTCACTATGTTTATGATTAAAAAAAAAATTTTTTACATTTTTTTCTTTACAATTTTTTTTCGCCAAAATAAATTTATTAAATTTTGCTAAAATTTTTTTTATATAGTTATTGATTGTGAATTATAATATTATCAATAAAATCATATGTGTCATAGTCTCTAGTCTTACTGGATTACTGATTTTAAATTTATTTAGACCTCTATTTCACGAGTGTCCCAACTATCACATATGTGTGTCGCAACGTACACAGAGTCTGTCATAGTTGGGACAAAAAAAATTTTATTTTAAATTCAATTTTCTAAAAAAATATAATCTTCATAAAATATATATTAATTATTTCAAATAGCCTATACTTTTGGGATTCAGAAGATATTTTAATTATTCAGATTAGTCTACTAATATTAAAATTATTAAGGTTTGAACGAAAAGTGTCCCAACCATCCCCGGTCTCCCCTAATATTATAATGAATTTTACTAATAAATGCTTTTGATAATAAATATAGTAACAATTTGCTTTCAAGTATTTAACGTCATCTATTTAGTTATAAATAATTTTAAAAATTAAACATTTTATTATTCATCCTTCAATAGATGTAATAAATTTGATATCTTTTCTTTTTTACGTTAGGGAAGCTATTTTTTTTTTCTTTCAAAAAACAGTTTTGAGTTAAATTTTTAATACAAGTATATTTTTCGGTTTGACTAAACTGCGAATGCTAAGGTAAACTGCGAATGCTAAGGTAAACTGCGAATGCTTAGGTAAAATTTTTTATATATTATCTTTTATTTATAGTGAGATCCATTTTCCTATGATATAAATAACTTATAAAAAATTAAATTTTTAGATATATTCAATAATAAAGAAATATACATTAATAGTTAAATTATCTTTTATCTCATAATAAATCGTTTAAATCTTTTAATATAATTATATTAAAGATATTAATAATTAAATTTTAAATTCCAATAATATTAAATCCGCAAGTTGGCGTGTATAATTATAAAATACTATTATAAAAAAATATAATCATTTAAAAATGTTATATATCAGAATTTACCCCTAAAACATTAAAGATTCATTTTAATAAGCTGAATTATCATAATACGCATGGTGGAGGGCTATGTATAATATTTAAAACAAAATCATGCCGGTAAAGTATATTGTTAATATTACTATATAAAATATTATTCTGTGTCAAATGATATTCAATAATACCAAGTTACTATTTAAATAAAATAATTTAAATATTATTTATCTTGATTTATCTAAATATTATAGTAAATGATTAATTTATATTTAAATAGTTAGAATCATATTTATATAAATATTTCACATGATGCCATTCATTCATTTACCTTTTTTTACCTCAATAACAATAGATTTTTTTCTAGTCGTCATATATCTTAATATATTCAATCAGAAATGGATAATCACGTAAGAAAATAATCTAGATACAGATGTGAAAAAATTAATCTTAGATACAGATATTAGTATTTTTTTCAAAATATCAAAATAAAATTAGAATAGTTTATAAAATATAGTTTTTACTATTTATTTGTGAAGAACATAACATATTCAATTAGTAAGAATGAATATTTACAATAATTAATAAAATATTTAATGATGAGTTAATATATCAGGCATTTTAATATCAGTAATAGCCCATTTTTATAGATAGGGAAGGGAGACTATTTTAATGGGAGTTGAATATTAATTTGTAAAAGAGTATTTAAAATATATTTATTATTTTATAAGATAATCAAAATTTTCAAATAATTTAGTATTAGACCTTTTCGGATAAATATAAAGGTTCAATTAAAAATAAAGCTTCTGGTTCAGTTTTGATCCCTGCATTTATATATAAAATGTAATCTTTACTAATTTTGTTTGGGTTATTTTATATCCATTTATCTTAATATAAGTTGTAAATTTTTCAATTAATTTTGGTCGTCAATATATTTTAAATATGGCAGAAAAGAATAAGAAAATTAATACAATATTTGTATTTTGTATTTTAGATACAAATATTTGTGGTACTGCACAACTCTGATTACAATTGATGTTATGATCAATGATTGAGCAGTATAAAACAAATAATTATAAAGTGTTAACAGTCTAATTTTGTTGACCTTTATCTTTAAGTGATCAGAAATAATAAATATATTTAATTTTAATTATTAATCTTATTTCAAAAAGGCAATGATGGAGAAGATAGATGTGAAGCCATGCTCTTCATTGCTTAGATTACAGAATAATTTTTCAGTTAATTCAGCAGTAAATGAATTGAGCCTTATCAGTTTACATTACAATTTATCAACTAAATGTAATGAAAATTTTTTAGTTGGGGAGGAAGACCTTATTTCTCAAAGGTTGTTAAAATCATTTCAGGGGCATCTTTTAGAAGATTATTCGCCTAGAAAAGTTATTGCGGATGGCAATTGTTTTTATCGTTGCTTGTCTCTAGCAATTTTTGGTCATGAGGAGGAACATCTCTACATGAGACTCTTGACAGCAATTGAAATAATAATTAATAGAAAGTATTATGATATAGATGATAAATTTTACAGTAGTAATAAAACAATAAGTGATGAAAGAATTTCCACTACTGATTACAATCATATTTTAAATGATGCATTGATGGTAGGAGGCTGGGCACAAATGATGCATCTTTATACATCAAGTGCAGCTTTGGGAAAAGCATTTCAATCTTATTGTCCACCTTCTAATCGTGGGATGTATAGCGCATATACCACACCAGTATATGGGCGGGCCGTAAGAAGAACAAGTTCAAATAACTTAGTTTTTATGTGGTCGAGTTTAAATTACCCCGATAAATTGGCAAATTTTAAACCAAATTATTTCTGTTACCTACAATCATTACCATCGAGTCCTCCACCAATTATTAGTCATTTGTCACCTAGAATTGATGTAGCACCATTTATATTTCCATTAATTGAAAATAATTCCCAACATATTTTTCCACCTCCAATCGAATATCCACCTATTATTAGCTATTTACCAACTATTTTATCTGATGATGGTTTACTATTCGATTCTCCAATTTCTGTTGACAATGATTCTCCACCTATCTCACCTTCAATCAAATCCCTGTCTAGTATGAGTCATTTATCACATATTTCATCATCAGCAAATAATCCTCCACATATTTTTCAACCTCTAATCAATTCCCCATCTAGTATCGCTTTTTTATCACCCGTTTTGATGCCAGCTATCCTTAATGATTCACTATTCATATTTCCATCTTCAGTTAACAATAATTCTCCAACTATTACTAATTTATCATCAATTGTTAGTAGCAGCTTACCTTTTTTAGACACCGATATTATTATAAATGTTATTGAATCCCATAAATATTCTAGAATCAATACCAACCGGTATCAAAAAGTATCAAAAACAATGTTATATTTACAATAAGTAATAAAGAGAATATGGTTTTGAAAGAAAGGGGTAAAAAATTAGTGTATGGCGACGATTGTGGCGCGTGGACTGGTACATCCACAGGTACAACAAAATATTATTATAGTATAAATATCAATGATAATACAATTAGCAGTGGTCCTATGGTTATTAAGGATGGCTTATTTGGCAAGTCCACCACAAAACGATATAATCATATATTTATTGCAGCAAAACCACAACCAAATCCTCAGGATTTAGTAATTTTAAATCGTTATTATACAAAATTGAAAAATTGTGAAACGTATAAAAGAAGAATATGCCATTTAGATAAACATTTAAATAGCTCAGTTCATCTTATTCAATCTATATTTATAATTGAATACATAGGAACATATCCAGGGTTGTTTCCACATGGAAACAACAGAAACTACTAGGGGTTTATAGTCGTACCCCAGTTTGTATAATGCGACAAATTAAGGAAAAGGTAGTGCATCAGCCTCCAAAAGACGTGTACCAAGATTTAATAGCTAATGAAGAAAATTATTTTACTCCCAGAGATATCAAACAAATTCGTAATATACAATTTAACGAATTGCATAAAATGATTCTTGTTATTTGAAAAATTTTTCTGACCAGATAAATGAATTACTAAAAAATATTCATAAATATCCAATATTAAAAAAAATAAATATAAGCCCAGACAGAGTATGTTCGCTAATATTATATACTAGTTTAATGTTAGATAATATTAAATATATTTGTTCTCAAGATTTTCCTAGTATTATAGGTGTTGATAAAACTTATAATTTAGGTCCCTTGTTTGTGACGACAACAGTTTTCAAGAATCAAGTGCTCATGTCTAAATATTCACAGGATCATCCTATATTCTTTGGTCCTATATTTTTGCATGGCAGCTCTGATTATGAAACTTTTAACATTTTCTTTTCGCACTTGGAAGGCGTCTTCAAAAAAAATAAAATAAATGTTGAAAATCTTATATTCGGCAGCGATGAGGAGCTAGGTTTAATAACTTCGTTAAGAAAGAATTTTAGTAATTCTACTCATATATTATGCACCTATCATAAGAAAAAGAATCTAAATTTATTTTTACAGGATAAAGAGGGAATGGATTCAAGGACAAGGGAAGATATTGTAACTAAAATTTTTGGCAAAGAAGGACTTGTATTTTCATTAAGCGATAAAATCTTTGGAGAAAAGGTTGAAAAACTGCGAGATTATTGTAGAGATAAACAGTTTATTAAATTATTGAAACATATAGATGCCAGTTTAAAAAATAATTTATTTTTATATGTATATTTACCTTTAAAAAATAAGGTGATATCCTATCTTTATACTAACAATAACTGCGAATCTTTAAATAATGTGTTAAAAATAAAGTTTAACCGAGATTCTACAACACCTGTGCATATGATGGTCAATAAAATTTATGAATTAAGTTTAGCACAAGAAAAAGATTTTGAAAGAGCCCTTCTTGGTTTGGGAAATTATTATTTAACAAAAAAGTATGATGTGACAAAAATTCGTCATGAATGGGACCAGATAAGTGACGATCAACGTAAAAAAATAATATTAAATGTGCTTAAATCACATAGTACAAATAAACGGAAAAAAATTACCTCGACATGTGGTGGATTGACATTAATTCAACCTACAGGATCTAAAAAACCGTGTCAATCTAAAAGATCTAGATCAGATAGAACTAGAGGCTAGTTATTATAGTTCCTACATAAAAATTAACCAGTAGGCACTAATTTATTTCAGAAATAATTTATCCAATGGCCCTTTTTAGGGCCATAACACCCAAAGGCCCTTTTTAGAGCCATAAACCCCAAAGGCCCTTTTTAGGGCCATAATACCCAAAGGCCCTTTTTAGGGCCACTCAACCAAAAGTTCGCCACAAAATCCAAAGATACTTTTCATGGTCATTTAAACAATCAAATTATATTACTTTAACGATTAACTTAGCAAAACAAAATGTAGAAAAAGAAATACATGGACGCTTAACCCACCAACAATTCTCATTAGATATTAGCCGACGTTAAAACCCCAAGTTATTATATCTCAGAATAGCAAATCAAAGTCTTTCTAAATCATCTGAAAATTCGAACAAATACACCAATCCCCCCTCTCCATTCTTTACTTAAAACCAATATATCATTTTATAAATAAAATATAACGACATTTATAAAATTACCGGAATCCCTTATCTAAATTATATATTTCCCCTAAAAATGGTAAATCTTTATACATTATATACATTTTTATGCTAGGTGTAAAATAATCTTTTATAAACATTATATTTTCGATAAAATTTTTCTGTGATATCTTATTTATTAGAATGATATTATTGTATGGTAATATTGTAATAATGGCAATAAAAACATAGTGGCTATTTATAAAAAAGATCAATATCAAGTATGCAAAAATTATTTAAAAAAATTAATTTTTCTTACTTTAACCATTAAAATGTGATCATATGTAAATTTATAAAAACCTATATTTGTTCTTGCAATTTTTCGAATGATAGATAATATATGGAATTTAGCTTACTTTTTAATTAACAATATTAAAATATAATAAAACAAAAAAATAATTTTAAATTTTTTTATAAAATAACAATACGCCATCTTGCGGATTTAATATTATTGAAATTTAAAATTTAATTATTAATATTTTAATATAATTTTATTAAAAGATTTAAACGATTTATTATGAGATAAAATATAATTCACCTATTAATGTATATTTCTTTATTATTGAATATATCTAAAAATTTAATTTTTTATAAGTTATTTATATCATAGGAAAATGGATCTCACTACAAATAAAAGATAATATATTAAAATTTTTACCTAAGCATTCGCAGTTTACCTTAGCATTCGCAGTTTAGTCAAACCCTATTTTTACAATAATACTTTTCTGCATTGGAATCAACGAAATGGTCAAAAACATTTCTACCAACTGCAATCTTCCACTCCACACTTGGTACATCGACGACGGAATGTTCTGCGGCTCCCCTCACGAGGTCGCCAAGGCCCTCGCCATCATTAATACACATTCCGCCGCAATTGGACTTTCACTTAACGAACAAAAAACCGAAATATGTCCACTTCATTGTTCCATCCCATTCACCCATAACTTCCTTACAACCGAGCTATCATCCCTCACTCATCTCGGCTCACCTGTCGGTGGCTTGCAATCCATTAATCACTTCTTCTCTAACGCATCATCCAGCTTACTTCACTTCAAAAACATCTCTAAATTTCTCCCTCGCCATCAAGCTTTTTTTCTCCTCAAAAACTTTTACTACATTCCTAAAATTCTTTACGCTCTTCGATCCACCTCAATCTTTAAATTTCCCGACTCACTAAAATCATTTGAAACTTCCGTCAAATCTCTTGCCGAAGAGATCCTTAATCTTCGTTTCAACCATAATTCATGGCTACAAGCATCACTTCCATGCAAGCTCGGGGGCATCGGCTTACGCTCACCTTTAACTCTTTCCATCAGTGGATTCATCGCCTCCCGCCTCTCATCTGACTCACACATTAGCCAGCTTACTCACTTTCCTGACCCATTATTAGCTGAAGCCCAGACCATTTGGGACAATTCCGTTGTCCCAAACACTCCTCGACCCTCCTCCTGTTTACAGAGAGACTGGGATACTCCACTCAACGAAGGCTCCGTCGCTTACCTAAAATCGAGCCTTCATGACGACGATCTCACAGTCTTTCACCAATTAAACCAAGGATCGGGTTACGAGTTTCTGGAAACTATACCCTCCAACAACCTCGACTTATTGCTGACCGCTGACGAGCTAAGATTTGCTATTGGATTACGGCTCAATTGCGAAATTGTTCTACCGTACCAATGCAAACATTGCGAAACCAGCGTCGATCGCAAGGGCAGACATTGCCTCCATTGCCGCTTTTGCCGAGGCCGTTTTCCACGGCACACCAATTGCAATGACATCATATTGCGCGCTCTCAAATCCGCAGGCATTCCATCAAGACTTGAACCGACCGGCATTTTTAGATTCGACGGAAAACGTCCTGATGGAATGTCCTTGATTCCTTGGTCAAGGGGACAGCTACTAGTCTGGGACTTCACCTGCATTGACCCAAATGCACCATCCAACCACAACGTCGATGCCCTCGCTCTAGCAGAAACTCGTAAAACTATCAAATATAGTTCCATAGACCCCTCTTTCTTATTCATACCTATCGCCTGCTCTACTCTTACCACCTTCGGTAGCAAAGCTCTAAGTTTTTTTAAAGAATTAGGCAAACGGATTCGGGAAAAAACCGATCAGCCTAAAGAGTCCCTTTTTTTTTGACAAAGACTTGCTACAGCCATCATTCGCTCTAACTACCTAAGTTTCATCTCTTCCATTGAATAATCTCCTATGTCTATGCTCTCTCTCTCCTTTCTCTTTCCTAGTTTCCATTCTTTTATCCCTTACCCTTTCGCAAATTATATTTTTTTTACCTTTATTAATTTTACCATATAAAAAATTTATTATTTGCTATAAACTTTTGATAATATATTATATCAGCAACTATTGAAATAAAGAGAGAATTTACCCTTCAAAAAAAAAATATATATTATTTTAAGATATAATATACCAACTAGAGATGGTGCGACAATATATAAAATCTTAATTGTTTCATCATAATTCTGGTCCTTATTTTATAGTTCCAAAATGTTTCATTTCTAATATGGCATCCTTGCCGTGTAAATAACTCAAGGCTTCAATATATTTGCACAATCATTTCTTTCAAAGATTTTTAGTGTTTTTTATCAATTTATCCAATATAATAAATTCTGATACTAGTTTACATCGTGAGTGTCATGGCTATTAATGCAAATTAACCAGCATCTATTATTTGTGTTGCTATGTAATTTAAGATTATTACTACAACGGCTGAGAGCATATGATTGCATATTTTAGATAAACAATAATGGTCAACTGTGTAGTCGTTTATATATTATATATTATTTAAAATGGATAATAATCTTTTAGAAATTTAATATCTCACAATAATTTTCTCGATTACTTATCTAGCTACCATAAAAGGAAGTTCTAACCACTTAATAGTTATATGATTTGGATTGGTCGTTTATACTCTCTTCTTCAAGAATTGTTGATATGGTTTAGGCCTATAAATTTTTCCTTATTAGTCCATTCTATAAATGTGTAAAATGGTAACAGAGAGTTATATTAGTTTGATAACCTTTCGTCAATGTAAGTTGCTAAGAATTATAATATTGCATTATGTGGTTTTTAAAAACTATTATCAATTGAGGCACATGTATGAATTAATTAATCTTTTTTATCACTTGCAATTCTTTAGACGCAAATCTTTTTTATATTAGCAATCGAAAATATTTTATACTTTAATAAATAGATTTTGTATTAAAAAATTTTATTTTTAGAAATGTCTTGTATTGTTTTAATTATTTATATGCCAATTTATTTTGTATGCATATGGGGGGCTTAAAATTTTTTTTAGTTGAGCCCCCTGAGATTGTAAAGGCTAGCGACGCCCCTGTTTTTTATACCTTACAACTTGTGATAGATCGTGAATTAAAAAATTGCTCAGAATATTAT